TATATATATATATATATATATATATATATATATATAAACCCCCTATGTTGTAACTAATAAGAAATCAAAAAAATATAAAAAATTTTTTTTTATTTTATTTAGTCTTTTATTAGTTACTACATGGGGGAGTATATATATATATATATATATAGTATATGTAATAGTAACGGCAATTATCAGAACCAGTGACTTTATTATTACAACAGTAATAACAGCATGAAATTTCTCTCTCCGTGTAATAATTTATTTTAAAAATCTATAGCTTCTTCAATTATGAATAAAACTGCTGATCAGTGTTTAAGGTTATAAGACGTCATCAAAAGCATTGTCTTGCGGCGCCATCTATTGGTCACATCTTGATTCCCTTTGTTTGGAGAGTCGTCGCAATTATTCTAAGTCTCTAATTTTCCAGTTCGAGACGTTTCCTAGTGGACTTTACGAAAATCCGATACATTTAGTATTGACGTCGACTAGGAGAATTATCCATGTAGAAATTAACAAAATATCTATCAATAAAAAAGAGAGGGCGGGGCAAAGCGGGAGAGTGGAGCAAAATGGAGAGCCCTAAAAATGTCGTAAAAAAATTATTTTCTTTACTTCCAATTTTGGTTTTCCTGAAGAAATCCAGTAGCAAGTGATAAATGAAATAATGACCTACGTATTGTAAGAATTTCTAAATTTTCTGTGGATTTTTACATTAGCTTAAAAAAGGACACGGACAAGGAAAAAGCTGACAATGTTAATAAAGAAGAGCTATCCAAGAAATTTTCCTTAACGACCTTCCGGTCACTTAATAAAGTTACTGGCTACTGTGACGCCTCAGCGATGGTTACATATGGAGTTGATGATGTACCACGCGTCCAACATATGTTCGGTTGTTGGCCTTGACACTCCATGCTCTAACGCAAATCCACGATCAGTCAAAAGTAGGCTATTAAAGTTATCAGATGTTGTAATTATACTATTTGACTAGTTATTTTGGACGACTACATGGTAGCATTATCGCATGACGCTGATAATTTAGTTCATCCCGAATTGGACTAACGTCGGTATAAATATTTCGATGAAGAGCTTTCGTAGAACACTATCTGTCCATCCGAGCAAGAACGACGTTGTATATCTGGTCTTTTGAAGGTACGAATTTTTCACTTACATTCTCTGAGTTTTCTAATGGATAGTTTAGAGTTTCCATTATTAAATTACCATCAATAATTAGAATATTTAATTGACAAATGTATAATGTCTTTTCTAGCATAGAAATACTCGACCAGAAATGAGTGCTTCTAACCGAAAATTAAAACGCCTACAAAAGAAGAGATCCGCACCAATTCCAGATCTACAAGTTCCAAGAACGAGCAAAGAAAGCGGAAAGAAAGAAATTGATGACGTCTCGCTACTCTTGACGATTAAACCAATCGTCGCATCTCTTTTGGAATACATCAAAGAGGTTGAAGATCATACTGACTCTGAACAGAAGCAGCTAGGGGATGACAACCTCATGGCAGTTGAAAGACTAAAGTACACGCAGCTCCGCGATATTTACTTGAAAATCGTGCATGAGGACATGTCTAAGTACCTTCAGTTGTACCGAGAAAAAGTGGAGACTGATGAAGAAGTCCAAGTTACGAAAAAAATAGTGAGTAATGTTATAGCAATGCTAATACAAGCCATGATGTTTATGGGCCGGGATATTGAATAAGCATATGGAATATAAACTGCTATTTTAGTCTATTAAAGATATTTTAGATGATAATGAGTCTTAATCAAACCATTGTTAACGCAGTTTAACTACGTGGTTAGTTTTACGCATATGATATTATATTATATGCAACGAAGATATTAAGTGTGAGTAGTACGGCACCTATTTATAATACCTTCAACGTATGTGTTTATCAGAAGTAACCTTGGTAAGAATAGCACAAAGTGTTAAGGTCAAACTAATCCGATTGGAGTTTATTGCTCTTGGTAAAACTGCGCTGCATTTTTGTCATCGCAATAACAAGGTGTTTATTTTAAAAATTATTCCAATACTTTGGTTGTCGAGTAAAATTCATCGAGCTTTGTTTTTATCGCAATAATACCGTGACTGCCAACAGATCAGGTTGTCAATGCATCGTTGATAATTATGTTGGAAAAAGTTTGTGATAAAAATTTTTCTGTTGTGAAATTCGTCGGCTTGCCTCGAGTGTTCAGTCATTTCCCGTATATGTGCATTCATAAATCGTAGATTGTAACTCGTGACGGCGACAATGTTATGGTAGCGTGTCCGCTGCGAAGTAAAGTGTTATTAACTATTTGCCCTTCGATGGTTTTCGTAGTGTACTCGGCGACTTTGGAGTATGGAACAGGTTAGTGTTTTTATATGACCTTAGGAACTGTTCCTTCGATGACGTCACCTCTTTTTCATAGTCGGGTTAATTGCAGATGATCTTAACGAGGGGATGCAGTTTCTGCGAGGAAAAATGACTGAATACGTACAAAAACTGTTAGCAAGTGATTTTGAACAAACTACGTCGATATTACGTCAACTTCTGCAAAAGTAACTGTATTTAGCCTTTATTTTTACGATGTTATGGCATAGCAACGTATTTTTTTTTTTTTTAAATAAAATGTTTATAAACTCAGCTTATCTGGTCTTTTATATTTTCATAGACGAAATCACATATTTATGCATTGACGACGTTAGACATTATTTTCTGCACCTGGGATCAGTTTTTTCGGTAACAAGTCAAATTGACATTCTCTCCCAAAATTGTCTGAATAAATGTATTTCAATGGGTCACATTTGCGTTGGAAATGAAGTAGACTGTCTGGAAGCTGGCACCTATATAAGCCCGATGGCGATTTTCAAAGTATATTTTTCTGATCCGAAGACAGACACATACGTTTAGTAAAATGATGTCAACGCTGAAAAATAAGGTGAGTTTATGTTTTTGTGCTGTGATAAGTTTAACAAAAGTGAATTTGCTTCTCAAACGAACACATACACCTTTCAGAACACACACAAGCCGGTGGTAAAACAATACCTGGTCGTGAAGTTCATAGGCAGCCATAAACACCAAAATAGATTGAGATGCATTTCAAGTAATTGGCTTAACTCAACTTTGGATAAGATTGTGTTTGTGCGCTACCCACCTGAAGATAAGAAGGAGAACATGCTACGATACCTCAAGGAGAACTTTCCAGTGTTCTGTCATTGGCAAACTTACCTGGCTACCGTGTACTATCAAACAGGTCATTACTTAGTTGGTCATTAGTGAACTCTTTTCATTTGGTAAAGATGAACGTTCATTATGATTTTCTTTGTGTAGATAACCTTGGAGATGCACTAATCTACGCGTCGCATTACACATCGCTTAACGAAGCTCAATCCAAGCCGATACCAACAACTACCACCAGCATTGAAAATAGTGTTGTTAATGAGTCGTTTTTTAACGTATCTACTGCTATCAGGGAGCTTACATTGACGGAACAATTAAAGATCATTCGACCATTAGTTATCAGCATTCTCCGATCAATTAATCTGTGTGGTGAGGAATATGAGAGCCAATCACAAGCTCGCCGCAATAACCTCCACTACGAATATCTTAGAATGGAGACCTGTACTTATGCCAAGTTTTTGCTTGACAAAATGACCCGCTATACAAATTCGAGCAGGATAGATGCTATTAACGGAATGGACTTGTCATCGACGTCTACGTCAGCTACACCTGGCGTCAACTCTGCTAGCAAAGAAATTAGCAATGAAATTAAAACAGCGATCAAGAAACTATTGTTTATAATAGATACTGGTTCAGAGTAGATGTTGACATGTGATGGTGCATTTCTTTAAATATTTTTTTTTTTGTTTGGAGTTATTTATTTCCAATCTCATTGGAAATATTGCTTATAATCCGTTAGATAAGAACTAATTGTCGTTCATTAAAACTTGAGGTTAAATGTTATTGAAATCCGGTTGTACCTATATATTATGTTATTACATTTTATAAAGCAGCGTGTTATTAATAAAAATATATTGCATGCCACGCGGTACGCGTCTGACTCTGATGACATATGTTAAGCATTTCCTGAGGTTAGTTTTTGGATAGGTGACTGGTTAGTTAGAGCTGGTTATAGCGTGTAGATCTCAGTGCGCTAAGAAGGGGCCTAATGTCCCGATAATCGATAATGAAGAGTTTTTTTATAGGAGTCCTGCTCCGACTGCACTGGCATGAGTTTCCTCTGTAGTTTTTCTATGTCACTGTTCTAAGAGCTTAGAAAAAGGTAAGGAATAGGGCAAATCCGGTACAGAAAACACAAGTTGGTCTATAGCCGCAACTAAACACCTGAAGGTTTAAGTTGTGAAAAGGTTTGAATCGTTTATACACTGGCACCCCATGATCTATCTGTATTGCGCGCTAAATTTCCATTTGTTCATAGGCTGTTTTTCATACTTGAACGTCTGTGCTAATAACAGGTTGTTGACTTAAAAAAAGGTGAGAATTTATTTTTAGAGATGATATACTTGTTTGTTGACGAAGTTTGATTGGTTGCATGCTATGGATACTATATCTACAATTACTGCTTTCAGATAGACACGATACAGGCTTGCAATCACTACATAGTTAAGTTTTGGGGCTCGCAGCGGGTTAAAATTTACGCGAACCCCGGAAAAGATTGGGAGTCTTACTTTGCGCGGAAGTGCTGGTGAGTTAAATGTTAATTATTCAATTCGTATATTACATAAGTTATACCATTGCATCGTTATATAATTTAGTATAGCAAGAGATTTGGTATTTGTGTAATATAAGCGGAACTTTACTGTATGATTAACAATAATAAAATATCTCCTGCGGATTGTTGCAAACAAGAGATTCGTGAACTGATCGACCATTACACGATCTGGCTGCAGTTCATGAAAAATGTCTAGACAGTTCCTCAGCTGTTTAATTTCACGATCTGTCACCGACATATATATTCCGGTATGTGTAAATGAGCAAATCATTAATACGTTTTAGATTTATTGGCATACCTATTATTTTCATGAGGGATATATTGTAATTTTTGTTATAATTTATAATGCTCACATAACTATAATTAGTTCTTTGATTCAGTTGGGTATTACCCATAACTTGGGAATAATAAGGAAAATATAAATATAATATTCAGCTCTGTTGATAGGTAAAGTTCAGAAGTTATTAAATGGTATAGCGGTTAGGTATTGTGATTATGCTTATTGACAAAAACCCAGAGAAACAATGCGAGTGTTGAAAATATGTCGCATCGCCTAAATTTGCTCATTGGTGAACTAGCTTGCATCCAGGCGGACGTTTACGAATATTGTTTGTCATAAAGTCAGTTCGTTAATTTATGCACATATATTTTGTTTATCTAATACAAAGATTTACATTTGGACGTTACTCAAGTCACGTTTGTTGAGGTAGGTTATGATTTTTTTTTATTGCTATTGCTATAAATACAAAACAGAATTTAGGTTTGTTTGATCAGATTGAATTTTGACTAATTATTCTTGTATTTTCTAGATGGATGAAAGCCGGAAACATTATCACATGGTAAAATTTGTGCCAGCCAAGATTATGGGGGGCAGTGAAATTCATTGCATCCCGACATCCTGGATTACATGGAAAGATAAGGAAAGTACAACAGTCTTGGTGGCGTATCCTAATGAACCATGGGAAGTCACTAGAGAACGAATCAAAAACTACGAGAATCATGGGAAAGACTGGACTGTCTACTGGGCAAAGATCATTTACAGCACAGGTAAGTTCTTTTTCACAGATAACAGTTTTAATGGAAAAGTTTCGCGCTACTTACACTGAAAAAAAAAACTTTTTTTAAGAATTTATATTCTTGACACAAGAATGTAGATTTTTGGAAATTTTCAAAAATGTACTTCCTGTCTAAAGAATTGGTCGAATAGATTAAAATAATTTTTCTTTAATTCATGTAAAACTATTCGTTTGTTTGCTTATAATAATGGAAAAAGACATTGGTATTTTTTTAAGAAGAAAGTAATTTGTACAATCGTTTATTTTATCATATTTTTGAGTCAAGGAATTTTGTTTCGCACATAACTATCATTTTTTCTCAGTGAAAATGTTCAGTTATGATTACAAAAATAAAAACATAAGTCTATAGTTTAAAAAAGTACACGTTTTTTAATAATAGATTGAGAGACGCGTTGAAAAAAAATAAAAAAGAATAATAGTAGAATAATATTATTGAGAACATTAACGAACCTAATTGTGCGCGTCATTGTCTGACGCAACATTTATAATCGAGAATTCAATGGCTACTCGAAAACAATTGTGGAGCTACTATATATGCTTGAATAACAATTACATTTTTGTTCCAGATTTCTATAAAAGTATGATTCCTTGTGTCAATCAACGCGAACATGGTTTAGAAGAATTTAGCAGCTGCAAAATAATCGCCAGCAAAGTTGGAAGTCCTCACTGTTCCTATTCAGCAGAATTCCAAAAATATTTTAATAGACTTTTGACTGTGGCTGATACAGATTGTTCGAAGGAAAATGTAATGGAAGAAAATCCCAAGGTACAATCTGATTCATCAGGAAGTGCAATTGTCCTAGATAGTGACGATGACACTCCTTTCGATTTATCTATGCGCTCTTCAGAGAGTCGTTCCACCAGCGAACGCGGTGATTGCACAGAAGACGTTTGTTTCCCTGAGGTGATCATCAAAGAAGTCGGAAGATCTGATTCCTCTTCACCTCTCAGTGCGTCGAAATTCAGCGGCGTAAACGAGAACAACACTTTTTGGTCGAGCATCGGAAAATGGTTTCTTAATTGTTCAAATACTGCTGACCCAGAGTTATCGATGGCCAGTAGAATAGTTGAAGTGCCGAAATTACAACATGAAGTATCAAGTATTAGTATTGGTCAAGACAGCAAAGATGGTAGTGATGGTGAAGTTTCTCGAGACTGGTGTGTAAACTCCTCAAAGGTGGACGAACAGTTGGGAGCTTCAAGCTTATTGAAAGACGCACTAACCAACCCCGGAGGTAACGATAAAAGATGGACATTGAAGCATCCTGAATACTCACCAGGACTCGTCGAGCTCTGGCCTGGTACTGATGTATACATAGAGGTCTCAAAACTCAACTTCTGTATGAGAAGTTCGAAAAAGTGTACCGAGTTGACAAGACTCCTGACGAAACATGTTTTCACAGAGTTTGCCTTGAGTAAATGCAAGTACATTAATAACGTAAAGGGTCGTGAAAATCTCAGGTTAGACACAGGCGCGGTCACTGCCATCATCTATTTCGTCTCAGCATATGGGTACAATCATAGTTGGCGTCCATCGAATGAAAAGTCTATCAAAGCCGCCATGCGGTATGAGTTGATATCGGCTAAAAAAAAGAAGTAAACAGTATTATGTTCCCATTGTTAATAAATGGCATTGTGTACATTAGGATGAAATGCTTACAGTAGCTACATTTTTAAACACGAGATGGCGAGAACGTTACCGTCATACGTATACATGACCTATTTTGAGTAGTGTTGTCTTCGATTATGAAGTGGATTCGTGCAATTGCTATTTATCAATACGACGCATTTAATCGTAGAATCTAAGGATAATTTTTAGTTAATAAGCATAAGATAAATTTGAAATTGTTTGTTTCTACATTACGTTACCATTTCTTTGATGATTATTAATAAGCTTAATGTTATTCTTTTTACAATTTTTTATCCTTTAATAAAATACAACGTGCAAATAGCAAATCAGTTTTTACTTACAACACTATACCAAACTACGCCACCATACACAAACCACCTACACAACAATCTTTCACAAGGCTTTCACAAGAATTTGACTATCATATCACAGTAAATCATACGTCTACCACTCTGTTCTTTATCGGAAAATGTAGACCTGTGACACATTAGTCCCGTAACTATGTACATAATGAATCTCATAGATATATTAGCGCATCTTCGCACGATATTCCGTTTGATAGATATATAACACATACACTGTTTGTAATTCAGATGACCTTGACATATACAGTTTAATCAACTCACACAGTGTGGTGAGTAATCTTATGCCAAACAAACATTTTAATAGCGGTGTTTTTATTTACATTCCCTGATTTAAAAAAAGTATTGAACCATGCAACTGTATATCTATATTGTATGTATATATAGATATACAGTGTGTGAAAAGTATTGAAAAAGTATTGAATTACATAGTTTTTCAATACTTTTCAATACTTTTTTTTAATCAGGGTTGTTTTTACTACATAATCTAAAACTGTTTGGACTTTATGTAACAGTTAAGAGTCCAGAAAACTATTTCTATCTTTTTCTTGCACAGATGGATGTTTGCTTTATATAGTTTACCCGAACGGTGGATTTATCAGTGTGCCCTCGCAGTTTCATATTATGCTGGTCGTCTGCAGCAGCACGTGCTTTAGTTTAGTTTTTAAATGTCATGATCAATAACATGCGTGTGAAGTGTGAATTTATTTAAAGCTTGGAGGAAAATTAGGTATGCAATGAGTCATCTGTGCAAAATACAAAAATAATTTTGTTATTTACTCATTCGTTTCCTTATCGTGGGATTCAATGTGGGTAAACAAGTAATATGAAACATATTTCTGTGGTTTTCAATTTAACTTCATTATTGTGCCATACAATATATTTAAAATGTGCAGATAATAAATGTGGGTTGCTTGTTACTAGGTGGCGGCTTCCATTGTACCGTTTCATCCAGACATTAATAAGAAGACAAACTTCTGTGCGAGAAGTATGTTTAAATTGGCCTAACTAGAGTTTCAAAGCAGCTGTTGTTTTCCCGGAGAGCTTGCTGGAAGACGTACATGGCCCTCGTTGGAAATTCTTCACGTAAGTGACTAACAAAATTGTTTACACTTAATTTAAATGTCTTATAATTTTTTAAGTAGTTATCATCACGACTAGGTTAAAGAAACCGATTATGTTAATGATCCTATGTTTGTAGTAGTATGACATCATTACATGCCAGTGCCAACTCAATAATTACAGACGTAGGTCATAGTTGTGTTTACGTTCTATAACAGTGAGATTAAGACACTCTTTTGCTTACAGATTTCTTCGATGATGCAAACAACCCCATCAGGCTTCAGCAAAGTCCTGCGATTCGTCCATCCGTTATAAAAGAACCAACAAACCGAAGTAAGTATTCAAAGACACCTTCATGTACATAGGATTACGTATTACATTTCCTAAAACCTTTTATTAATCAAAAGTTATCAATTCCAGCACGACCCCCGGAAGATCAAAAGAATCGAGAGCTGAAGAGACTACTAAGTATACCGAGGTTGGATATCAGTAGCTTTAGTATGGACAACAGAGCTCATGAACAGTCAGTGCCAGTAGACCTTCGTAGAAGGGTTCCAATCGAATTGATTCAAACTGAAAATATGATGGAATACGCTTTTGGACCAGCTAGATAATATGCATCAAATAAACCATTTTCGGTGCATGGAGACTATTTGAGTGAATGTTCGCAAGTATCAAAGATTCTAGAAGATCTCTTCGAAGATATTGCCGGGGATCTGGACCTAAGGACTTCAACTGGCGATTATGTTTCAGAGGAAGAACACTTTGGAAGGATTGATACTCAAAACGTGGACGAATTTCGAGGATTGAATGCAGAGATAAGAGACAAAGTCTTGCCCATTGAAGATAATAAACATGATAACAGCGAAGCCCGGAAACAGAGAATTGCAAAGTTTACTCTACCTCCAGACTACGATCCAAATAACTCAAAGTGGACTTTGAGGTATCGCTATCCAGGATCAGATCTGACAGAACTTTTACCCTATAGTGGTCTCTACGTCAACGCAACAAATCTTAAGCATTGCAATGAACTTGCGATGGATTGCAAGTCATTAGCGCAGTTGTTGATGCTGGAAGTTTTCTCAGAAAGCGCTCTTAAAGTCTGCTCGCTTACTGGCGCAAAAGCCACTTGTTTTCGTGGTACCAAGACAGACGTCAGGCCTGGATTAGATAAAGATGAAAGAGCCATTTTAGTGAGATACGTAGAGATCTATGGAGAGAAGCAAAGATGGTGTACTGAAGACCACAGGGCTATTATCAATGTTATGCGGAACAAGTTGTATTCTTCGAGAAGGAAAGATAGACATCGTGTTTAAGCTACCTTCTGCAGTTGAATTAAGTTATCTTCAGCTTATTCAAGGAATACGGATCACAAGCATCTGCAGCAAGACCATAGCAGAATTTGGCGCTGGCAACTATCGAACTTTAGAGCAGTCTTGCGCAAGCCTTGTAAAAGATTGTTATTTACGTATTTAGTGTAGTTATCTGTAGAGTAACGAATCGTTAGTGTGTCATGCGCATGAAATGATTCCTGAAAATACAGCTGATAATTCCAAATAAGATTAGGATTAACGTAGCTCGTAAACATTGGCAAGCTTTCATGTGCTGCAGTTGATATTTTTTATATGTAGTAGGTTAAGTAGAGTTATAACCCGTAAATTTAATAGTCGGTGATCGACGTTTCGAGCATACGTCGTGCATCACAACTTATAATGACATTTAACGTCCTCCGCGGCAAATTAACTTAATTACTTTCATAGATATGATATTATTGTACCCTAACGCGCCATGCAGCTGATTTAAAATAATAACGGACGAAGATTCTACTGAAAAACTCAATTTATAGATCGGGTATATTGCATGCTTTAAGTATGTAGATATGTACTACTAGAGCCTAAAAATCGAGATTCCAACGATTTAATATGATTTTTTAAATTGTATGGTTAGATAAGTGTATCAAATTAAAAATAAATTATTTAAAAAATAACAAGGACTTGTCATTTACCTGTGATTTATCAGAGTGATTCATCATTACTTGATGGTATATATCTAATTTATTAAGCTCAATTAACTGATAAAATATATATATATATATTTATGTAGTATTAGTGTGATTACAAATGATCAGTTAAAACAATTGTAAGATACTTAACTATTAAGATATGCTGGAAAACTTTGTGAGAGCGAGAGAGACAATAAAAAAAGGAGTGGAGGAAAAAAGAAATATGTGGAGGTAAGGCGCGATGTTTGCGTCATCTAGCGTATTGAGGTTGAACCGCTGACTGTATATTTATATATGTATATATACCTCCCTTGAAGCTCTTCTAATAATAAGAAAATGGTTTTAAAAAATCTAGAAATCATTAAATTAACACCATGCTTTTGTAGAAATAAGTCATAAACACAAATTATTGTGTTGAATGTGATAATAAATTTTATTATTGCCTTCACTTGTACAAATATAATAATCAAATAATTGTTTTAAAAAAATTATTATTTTATTAGCTATGAAAAGGAGGAGTATATATAAATATAAATATAAATATAATATGCTGCTATCATGACATTATTCTCTCTTAAAGAACAATTTCATGATGAATATTTTCTTCTCGAATATGTAGATGGTTTAATAGTAGTTTATAGTAATTTAATGTAGAAGCCCTAGTAGAAATGAAATCGAGTTTTTGGCTAGTAACTGGCCAGTTCAACTAGACCTGCTAGTTACTTGCCAGTTACTGGTTAGAATCGAGTGAAAACTTGATTATTTCTACTAGGGAGTGAGTGAGCGGTAGAATTTCTAAGTAATTAGAAAAATAGACACATATTTTTATATTTATATTTATTTATACTCTTTGTTTTCACAACCAATAAAACAGTAATTGTTTTCAAAATTATCCTTCGATAGTCATATTTGTACCCGTGATTAGAAGATTACTTAGTGTGAGCGTTTTTTTATCTTAATAATTGTGACGTAGTCTTACGTTTCTGGATTTTCTGGATGAGGATGTGGTGCCTAATAGGATTTATACGAAGCACATACAAAAAGTTCTTATATGGGTTGCTGTTGACCAGCAAAAATTGCCATGTCGAAATTTCAAAATCGATGAAGACCACAGAGTTTGTTTTTGGTGACTAGCGCTTTTGACAATAAAATAAAGAAATCTGATGGAACCATCAACAAAATGAGTCAATTGCCATTTTTTGGCTTCTAAGTACGCTCGATCAAAAACTCGATCTTGGTTAACAAATAGGTTTAGAACTGTGCTTTTTTTATTTCTGTTAACAAACAACTTAAGAAGCTACCTAAAATGAATTATATTTAAGTTAGCGAACGCCCTTTTAGAAGGAGTCAAGCGTAGTAGTTTTTTTTTAATTCACAGTTTACTCCGTTACATTTCAGATAGGATTCCTATTTAGCAGAATTCCAGAAATGGCTTCATAGGCTTTTTTTTCATTCATCTAAGGTTAAACGGCCAATATCCTAATTTCACATGTTCCCATTGAAAATATATATATATATATATATGAGCTAGTAGATACGAGGGAACTTTCTCGCTATACTAACTGTTGACTTGTTTTAGTATGGTATGAAAAATGAAAGCCCTAGACTGATACTGAGTGCAGGGTGGATTCAAATACTAATATTAGTACCAACCAAAGAAATGCACATTTTTCTTGCAAAAAAACTAACGCGTTGAAATAGAGTGTACATATAGAACTTATGCTTTACGTCACTGCCTCATGAACATGATAAAATCCACATATTTATGAATACTCATCGTACACGGAAAGAACAATAACTCACTGTACATACTCATAAAGTATACTCCGTGGTATTCATAGTGAAAAAAATTTCAAACTATAGTCAATATCTTTTAAAGTATACTGCATGAGTTTTTAACTGTACTCCGTGAAGTTTCCTATTTAACCGAGTATACTTTAAAGGATATTGACTATAGCTTGAAATTTTTTTTACTATGCATACCACCCAGTGAGTTGTTGTTCTTTCCGTGTAGTGGATCTAAAACGCTTTGACTTGTTGACATTTCTGACCTTTGAAGTTGTATCGAATGATTATTCTATTTTCAGTAATGATGTGAATAAAATATGAGGCTTTCTGCCCACCCCCACAGATTATGGCATATATAAATGAAAGCGAGAGTTTTCTGGAATCATTCACTCTCGGGTTGTCGTAGCAAATGTAGGGACGCTCTCTTTCGAATATCGCTCCGCCTGCTCAATGTAGGGTGACAATTTGCAACTATAATTCATGAGATTGAGAAGAAAGCGAATTATTCTCTAAGCTGATTTTTAACATTTTCCGCAGATGGGGTCCTGGAAGATTTTTGTAATCCTCAATGCTCTTCTGATCCAAATCGCATTAGCTATTGTCGTGGCTGTAGAACCACGGTTCATAATGAAGATGCCAGTTCAACCGAAATCACAAAACGTGGCAACTTGCCTACCGTTGGAAACGCAAATGAGTATATTTGATCAACTGAAACTGATTTAAGGGATTTAACTACCAAAAGTATACACATGTGCTGTATGTTTTTTTATTTTCCAGTGCCTGAACTCGAAGCTTCCCTGCTGCAAGCTGACTTACCAAAACAGCTATCTAAGATTGGGAGAAGTACCAACCACGTGCTTCAAGTTCGGGAAAGGTATTTGCCAAGTGAACCAGAGTATCAAGAACTTCAACGAGTACAGCAAGCTGATCGAGCAAGTGAACTAGACCAACTTTCAAGAGCTGAAGAACAAGTATTGGCTTTCTATTCCAACTGTGTACACTTGTCCTCAGAAAATAACCGTAGAAATGAAAAGCGGGTGAAGGAAATGTGTTTTCTGCCCACTATTGGTGAAAATGTTACGTGGTCGTACTCTGATGGTTTTAAGTAAGATAAGAATAGGATATCTTTTAGTTTTAAATAAAGATAAATAAAACATATTATTGTGTTTGATTTATTCATCTCCATCTGATTATGTGTAGAATAAGGTATGCCAAAGTTCAATTTCCGTGAGAAACTTTTTAAAATTGAAATTTTGAGTTCTGCTTTTCACAGGAGCTTTGTTTGGGCACTTCCGCTCTTGTTAAAAATTTTATGAAAATCAAATAAATCATCTCAACCCAAAATATCTCCCAAAGTATAAACAAGTCGTTTTACTTTCCGTTGGTAGCGACGTTAAGAAACCCTTCAAAGTACTATATACTTTATAGAGAGTTAGTCAAGTGTAAATGAGACAATCAAAAACATTATCAACAAAGAAAGTGAATTATTTATATTTCATAAAAAGAATAATAAAAATATTTTCTTTTTGAATTTATGTTTATACACTTTTTTACGACTATATTTATTTTAATTTAATTCTAAGTGTATAAACATAAAATTATTATGTCAAAACAATTTTGAAAGCTTGTAATAAATATGTAAATTAATTGATAAATAAATAATAATCAGTAATAATAATTAATCGTTGCTTCAATCAAAATAATATTTACATAAACATAATCATCATCGCATAAAATTTCAACGCAATATAAATTATAAATCATGTAAATTTCTCTTATTTAACCCTTCAAATACTATTATAAATTTAAATTAACAAAAAAGCTTCATATATGGTAATTGTACTCTGTATACACGTAATTATTATCCATATGAAGGGATGATTGCGTACCTCCAATTTGTAATTTATATAATTGCTAATCAGAATCCTTTTCAATTGCTCCACTAATTGGAATTCCCTTACTCCATGTTAACGACGTCAGGTAGAATTTAATGCGAGTTGTTGAGTGATTTTGCATGCCAACAGTCTTATAATAATAAAAATATGCAGCTTATTGACTATAAATACTTAGAAACTAAAAACTGCAAAAACAGATCTGCTCATGGACAGCCGTAGCCACAAGACTTTAACGGAAGGAACTATATTTGAGATTCTCAAAGGATTCTATAAGGACACATGTTTGAGCAATATTCCTGTCGTAGAGCCTGGTGTAAGACACATTTTTTCTAGGGTCTCCATCTACGTATGTGCCGTGCACAAGATCGTGTCACAAGAAACTGTCTCAAGTGTTCAACTTTCTCATTGTAAAATACTTTGTTGATTTCCGATGCATTTCTTGCATCAGAAACTTAAAGATGATGCTTGCAATTTAAATCAGTCACAAGTATCTGCACCCGGGTCGATAAATTTAAACTGATTTTAAGCTAAATGATCTGCATTTGAACTTATTGATCTGTATTTGAACTTTTAAAAACATTTTCATCTGTATTTGATTTACTATTCACATTATTTTTTATCTGTTTTAAGTCTAAATAACTTTTTAGTAAAATAATTGAGCAGCTATGAATATTTTATGCTGTTTCTAATCTAATGAAACTAAAAAGTTTGATCGGTTTTTAGTCTAGTTAATTTGTAGATGGACTTAATGTATTGTTTTCAAATTCAATATGAAATCTTATACCGTTTTTGATCTACAATTTTCACTCTAAATGTTCGAAGGCCAAAAGTCGACTAAGACGGTGACATAATTTTTTGGACTTAAAAATATCTCATTAAAAATTATAAGTCGCATTTATTTGAAAAAATAAATTAATTTATAATATATTCATGCGCTCTCTTGTTTTATGAACTGAACGTCGATTATAACCTTACATATCTGTCATATTTATTTGTCATAGTTCAACATTTCATGGATTATAAAATTTTTGTAACTGCGAATATTAGTTGCAGTGATAACTAATAAATATGTATTAATATACGTTTATAAAAAAGTTCTCATCGTTTGATTATGGATCTAAATCTAGAGTTTTCTAATTATCGTTAATAAACACAATGTGAATACATCGAGACAAGATTAAAATGTTGACAAGATTAATGTTAAATTTTATACTTTCACGCATCATTTAATGAGCGGTATTCACTATTTGGTAGTGCGAAGAATACCGTTTGGTATACATTGCACTACGAAATAGTGAATGGTCACTATTTCAGTTTCAGAGAATGAAAAGCCGTGCCCTGTAGAGGATCTTCGAGGACATGAATAAAATAATAATAAATAAATATATTATTATTATTATTATTATTATAATTATTAATATTATTATTATTATTATTAAATTCATAAAAGGTCGGTTTTTGATCTACAAGCGATGAAAAACCGACTAAAAATTATAGAACGTTTTGGTCTGTTTTTGACCTTGATGCGATCAAAACCAGCTAAATGATTGTGACAAAAAAAGTCTGATTTTGGTCTTGAAACAATAGAAAACAATTTTATTATAACATTAAAAATGATCTGAAATTGGTCTGAATTGTGAATACTACGGGCAAAAACAAATTAAATTCTCATATAAAATAGATACACATAATAAAATTAAATTGAATGAAAAATATTAAAAAATTTTATTAATCATAAAACAGACTAAATTTTTGACCCGGGCAGCAAGACCTATAGGTATAATTTTACGCTAGCAACTATCGAACTTTAAAGCAGTCTTGCACAAGCTTTGTAAAAGATTGTTATGTGGGTAGAGTGGTTTCAAGATAATGTTCACTTGACGTAAGATTACAAGTACATATTAAATGTTGACAGCTTCTAAGATGTAAGCAATAACAAAAAGCAAAATCGTTCAACTGATCATGAATTCTGTCATTTTTCTCACTATCATAAATTCTGACAACCCACATTAACATTTTAATATTAAAATATTAATGGAACAATGAATACTCATTGTAGTGGAAAACAAATTGAGTTAATAACTTTTCTGCTTTTGTTGTTGTTTATCAATGATCTATATATATGTGTCCGAAAATCGACCAAAAAATTACTGCGCAGTATTCTTTCTTCTGTAGTTGCTACCATATAAATAGCGGTAAGGGTTTAGGGACGTTACTTCCCTTTGAGTTCTCGAAGTGAATGTTGCGAAGTTTGTTGCCAAATTCTTGCTTTTCTATCCGAAGTAAGTTGACGAATTTCATCAACCTTGTATTCAGGGATTAGAACAAAACAATTGTTCTGTGCTATATTTTGTTATTTTTCATAGATGAACTTCTGGAAGATGGTTGCAGTCATCAACGTTGTCGTGATTCCAATCACCGTAGCTATTACTGTGTCAGGGATGCCACACTTTACCGTCAAAGCTCCGTCAGCATTCACCAAGCTACAAAATTTGCCAGCTTGCCTACCTTTAGGAAACCCAGTGAGTATATTTACTGAATCTATAATTTATTTAAGATATCTAATTATCGAAAGTATGAACAATATGTTGTTTTATATTTTAGTGCATGAAGTCGAAGCTTCCCTGTTGCAAGCTGACTTATCAAAACAGCTATCTAAGATTGGGAGAAGTACCAACCACGTGCTTCAAGTTCGGGAAAGGTATTTGCCAAGTGAACCAGAGTATCAAGAACTTCAACGAGTACAGCAAGCTGATCGAGCAAGTGAACGACACCAACTTTCAAGAACTGAAGAACAAGTATTGGCTTTCTATTCCAACTGTGTACACTTGCCCTCAAAAAATAACCTTAGAAATGAAAAGCGGGTGAACGAAATGTGTTTTCTGCCCACTATTCATGAAAACGTTATGTGGTAGTACTCTAAATATTTTGAAAAAGATAATGATAGGGTTATTTTGTATTTTTAAATAAATTAAACGAAAAATTCTTGTGTTTGATTTCTTTGCATTCTACTTATATGACAATCTTTTACAAAGCTAGCGTGAAATTCTACCTATGATCTTATGCAAGGCACATACGTAGATGGAAACTTTAGAAACGCACAGACTTTTTCCCAAGTCGGTCCTTCGCCGCAAGAATATTCTAGGTTGAAGAAGGTTTGCTATAAAATTGTTGTATTACAAAAGCTTACCTATTATGTGGTTTCGAACGTGTCCATCCCATTTAAATTCGATGTTTATTCATTAGGTAGGGAAAATTTAGGTCTTAGGAAGGGCGGTGGTTGTATAGTTTTATCATTTTTGGGCTAGTTTTTCGATTTAGTTGCAAAAGTGTTGTGGTATAGAAATGTTTAAGTGTGAAGAAAGTTCTTATATTCTGAGAGTAATAGTCATTCTGATAATGGTAACCTGTACAGATGACGTCGACTTAAAGGGGTTAAGCTATCCATCCGACGTCGAAGTAGATGAGTGTCAAATGCAGCAGCATACTGTCGATGAATGCATCGACGGGGACAAGTACGTGAACTGTAACTGCTGCAATCTTCGAGCACTATTTACTCATTACTGAACGTAGGCGGTAGCTCCGAAAATATTAACAGGCTCAATTAAAATGGAATAAACTGTTGAGATTCTTTGATTTGTTTTGTTTTTATCTTACAAATAAAACTTCTTATAAAAATCTACAAATTGAATGCAGCGATTTCGATGTTATTTGATTCTAAATCATGAAACCGAATTAAAACTCCATATTTATACTAAATATATTATATAATACGTGAATAACATATTTCTAAATGGTCTTTCTTCGTGACTGACTTTTTTTCTCCTGATATGTGGATGCTGGAATGTTTTCTAGCGATCTAGAGTTACCCCGGTTGCGCAGGGCTAACTGGGCTGGCTCAACGAGGCTTCGCCGTGGTGGGCTAGAATAGAATAAATTAAATGGATTGGTAACAGGCGGCGATCGGCATTAGTTCTAAACGTAGGTAAAATGTTTGTTTTTGAATGGAATAGAATAACTCAAGAGCGGCTCGATTTGCGAACTACCTTTGAATAGACTATTGTCTTGTATCCCTACAAACTCTACTTTTATAACAGTTCTTTCAAATACAAAGATAAACAGTTTGATTTTTATCTACAAATTTAATCAATTATGGGTGAGTACTTACGGGCCTTTTCCACAGCAAGCGCAGAAGTTTTTTGTCCGAGCACGTCTCTCCATTTCGTTTAAATAATAAATGGATTATTACAGTAAATGAACAGGTCAATGGTATTTGTTTCGTTAGAGAGCTTAGTTAGTACTGATCTAACGTTCTGTGTTATTTCAGCGGGAAAATGGCTATCTATAAGGAATAGAAACTAAAGTACAGTCATTAATATCGATATCACACAGACCGGGTCACTTGCAACATAATTTTAAATTTTCTAAATGCATAGTTGCAGGAAATTTAATATCTACACAGTAATAAAAATCTCATCAGTTCCGAAGCTTGATAATAATGGATCTATCCAACAACTGGCACTTTAATTGATCTGGAATAAATCGCTCTAAATTTTGCCCAAGTGGGATTTGTTTCGTCAACTGTACTAGTATTAAGGCATTTACTGATAATGAACAATGGGCGGTTTGTCCCAGTCATATCGATATAATTAGGTTTTCCCGATACAATATTACCTGTTTGTTCGCCAATTTATATTAATACCTATAACTTTGTTAACTAATGGCATAAATATTCTGCGATTGTATAAGCTTTTCATAACCTAGCGATATATTTAATGACAGCTTTATTATTCGCAAAACTTCATCCCTGACGGGTATGAAATTCTATTCACCATAGGCATCTGAAAGGCCTACTGAAAGGAATACAAAGCAATTAAGCGCAATAATATAAACACAATGGCCACTAACAAATCAAAGATTAATGTTTGGGACTGCCCGGAGATCAATTGAAAGTTCAACGTTGTCAATTTACTCGCTGTTAACTACGTCAATTAACTACGTGCGTTATAATTGAACTGTGATCTAGTTATCAATATTTTTGTTTAAATAAAAGTGTGGTTACGTCTGAGGTGATTTACTAAAACAAGACATTATTTTAGATAGTTTATTTATAAACAGTGTATCTACTACAAAGTTTTCCACCAAATGCAGTCCTTCCTGTCCATCATGGTCATTCTTACCCCGTCAGAAATTCTGAGCATGGTATCGTAAGTACGCAGTGGTAGATTCTACGCAAATAGCGGTATCTATAATTATTCCATTATTTCAGGATAAAAAAAACATTGACGTACTGCGCAACGTGATACTTTTTAAAACGGTCATGTTTTGTATAAATCAATGGCTCTTGAGCTGATTCCTCCGATTGGTGCTATTGGTACTTGAGACGTTCAGCTGTCATAGATTTTAAATTTAAAACACTCGAGTAAAACCTTGAAATCCAATATTCTACCGTTAGAATGGGTGCTGCTTACAGTTTTTGGCTATTCTTGTAGGACATTTAAAGCCGGAGTGTTCTTTAGGATCCGGAAAGTCCTCTTATCCTGCTCCGTCTTTAGCAGCGGCTAATTGTCATGGTAACACAACTAAGCGGGTGTATACTATGTACGTTGTTTTTTGTACCTTCAACCTCATTTCTAATTGAATCTTATATTCTCATTTAACTTCAATCAGAACATTGCTCAGATAAAACTTCCAAAGATTATAATATCTAGACGATCCATTATAATAATAATAATAATAATAATAATAATAATAATAATAATAATAATAATAATAATAATAATAATAATAATAATAATAATAATAATAATTAATATTACTACAATTAATTTTGTCAATTTTAAATGCATATAATACTCTACATGTACTTCGAGAGCTTAGATATAACGACAGCAGGGATTTTTGCTGGAACAAAGAAATAATTCTTACACCTTTGTCTTAATTTGGTAACTAGTAAAAGCTAGACAGAGTTTGACTCACGATTCCGAGGTTGTTATACACGGCATGAAGATTCCTGTGTAAGTACTCCGATTTGGTCTCTTGAGGTTATCTTTTTCGTTTTTCATCCATATTTGGTTTTTATAAATACGTAGTACTGCAACGTTTTCATCAACGCGGATCTTAGTCCCTTCTATTTTGTTGGTTTGTCGATAGTGGGACACAACCTCGCTATGGAGAACCAAACCCATAAAATCTGAAGGGTATTCGTCCCATGAACGGGGAACCCAGCAAAGATGTTTGTCTGACATAGCTTACCAATATCTAACGGTACTTTTGAAGAGATATTTTGGTAAAGCAACTCTCTTATACAACACCAAATAATTTTTGAACGCGTTCCAATCAGCATCTCTATATAAAGATCCCCAGGATACTTGAGGTAATCATTTTCAATTGCCTACCGTAGACTACCCTGATTGAGTGGAGTAAAAACGTTCGCTTGTTGTAACTAGGTGCCATTCTTCATCGGTATCGAGGCGAGAATGTTAGTACTGGAGCTACACTGAAAAAAAAGTATGAGTCTCACACTTATAAGTTTCAGTGATATTGAAATACTTGGTATTGCGAATATACTTAAACAATATTTAAGTCTCAACGCAATATGTTTTAAGCGCTACACTGAAACTCGTTTAAGTCATACACTTAAACCGAGAGCGCCTGCGCAATACTCATAACCACAATACAATCAAATAAATATTGCTGTAGGTTAAAGACATTATGATCAACTCATTAATTTAAAAATTAAATTTGTTTAAAAATTAATAAATAGTTAATAATAATTATAATTTAAATCCCAGAATATTAACTTAGTATATATGATAAGGTATATTGATATTCATATAATTAGATTTTAAAATCTTTAATGTCCAAATAATAATTTTAGTAATGGTTAGATCGTACAATTATAAATGATTGATCGGAATAATTAATTAAATTGAATAGAAATCAACAGTACTGAAACAAATAATTAATGTTAGGTATTCCTACGGGTTGAAGGACAAAAGTATCACTAAATTCCACCTTCCATTTGGACCAGAACTTGATTTGAGGGCCAGCTTTTGGAATAATTCTTTTTATTACCTCTTTTGTTAAATTGGCAAAAGCTACCTTATCAATTTCTTCATCTAAATATGAATTTTAACGAATACTTATTATCAACAGAATTCCTCCCAAAGAAAATATAGAAATGATTCTAAAATTAACAAACGTCTGACAACGTTTTGATCCAATTAAAAAAATTACTTATATTAAACCAAAATTTTTTTTAAACCTTTTTCGAAATTTTTTACCTTTTCCAAATATTTATTTGATTTTATAGTAATTTTGTACTTATGAAAAACTCATAAGAGCTGTGTCAGATGTTTGCTTATTAAAATTTTAAAAAATTAACAATATCTAAGTTGTTCCTGGCGACTCACATATGTTAATATTTTTTTTATTTTTTGGTAATTTATTTAATTTTATTTATTAAAAAATAATAGTTAAAACACTAATGTTACAATTATTGTAATTTAGGTTAATCTCGATTGACAATGTTTTTATTTTTACACGGGAACTTTTTTTACTATACTCTCTAGACTTGCAATAGTATCGTACGGAAAATATAAGTCACTCATTTAAACCGAATATTGCGATTATACTTAAACTCTTTTACATCATATTCTCAATACCAATTCATTAAAAAAGAGTATACCAATAGGATTTAAACTTTTTTTTCAGTGTAAGACGTTCGTCGTAATCATTATTTCAGTCAACGTACTGTTACAAGTGATTCGCCGAGCTTTGGAGTGTTAATTAGGTAAGTTAAAGCGACATTCGCTAAAATAACCCCATTTTCTTGCAAGTGTGTGGCCCGACTGACTTGTTTCAAAAGTATCAATATTAATGAAGGAATTTAGTTGCAGATACGAGGCTTGAGAAAACAATCGCGATGGCTGACCGCAAGCAAACGACGTACAAAAAGACGTCTGAGAAAGACATGTTTAGCTTGGTCAGAGCTTTTCAAAAGTTAAGCCCTATGAAACATCAATACTCCGAGCTGTCTAAATCAGATTCGACGTCGTCAATGTCATCTGGAAGTAGCTTCGTTTCCAACTCTTCCGTATCGATAACCCCGATGCAAAAATCATCATCGAGTTCTTCGAAATATCAAAGCGCAAGTTCACAACCCGGAACGTCTGGGATGAAGGATAAGTAGATGAAAAAAGAGAAGGAGCTTCTACAAAAGTTGGAGAAAAACGTCCAGGATACTTCTAAAACCTTGAATGAGTACGTTGCTATACACGACCGTAAGAAGTAAGCGATGCGCGTCCGTGATTTATGTAACTTTTGACTCAGTAGATGCTAACCTGTAGACGTTTAATATATTAACTAATCACCAAATTCTGTTGTGTTTTTGTAATAAATAAACCCGCTCAAGCTCAGATAAAACTATTTTTCATAAACTTTAAAGTATTATGAGCCTTAGGTCGCTAAATGTAAAGCAATTATAAAGCCATTAAGCTTAACTGTAACATCACATAAAGTAACCACGTCGTATATAACAAATTTTACAATGTCAACACCCAGGCTGAGGTTTATTTGATAGGTCTGGTTCAATTCTATTAATATGTCCACTTATCTCAGTAATTTGTCAAGAAATGACTAACAGTTTTTTAACAAGGCATCTCGACCACAGCAATTGATCGTATATTTCGATAATTGGTAGCGTAGATTGTAAACGTGACGTTAAATAGAAAATAAAACTATTTATAGGTCGATTTATCATGTGGAACAATAAAAACAACTTCTAATTTGTCACTTACAGTTGTTCCAATTGGCGTCGATTGATAATTTATCACCGAAAAACAAGCTATTGATAATATATGTGTGAACATTTTTAGATGTATGCATGGTTATACTATAAATCTGCATAGATGTGTATGACGTATACACGGAAAAAACCTTCTGGGAAAATTTACGATACAACTATTGTGTAGCTGGACTATACTTTTATTACTATTAATTTTCAAATATTGTAGAAGAAAATTTACTATTTATTTATGAAATTATACAACTTACTATTTTCTCTGGCTGCCAACAAAAAGTTCTGGGTTCGATTCCCGGACAGGACGAAAATTCCCATTTCTTTTTTCAGTTACTGTATCGGTACCAATTAGTCCAACCTCCTGTCTCTCTCCCTCCCCAAAATTTCTTTTAAAAAAAACCGACTGTCAATTTTTACAATAGTTGAATTGTAAAGTTTACAAACGCATATTGTGTAATTTGCTCTATATTATTCAACTGTTTCAGTTTCTTGCTAGCCTAGTTTGTTGGATAAAATTTACAATTGTACATCGTAAAAATTATTAAATGAGAAATATGGTTCACCGTTACTATTTTATTTTATAAAAATTACGATAGTGGAATAGTAAAAATTCCTTTAATTTGTTGTTCCGTGTAGGAAACAATGTTGTTACAATTAAGCTTTGTTTTGGCGTACACGGAAAGAAAAATATGGGAACTATTCCCATAATTTTATGGGAACAGTTCCCAGGCATTATGGGAACCATTCCTATAATATTATAGGAATAATTCCTATAGCATTATAGGTACCATTCCCATAATATTATGGGATTAGTTCCCATAATAATGTAGGAATAGTTTCTATAATAGTATAGGAATTATTCCTATAGCATTATGGGAACCATTCCCATAATGGTATAGGAATAGTTCCCATAATTTTCTTTCCCTGTAGGCATTATTTTAATTAAAAATCTTAAAAACTTTTGTAAACAATGGAATTATTGTAAGACGTGATTATTAATTTAACGAGCAAAAAAGTTAAGAACTATTGTTATATTTTTATGCGTTAATTTAGTTTTAAGTGTTTGTTTAAATGAATTTATTTATAGATCAATATCTGACCACCGAGAGTGTATTATTTGTCTCCTTTTACTTATTGCACCTTATAATTTATTTTACTTCACTCTTCCTTTCTCTTTACCCTAACTTGAACTTTTCTTGCGCCTCAAAGATATTGGCGGATTGGCCCTGTACGAAAGTAAGGTTTATTATTTTCTGGATGAGAGAGTAAGCTGATATCACACGTATGTGAATTGCTGATCTGTACTGAGAGCTTAAACGATATGTTATCTTCAACTATAGAGTTTCAGACTATTTAGGAAACAAAAAGAAAGTCAACATTAGTAGACAACATTTTTTTTATTCTATACTTACATACTACAATGTTAATTGATGAATTAAATCATGAATAGTTAACCTAACAAATGAAAGTTCAAAAAATAATAGTAAAAATTACTTTGAAAGTACATACACAACAAAATCTTGAGTTTTTTTCTTCAACTTTTTTTCAGAATGAACCAAAAGACGTTTTTTCGCTTTGGCAACATCTAAATCTTCAGAAGTGACTTTTGATTTCAATTTAAGTTTGTTGTACGTGGAGCTAAGTAGTTTATACAGTTCGATGAACTTCATTCTGTGCGAGGTGACCGTGGTTAGCCATTCAATCTCTATCATTTGTCGAATGAAATCATCTTTGGCACTTTTCCGCAGCAATGGATTGATTTCTTTGTCGGTGAGGAACGGACTTGCTAAACGCACAATACGGTCAAATGATTGCTGGAAGGCGTTGAATGTAGTTGTCAAATTTTGGATACGTTCGCCCATTGGATCATTTACGTCGAATATCAAGTCATTCGTGCTAACATTTTGTACCATAGAAAGTCCAGGAACAGAAATAGGCAATGGTTCATTGATGGCAGGTACCATTAAGTAAACGTGTTCAGCTTGTCCAATAGTCATGTACCTGTTGTTATTTTGTGAGGTTGTAGATCCATAGATGATTTGAGATCCTGGAGCAAGTGGTTCATCATTTGAGTCCTGACCTTGTTCGGCAGGCAGGTATTTATTTCCCAATTGCTGATTTATTGGTCCATATACGATCGTAGGTAATGTTAATGTTCTTTTAGCGGCTGCTGACAGTCTTCCATTTGCAGATGATTGTGTTTCGTTAAGGGGTGGCGACAGTGTTCCATTAGATGATAGTGTTCCATTAGATGATAGTGTTCCATTAGATGATAGTGTTCCATTAGATGATAGTGTTCCATTAGATGATAGTGTTCCATTAGATGATAGTGTTCCATTAGATGATAGTGTTCCATTAGATGATAGTGTTCCATTAGATGATAGTGTTCCATTAGATGATAGTGTTCCATTAGATGATAGTGTTCCATTAGATGATAGTGTTCCATTAGATGATAGTGTTTCATTAGCACTTGTTAATGGTGTTTTGTTCTCGGCCGCTGATAGTGTTTTATTACTGGATGCCAATAGTGGTTCTTCAGCAGGTAACGATAGTGTTTCATTAGAGAGTGTTGGTAGAATCGTGTTAGCATTCGGCGACAGTGTTTCGTTAATGGATGGCAATATTGGTTCTTCAGCAGGTGACAATACTGTTTTATTAGAGAGTGATGGTAGAGTTTCGTTGACACTCGGCGATAGTGCTTCGTTATCAGCGGGTGATGGTGCTTCACTTATGGACGATGATAGATGTGCCTCGGCGAGCGATGTTAGTGTTTCATTAGCAAGTAATGATAGTGATCCATTTCTGGGTGCCGATAACGTTTCTTCAGCGGCAAACGATGAAGTGCTATTCTTCAGCAGTTGAGTTTGTCCTTCCTCAACCGGTAATGTTCCAATTTCTTGAAACAATGTCCCCATGATTAGGATAAGCCCGCATAACGAAGTCCCCTTGAACGACATTATTCCTCCACTCTTCGATTTGGTATGAAGCTCGTAATTGTTTTTCCGCGTTATATACCGTAAATTATTATTCCTTAGTGCTTACGATCCAGGAAAATTTAATTAAAAAATATCTAAACTTTACCTAAAACCCAATTAATATTTCTAATAACATCAACTGATAACAAAAATAAACCTAATTAGGCTTCCAGAGCCTTATCAAGTCGTACTATAGGTTAAAGGTTAACCTCTTCGTCACTCATAAATATATTTTCTGGAATTCAAATAAACCCAAGTGTCTTATCGTGAGGTTATAGGTCCCCGTTCGTTGATAAGCACTCCACGAAATATTTTTTGTTGTTTAATGAGTCATAATACTGATGAGACACATTACGGATTTCACAACATTAGATTTTCGTATTTGAGGGTTGAAGATTCCAATGAATCATGTTAATTATTTACCACAGGAAAAATATTGATACGGCATTTCAATTTCCATCGATTTTCACATTCTAAATTTAAGGGTTCGTTAGAATAAAACCAGTAATTATACAGTGCATGCTTTTACTAAAATAACTAAGTTCAATATTCGATAGTTTCCATACAAGTGGTGTGACAATTTATGTAAATAGATAACAACAGATCTTCAAGGCTTAGCCACACTGGAATAATGTGACAAGACTTTCCAATCAATCCAAGAGCCACGTACTGATGTCATTGCAGAAACGGTGTACCTCAGAAGCCCTTGCAGACTCAATCCTCCGAGTTTCTTTTCCAAATGTGTAGCGACGTCAATATTATACGTGTAAAAATTCATTCGATTTTGAAGATCCTGCAACACTAATTTCGCTGACGTTACTTCTAGCAGGATTACCTTCATGTCAAATTGGTTTTCTTCAGTATTCAATCCACTAGCATTATCCATAGGCGTTGATTCATGATTGGTGATCAGCGGGCTAATTGTCTTCTCCAGTTCATCACAAGATTCTCTGAGCTGGTTCAGTGCAACCTCAATAATGCTTGTCACAAACCATTCTCTCGTCTTGGGCTTCTTCAGAAAATCTTTCACAGGTACGCTATTCCAGAATATGTACATATCATCAGATTCGTAGCCAGGGGGCTGTTCGAAGATAAAGCTTGTCTTTGAGAGTACCTTTATGTACTTTTCTCTTGGGCAAATCAGATAATCATAGAGTCTGTAGACCAAGTTCTCGTAACTGCGTGGTAGACGTCCCATATCATCTTGTGGTCCCATGTATTCATGTTTGAAGTCAAGTATAGCTGGATATAAAGGCTCATATTCTTTATGACGCATCTGCACTACCCATGCTTGGCCCCCTACAAAAGAGAGGCAAGATTCACTCATTTATAACTTTAATGCATCAATAACCAATTTTAATTTAATAATTTTTGAAATAGACATAAATATTATAATATTAATAATTAATACTTACATGAAATACTGAGGACAGCCACGAAGAGTACGGTGATAGTTCTAGCGAACATTATGATATAACTTCTAAGACACTTGTGTCTATTGTTGGTTCAGCTAGATCTTTTATACTGTTTAGTTATCAGAACTAGATAAAAGGGTTCAAGGGTCACGTAATTTCTAACTGACTTAGCTTCAGAATAACTTGGTTTCATCAGTTATTGAATTGGTTATGATTATATTAAATTGCCATCGGTTCGAATGACATCTTAAGTTCTAATAGCTCATTTATGGTTATAGTAAGTTTCGTATGCTGCTGTTTATCATCTGATATTATTAGTTCACTCACCAATAGAACACCATCATTTTAAACTGCATGATATGCATCTATCGTTAGCTAAGAAGTTATAACCCCAAAGCAACTTGAAAATTCCAGCTACGACAAACAATTGACCTTAAAGTACGTCAAACAGGTCAATATTTTACGAAACTATTTTTGTTTGTTTTATCAGTTATTTTTCCAGAGAATTTCATGTAGTATCTTATAGATGTCATAGGTTAATAAAGCAAAATGTTGTTATTAACATACAATAACTTTAATTAGATAAAAAAGATAAGACTTGTTGGTTACTTTTCGAATAGTCACGTGATAAGTGTTTATCAGTTTATTTCCTCTATATCTTTCAATTTGTTCGCAGCAAAAATTTAGTTACTGACTATTGATAATGATTTTCATATAAATCATAATCGAATCGACTTTAACGTTCGTTTAAATTTCCCTCTCTTTACTACTCAACTAACCGAAAGTTAACTTGCAGATGGCACTGGTGTCGCTCTGCCATTTAAGACCCAGAGTGGGGTTGAAGAAGAACTTGCCGTGTACTCAGGCCCTACTACCTATAGTTTGTGCAGTCATTGACAATCTAAGTACGCTAACATTTAAATCTTCTGTTATAGAATCAATCTTACTTATAGAATTAAAACACATTTTCTGCCCTCCGGCCGGAAAGTGACAACTTTCTGGCCGCTGCGCTAAACAAAGTTGCCACATTCCGGCTACGTCGAGCAGAAAAATAGTATACACACCTTGGCCAGTAAAAAGTAAAGCCTCAGATCACATGTTTGTCAACCTTGGCTTCGCCTCGGTCAACAATTACATGTGTTCTGAGACTTTTATTATTTTACTGGCCTAGGTATGTAATATACTATAACTGTTGTCCATATTTTTTTTATTAAAAACACCATAATTAAGAATACATGATACATTTACAAATTAAGAATACATGATACATTTACAAATTACAAGGCCGTAGCTAACAGTGATTTATTTTTTAATTCCTGAATTTGCTTATGTATATCCAATAAGTCCCTATCAAAATAATCAACTTTTGGCGGAGTCGATGGCTTGATATTATTAAAGTCATCTAGAAGATATTGTTCATTTTGAAGGGAACTTTCAATCGACATAACTTGCATATTGATATCTGCTATAGTTCGAACATTTTTACCTTTCTTAATCAGCTCATACAGCTCTATCTTAAAGTCTTGGCATGATTTAGTCAAAAAGTTTATTGTTTGTTGTATCACTTGATGCCTAACTTGACTCATAATATTCGCACTACTACTTGGCCCGTTAATTATTCCTTCAATATTTTGTGGTGCACCATTTCTTGGATCATATGTATAAGGCACTAATATATCTATTTCTTTGACCTTCCCGAACAATGCATATCTGTTGCGTGTTTGATTGGTCACGGATCCGAGAATATATTCAACAACCGTAGATGGGTTGTTTCCATTAGGTGCCTGTGTCGGTTGAGGATTGTTTTCAGCTTGTGAGTGTCTTGACCCGATGACAATCTCTACCCGTTCTTCTATCTTGTGGGCCCCTGGAAAGAGAAAAAAAATTGATAAGTAGAGATCTTTTTGTAAAGTCGATAAATTTTAGACTTTCTGAAACATATATAACTTTTGTAATAAGCTCTAGAAAAATTATCAATACTTACATGTGGTGCCAAGGATGACAACGAAAAACACCAGTAGCGATGTATTGTACATGATGACTTTCAAGCTGTGATTACTTGTGTTATGAGAGTGTCTGTCTGTTTTATACGACTTAATTATCATAATTGTGACGTAGATGTCACAATATTTATTTCTGTCAGTCAATAATGAGTCGTAGTGAGTAGATTTACCCGAAATAGATAATGGATTTTATCGTCTTTAGAATGATGTCATCACAAAAATATGTAACGAAAACAGGAAAACATTCATCGACTGAAACGAATTTTTTTTTAACCATGCTTTCTTACCTATACGGAAAGAAAAATATGGAAACTGTTCCCATAATTTTATGGGAACAGTTCCCAGGCAATTATAGGAACTATTCCCATAAATTATGGGAACTGTTCCCATAATTATAGGAAATTTTCCTAGAATTATGGGAACAGTTCCTATACAATTATAGGAGATTGAAACCAATATATCGTGGGAACTATTCCTATACTATTATGGGAATGGTTCCCATAAATTATGGAAACCATTCCTATAATAGTATAGGAATGATTCTTATAGCATTATGGGAACCATTCCCATAATATTATAGGAATAATTCCTATAGCATTATGGGAACCATTTCCATAATATTATGGAATTAGTTCCCATAATGACATAGGAATAGTTTCTATAATAGTATAGGAATTATTCCTATAGCATTATGGAAACCATTCCCATAATGGTATAGGAATAGTTCCCATAATTTTCTTTCCGTGTATATGCATTAATTATTTTTGTGGTATAAATAAAGTAAATCTATAGAGTCAATTTGTTTCAAGCTTTCCTTAGTTAAAGGGTCAGGTGGGTTTTGAAGGCTCAAAAAAAGCATATTTCTTTTTAATTTAAAATATTTTATTAAGTAATAATTATTAGGATGAATTGTTATCAGAAAATGTCTTGCATAATAATAAACATAGTAAGAATTCTTACATTTTTATCGGTTATAAATTATAAGTAAGTATAGACTGGACAAGAAGGGTATAGTTTGCCTGGCAAGAGTTTGGTCATCCACACCACTCATTTGTCATACAACTCTCTTACCCCCACTTTTCAGAACTGAATACGTTGCGCGCCCTTTCTTTTACTGGGATAAGTATAGTAACATAAAGATGCGACATTATCAGATTTTCATCCCGACAAGTATTTCGTAGTATGTGTATATTTGTATGGCGAATGCAGTAGTGGAAAAGGTACAGTAATGATACAAAAACTTGGGATACAATCTTAGTTCTGCAGATACGTATTACATGGGTAGTAAGCTAAATCTATTCAATTTAACTGTCGGGAATTATGAAAAACTACCTTATTCCTACATTACATGAAATCTTAAGTATAATCTAGCATTACGACGTGAAGCTTCTATTTGCGCTCTTTATCTTAGCTTTAATCCTAGACGATTGAAGGCTCCTACTTGATAAAGGCTTTGTTAATTTTGTCGTGTTGAACCAGGTTCTGAAACAAACAAAAAGAAAGTTATTAGTTTATTAAAATAAAAAAGTGAGTTCGATTAGACTGCGTACCTGATATATAAAAAATGTAAAAGATGCTAAGTTAATTTTCTGACCAATATCGTCAAACGAATTATTGAACAGCTCTTTTCGGTAGTTAGCTTCAGTGAATATAATGCGTCATCTATAGATAAAACGATCCCGCAAGTTGATCCGCTGGTAATAAAAGAAATTTCACTTACATTTTGATTCAGGAATGTGGAGCAACATCGGAAAATAAGATCCGGAGTTCGGTCTTGCAGATATATCATCAGTTCTCTTTAACCAGAGCCTCAGGTCGTTGTATTCCAGTTTGGTAGATACCGAAGAAATTTGGGTGTTGGCCCCGTGGATGCAGGTAGTCTTTTTTCGATGGTCTAAGCAGCTGTCGAGCATCATTTTTTCAAGGTCCTTTCTTTTATGTATATTCCATTCTTTCGGTGCGACGCAGATGTAGTGATATTTTCCATCGATGAACATTGTAGTTAATTCTATTGCAATATGCTATCACTGGTAAGACAGTAGGATGTGATTTAATTACAAGCTGCATCGCGGGATTTTATAGCACTATATCAATTGATTGTCAATCAGTGCATCTATTTACTTTAATTGCTCTATAATTCCGGGATGTCAATGCCGAAGAAAAATCCTTAACCAGAAGTAATAAAAGTATCGGTAATTAAAAATAGTACTTACCCATTTTTGCGGCTAATTAACACTTGTTGTTATGAAATTCTTATCACTGTAAAATTCGTCTGTGGTAAGAAAATTATTACTTGGACGATAAAGAACCAATCCTAGCTTGAGCTCAGAGTCAATCGACGAGGGCAAAACAATCAATTGAAGTGGGTGTCGGCGAGGGTCATGATAAAGATTGTTGGCACAATTTATTACAAACAGTAGACGGATTGCTATTATAAATATGGCCATGATTCGAGTGGACTAGTTACCATTAATTGGTAAAGATCTGGTCAGAACCGGTCATGATGTTATTTCTGAGAAACTATATGAAGTATTGTGAATTTTCGAACGATTCTAATTGGTAATTTATTAGCCATTACTTTTTAGTAAATGAGGTATAAGTTTAAAAATATAATAGCTTTCAAAATTGTCAATAAGTAGCGATATGAGAAAATAATCCAACAGGTTATGGGCCTGATAGTCGTAAGTTCTTGAAATCGTCCACCAAGTGTCAATGAAGATAATCAATAATTCAAATAAACAATTCGAAAAGCTATACAAATATCAAACTAATTACCGCAATATTCACACTTAATTCGTTCCCGAGCCGCAATTTGATCGTTATTCAAAATCATAACAAGGTCAGTCGGTTAATAGCTGAATGAGACGGTGTTTATTAATAAAACAGAAATTGTGGTGTGTGGTGATTGGTGACGTCTGACAGAAAAGAGGATTACCTTTGAGATAAATCATCCCTGCTACTTATCGCTACTTTCATATGCTAAAATCTTTATATTTCAATGAGTACGACGTTCTTAAGCTCTTCAGGCTTCAAAATAAAATTGTTATACACTTTCAAGCTCATAAATTTAGTTTATATTCAGTTAAACACGCGTTTGAAAATATTTGAACTGCAATAACTTTTGGAAAAATCAATCGATTGTGATGTACTTGGTGGCATTAAGCTCAGTCAAAAGAGCTTTAATAAAAATGTCGATATGAATCCAATCTTATGAAGAAATAAAAAATAATATATTAAAAAACCACAATTTTCTGACAATGATGTCTCTTAAATAAATAAACTAATTTTGATGTGGTTTGCGGCAATAAATGTTGTTTTTTTTAGGTTGACAGCTGATTAGATTTTTAAAACTGATTAGATTAGAAACCAATAACTTTCAAAATTTTCAAAAATCATATATTTTCATAGCGAAGAGTTAAAAAGGACGCGGAAATGATCATGTTCAATTACTATTTATTTCTATAAGTCACCTCAAAAGAGTCTTGAAGAGCAGTAAAAAGTGAACGATGAAATTGTTTTCATCTTTGGCTTCCGGCCAACCATAGTATTTTTACATATCGTTTCTAAGCGAATTTAATGCGTTCTTGACTCTCATTACATTAAATCTTGGCAATGATTCAGCAATAACACAATTTACTGGAAAGCGTTCGTGAAAACAATTTTATAAAGCCCAGACCACATTAGAAAAGTCTGGACTGTAGTCTGTATATTTCAGCATCAAATTTTTCTGTTCTTTTTTTTCCGGATTACTTAAAGAAGACAATAAGTTTACATTTTTTTTTTATTCTAAAAGCCAGCGAAACTGTTTGATTTATATATAACTTTTTACTGGCGAAAAACTTTAACTGTTCATATAAACTAACAGAGTATTTCTCAATAAAATGAATTCAAAAAATTAATTTGTACTGCACGGCAATTTTCTAGATTGTGTATCGATAGATTAATTTATTAAACTAATTGAAAGAAATTTCATAATTTTTTAGGATAATCTTTCAAAACTTTTTCTCATCTATTGTATAAAAGTATATAATAGTTTATTTTTAAAAGTATATAATAGTTTAGTCAAAATGCGAAGGTAGCCGTTATGTGACAAGAGGCAATGTTTGGTTATCTGCAGGATTCGAACACTGGTCCTTCTGGTCATCAGTCCTGTATGCTGCTCACTGGTCCAAATTACATACAATATTTGGTCAACTTTATCTAATTCATTTGAATTTAAAGAAGAAAAATCGCATACAAATCTTGGACAGTAAATAAGAAAGCCTCAGACCACATGTTTGTTGACCTCGGCTTCGCCTCAGTAAACAATTACATGTGATCTGAGACATTTCTTACTTTATTGCCCTAGGTATATAATATACTATACAATAGGATTTCATGAAATTGAATGAACCTTCTCAGAAGCAGTTTTTTTTTATTCTATTGTTGATTTTTTTTATTGTTTATTATTAACCTTTATTGTTTAAAGTGATTTTTAACAACAAAGGAAATCAAGTATCAATAAGGGGCTGTTCATAAATTACGTAAGCGCTCATTAGGGGGGGGGGATCAAGATGAATCTCTATGTATGCTTACTTAGGGGGGAGGGCGCTAGTAGACAAATCTTACGTAAGCAAAATTTTTAAATTATTTTAGTAGTCGGTAACTTAAATTACTTTTCTACTATGATTCTCGATCGATAGTTCAATTGCATCGATAATGTCACACACAGTTTTGTTTGGTTATAAGTTGTTAAAACGAGGCGGAAAGAGCGAAGTTGACATGAGTGTCAGAATCTTTTATTTCAGTTAAAAAATGCTAGTTGATGTACATAGTAAAAATTAAACTAATTGAATCCTATTCAGTTGGAATAGTTTGAATAATTTAATTGGGGTTTGTAAGGTTGAATCTTACCCAGTTGGTTGTAATTTGAAAAATTCAACCTGGTCCGTCAAGTTTAATTAATCCGTTTTTACCTATTTTGTAATAAATAGTTTGATTCACTTTGCCTGTTCAGTCAGAACAGTTTGATATATTATTAGTAATATTCGAAGCACCTAATATTACTAATTAGCTCCAGTTCGTGTGTGAATGTTGCCAAGTTAGGCATCAGTGGTTAAAATAATTTATTTAATAGTTAATAAATAAATTATCCAACGAATAAGTCAATCAGTTATTTGCATCTAGCCATTACATCCCACTCCTAGTACGCGGTTTGAGGTGGATTCACCAGAACATGTACCAGAGGCCACGTGTTCCAATTCACCAGGAGAAGCAACACCTACTCGAAGTCCTAATTAAGCTATCCATAAGTATTGGTGTTGGTTTTATTAGTTTGTACGGTCAGTTCGAGGTATTTATTCTTTGATTTTATAAGTAACCGAGTCTCTGGAGCCAGACAGAACTCACATTTTGAAACGTACCCTGAATGATTAGAATCTAAGATTTAATTTATTAATAGATAAATTCTCTAAATAAGAAGTGACGCATTCCATAGCGTTCTTATTAAATCTATTACGTTTCAATGGTATTTGTAAAAAATTAAAAATATTTTTTAACTTATTGAAAGCCCAAAATTGATGTATATCTTACGTAAGATTTCAGAGGGGGGTGGATGTATCAGTTGAAAATTTTACTAATGCTTATCATGGGGGGGGGGGGAGGGGGGGGTTATAAAATGCTCCAAATTATGCTTACGTAATTTATGAATAGCCCCTTACCGCTTTGTTGAATTAGAAGCTTAAGTGCGTATAACTAAACAAGCGTGCACACATGCCATATGATAGTCTGATAATCGATATTACCTTAACTCAGAAGCTTACTACACGGAAAAAAATTAACTGTTGCTGCAACAGGAGGCAGTCATGTTGCAGCAACAGAAGAAAATCCTGTTGCAGCAACAGGATTACTACTGTTGTTGCGACTTAATAATAAAATATAGTTGGGTCATTCCATGTCAAATTGACCTACAGTTGGAATTGACCCCTTTTGATATGGATAAATTTTGGTCAGAAATTTTCTTTTATCATATAATGAACTTCTGATTATTTCTGATTTTTATTGGAAATTTATATTTGTTTGAGTTATTTGACGTTAAAAACTGTTATTGAAGTGAAGAAACGGATAAAATATATCATGCGTTAAAAAAAATAAAAAATTATATCATGCGTTAAGCCTGACTTTAAGATTACTTCAAAAAAATAAAAAAAAGTTAAAATTATTTTATTATTTAATATTTCCACGTCGTACATTTAATTTTTTAATGCTCAAAATTACAATAATATGTATCTGCACAACTTTACCTTATTTAAAAGTTGCAAAAAACAAGAAAAAAATTTTTTTTTTAATTCAAAAATTCATATTAAAAAAAAAAAAAAAGTTCTCAAAATTTCAGAGTCTATTAAGATCAGTACAAGGTACTAAATAAAAAAAAAATTGAGCCAAAATTTTAATGTCAATCGACATTTTTGACGATTTTCAAAAATTTAAGATTAGACAAATTTGGCATTTTTCAAAATATTTTTTTTCGATAGCCCCAAGTATCCTCTTTCAAACAAACGAAAGGCTATTCCTGTATCTATAATAGCGTTCGCGATATTCCAAAAACAAAATTGAAAAACTGAAAAAATAGCAAAATTTTGAGTTTGCATATCTTTTGAATGAAATTTTTTAATTTTTTTTCCTCTGGCAGAAATTCGTTATATGATAAAAGAAAATTTCTGAACAAAATTTATCCATATCAAAAGGGGTCAATTCCAACTGTAGGTCAATTTGACATGGAATGATCCAACTATATTTTATTATTAAGTCACCACAACAGTAGTAATCCTGTTGCTACAACAGGACTTTATCCTGTTGCTGCAACATGGCTGCCTCATGTTGCAGCTACAGGAAAATCCTGTTGCTGTAACAGGATTTTTTCCTGTCGCTGCAACAAGAGGCAGTCATATTGCAGCCACAGGAAAATCCTGTTACTGCAACAGTATTTTTTCCTGTTGCTGCAACATGACTGCCTCCTGTTGCTGCAACATGACTGCCTCCTGTTGCAGCAACAGTTTATTTTTTTCCGTGTATGAGATGAACTTAGGGATTTGCAAATAAGTATGACACAATTTTATATAAAATGTTGTTTTATTCAACGGGAGTCTTCAATGTTACCAATTAATTTATATTACACTTTTACATATGCTGACAAAAAATAGTAAGAATGTCGATTACCTACTATGTTTTTAAACTATAAGCTCGTGATAATGTTAATTATCTAAATATGGTTAATTACATCTTGCCATATCCATTATTTCTTCTCGGAAACGGTGATGCGTACATTCTGTCCATAAAAGGTTTCAAAACTAGACGCTCTTCAATTTTTAATAAGAAGTTTACGTATTTATCATAGTAAAAATTTAAATCAGGGTCATCTTTATATGTCTTTATCAGGATTACATCATCGTAGCGATAAATTTGATCTGCTTCAAGGCAAACTCTCTTTCCCAGGTAATCACAGTGTATCTTTTTAACTAGTGAGCTACTATTTCCAATTTCACTTTCTTGACAGCACGAGTTCGATCGGAGATCACACTGAAAATAAAATTTAAAATGTAAAATGTAATGCCTTATTAAATTAAAATTTAAAATGTAAAATGCCTTATAGCACATACATTATTTTTAAATGGAAATTAAGTTGTTCTGCAGACTTTTAAAATGAAAAAACAAAATTTATTGTCCATAGCTGACACAGAAACGGAAAATACAATAAAAATTTTAATGACTTTATCTTGATAAAAGTGGACATATTGGGGCCTTTAAGTGCAATATGATTGTGTTAGAGAAATTTTAAAACCAGAAAATTGAGTGGCCTTAACATGTTGAAAATAAAGGACTGCCTCAAACGCTCTCGAGCTATAAGGTGTGCAATATGCTTTGTTTGTTGATAATTATGAATCAAAAATGAGCTTGAAGGGAGGAGTTGGCTTAAACTTAATTAGATATGTCGGTAGCTTATACTCACATTGCTCTTCAGTTTTAAACACTCCACCGGTTTCTCTGACTCTCCACTAGTAGTGACAATAGCAGAAGCTATTATAAATACTAGAAAAATCACTGTGAGTACCCTCATTTTTAAACTTTTTTAAATCTTAAGAACGTGAACCTGACCGATTAAGCCAGCCTTGAAGCGAATAATGATAGCTAGATGGTCCTCCGGGCCTTTTATATATCTCCACATTTATATCGATGGTTTGTCCTACCCCCGACTTTGGTATGACTTTCAAGTGTGTCTGCTGTCACCTTTTAAAAGATTAATGCGTCTGACGGTTATGGCAATGTCAAAGTCTAGACTAGACTCATAAATGGAGCTAAGAACGTCCTTAGAATTTGTATACCTAAAATTATGATCACATCGATACGCTGACATGAATTGTGATAATGGTGACTAACTCCTACCATGTACTTTAATAACGATTATGCTTGTTGAAGAAAATTATCAAGTTATTTCTAGACGTAAAGTAGTTAGAAATTCTTGAATTTTAACCTGTTGAGTGCTGATAATATACCGTTGCTTTATGTTCATACCACGTAGTCAGGGCGTAGCCAATTCTCACAATAACCGATTGGTTAGTGATCAAATTCCGAACTACAGATGGCGCTAAGCGTTTAATACCGACTGCCACATAACCAACAGGAATAAGAATACCCAGTTAGCACGGGTTGGCTATCAACTAAGTTGATGTTCAATGGTTTACGTCAACTTTACGTCAACCTCTGCATTTGAAACAGTTTGAATTTTCCGAAAAGTTCACTTAAAATTAACGCGAATTTGCAGAAAGTGAACGTTAACCTTAGACTGGTCAACAAACGCGACCTAACGACTTTGGTCAAGTGATAAGGGATTTGCCGCAATATGCTTTTAGAGCGTACAGTGTTGCCAGTTCATACAAGTTTGATAGGCAGAGACTAGAGGTGTTTTCAGTAACGCCGCCAACAGTTATAAGTAATATATTTGAACAATTACTGATATAAAATTTGGTTGGGTTGACTTTTAAGCCTATTGTAAATGGTCAAATTGAGAACTTTTAGGTAGCTAACTTGCAATCAAGCAAAGTACTGTCGCCGAATAGTCATATGTAATCTATTAAGGAATTTGGGTTTCGAATGTTTGATCCAATAAGTGGTTAGTTCTTGGAAAATCCATCAGGACTTAAAAACAAGCAACGTATTACGCCGAATAAGTAATCAAGATAATGAAGAGGAATCCTTTTGAGGATTTATTATCGTGAAAGATTATAAGCTAACGTAGTCGTTCTTGATTTTTTTCTTAACAAAACACGTTTAGATCTTATTAAAAAAATATGTAAATGAATTTGGAGATGCGTGCCAAACGTCTGATTTTATATTTTACGATTCTCACGAAATTATAGGAAAAAGTGTAGGAATTTCTTGTAAAATCAAAGTAAAGAGTAAACACGGAATTACCTTGTGCATTTGTATCATATCTTTCGATGCGCATCAGAGTAAGCGCAGCCAACGTTATTCTTTTTTTGCGCAATGATCCCAATAAAGACCCTGTGTGATTTTTTTTTTTTTTCAGTAATTTACTCTTTATTTAAAAATAAATTTATTGATGGATTGTGTTGAGTAACGAGTTGTTATCTTTTATCAAGCACAAATTTATAAATTTCTACATTCCAAACTCTCCTGGTTGGATCGTCGTAGATTTTCATACTAATTGTATAAGATTTAAGACTGTTGCTACCAGTAAAGTTTGCGATCTCGAAATCTAAGGAACGTAGTAATTTTGCTTCATGAAATTGTTCAGCAAGCGGTTCCATATCTTTTTCTTGAGACATATTATTAATTGTACTTAATGCGATAAACTACTAGATAACGTTAGTTTCTTACGAACGAATGACGCACTGAGTCTTGAAGAATTAATCGTAAGCGATAACGTCAGATAAAGTGGCGTAGACCGAGTTACGCTGCGTCTTTTTAATTAGTTATTAACAAAACGAGCAAAAACAAACTAATTCTCGGAAGTTAGATAGGTTATCATAACAATAACAGAGCGTTGCGCTGACCTGGATGTATCATTTTCCAGTGCGCTATTGTATTTTACGAACGTATAATGGCGTTGTTATTTTTGTGTTCATTCAATAAATAATTGTTCCATTTATCAGTCGAGTATTTCACCGAAATATTTCAAACTTTTTTATATAGAGTGTCTTGACTGCGTGCCTGGACCATTGATAGTGAGAACACCAAGCACTTTCATCATGGCCTTGAAATTATTCGTCCCGAATGAGTGGAAGGTCCTGCTCCCTACGACGCTCCAGAAAGAATTGGTTAGTACTATCGTAACATGGCAGGTAACGCACGAATCTTCGCAAGGTGCTACAGGGGCGTACAATGGTGTTACTGCAGAACTGATAGAGAGCGACTATGATTGGTGGTTTAGGAAGGCCGATGACAGGAACACTAAGCCTGACCGGAAGTGCTATTCGGTATTCGTAATGTACGTTTGAAAAAAACTACTTGGAATGGTGATGAAATGTCGCAGCCTATATAAATTCGTCAAGCTGTTGTGTAAATAGTTTAATTAGTTTAGTGCTAGGATAAATTATGGTCATGTGTGTAAGAGTCGTTAAAAAAGCGTATAAATTAACGCGCGGGTGTGCTAATCATTCGTATCTAATTTAATAAGTTATAATTAGAATAAACTAACTATGTGTTAACTGGAAAAGTGCAACGTTATAATAAGTTATATAAGTTAGGTACGTTATATTTGTTAGAACCTAAGTAATTGAATGTTGTCATCTTGATCGACCCCCTGTGTGGTATAGTGACTTTCTTATCACTTGATCTAAATAGAAAGTAAACAATATTGCTACAGAAACCGACTTGTCTTATTTCATAATCTTAGGGTAGAAAAATAGAATGTTTACACAATATGTTCAATGACTTATTTCGAAAAAGTAATTGTCAAGTAAATTGACAATAGTAACACGATTGATCCAGAGGTGATAGCGATGACAAGGAGGAAAATGATGACTTTTTTTGATGCTAATCTGTAACAAAGAACAAATCGTTAGGAACCAAAATCTTCAATTTGTTGATGAAGGGGTAACTTATAGATCTGGAGGAAGATTCTATGGCTAAATAGTATATCACATACCTAGGCCATTAAAATAAAAAAAGTCTCAGATCACATGTGATTGTTGGCCGAGGTGAAGTCGAGGTTGACAAACATGTGGTCTGAGGGTTTACTTTTTACTGGCCAAGGTGTGTATACTATTTTTCTGCCCGACGTAGCCGGAATGTGGCAATTTCGTTTACCGAGGTGTTGCCACTTTCCGGTCGGAGGGTAGAAAAGATTGTTGCAAACTAACCAGTCGATGTTTGTTTGACGTCTTATATGAGATCAATGGTGAAATAATTACTTACTTATAGCCTGGAGGCATTACACCAACATACGATGTCTGAGTTTTAGGTCACGTCCTTTTAGCGTTAGCTACCGACAATTTACTGATGCTTTGGCTTCCGCATGCAATGTCTATCTTAACAGAGCGGTCATCCTTGGGCGATGCGACGTCACAACGGAAAGCGTCTTCGATCTCTCTGAAATGGAAAACAAACAAAGTTATTTTCTCTTCCTGATTATCATTAACAATTACGACTATCGTCAAGAATAATATCTTACTTATGGGACACTTTTTGAAAAATATTGACAAAGCCAGTTCGAGTTGGATGTCGTACAAGTTTTGCAGGAATGTTCTGGACCTCCAGAAAGCACTTCTCAGTATTCGATTCCATTATCATCTTTTGTGCTAAAGAAAGCAGGGTACTTTCAATCCCTCGAATTGGCCATTCCAAGGGAATATGAATATCACGTTCCAATTCTACATGGGTAATAGTAGCGTAGTTATTTTCCATTTTTTTACTGTGAGGAACCTAGTAGACGAACATGTTGTACGAAATTCTGGGCAGACTGCCGTGTTGAACGTGCTTAGGGCAACGTTTGACGCACTTGTAGAAGTTGTATACTTTATACGTAAGTTATGGTGTTTGACAATACTATTATACAATTTTTATCTACGCTTTGTTTACAAGCGGTAAACACACGTAGTGCTTAGGTTTCTTATATAGTTGAATACAGTAGAAGATAGTTAGCAAAGTACAATGATGGACACTGACATTAGAATGTTTATACCATATTATGATGAACCACTGATTAATTTTGATGACACGATAACAAAATTAAGAAAATATGAGATGATGTGATGCGCAAAAAGGAGACTGATGTATCCACAGCCTAGGATAAAAAAAAACATGAAAGTGACAATGATCAAGATTAGAGTAGTCCTTTGACACTGCAATGAATTTGGTGAACAGCAGAAGCCGCCTCTTTTTTGCTCATCAGGTTCGACGTCAACTCTGTAACAACACTGTAATAAGTCTTTTGGAGATTCCGGAAACCACTTACTAGTCGATGTAAATTGCACTTACACTTCAATAGGCATGTCAATTTTAAAAAATAGCTACGACCGTCAATTTAGAAAACAGTTTATGTAATGGCAATCGAGCTTCAGATTGTCCGGGTTATATAATCGTAAATAATTGTTTATTCTGCGTCACGTATTTTAGTTATCGTAACCGGACCCTAAGTGTTATCAATCTAACGACCTATTTTGTAAAACAATTATTATGTCTATCTTTCATTCATAAACTGGCGCCTTACTCAATATCAATGTCATTGAATTAATTAATTAGGTATTTTGTTTTATCGCATAGTTATGAGCAGGGAGGGTCCGAAACGGTTCGGTATGCCCTTGAGAGTTTACGATGTTGTTGTTCGTAGCGCATGGCTATTTCTCTCCATTAGAAATAAAAATGCGACGTTGGCTCGCATGTAATAATATAAACATATGACGAACCATAGAATGGCCAGCTTGTGGTTCTCACAGGTGTCAGTCGTAACAATCGAACCCTTAACCTCCAGCTACCGTCCAAATCGATGAGTTCGTTCACCTAACCTTACTGCGCACCTTTTCGGCGTTATGTTTTAGATTGACGTCACATATTTACTATCGCTGTCTTGTTGTCGGTTATAGGCTCGTTATTTGTTGAGTTAGATTAGTTACACTTTTATTACAGTATTATCGGAACTATAAATAGTCTAAAAGAAATCAATAGAGAGACTCAATGTTATTGTGTATCACCTATAAATACTAGGTGATAGTAGTTACGTGTTAATAGTCATTGGCAGCGTCTAAGCAATCTTATTTGTAGTAACCTTCACATTCTAAGAGATTGAATAATACGACGGAGTGTTGCATGATAGTGGAGTACAAAGTAAATAAACTTTGTTTATCTTGTTAATTTCAATTAAACTTTGATTAGGCATTTTGCTCCCGGATGAAGTTGACATCATGACCGTCAGTATCTAAAGAGTTCCTATAGAGTCCCAATAAAAAGTCTATTAAATTTTATTGCTCATAACATTCGTGTTCACGCTGGCGCTTCATGTTCAGTGCTTATCAGTGTCCCTACGTGATATGGCTCTTGCACGCAATTGATGGTATGAATACTGATTCGAATTACACACATATCGATGAGGAAAACAAAAATAAGCAATCTTGTTGGTGATAATATTTGGAGCTTATACAAGTATTGCGGTGCTAACGGAAAAATATCGGGGTGAGCAAGTCTCATTATCTTGTTACGCTATTAATAGCGTGTCGCTAGAACAAAACGCGTTAGCAATGAGATAAGCTTGCTGTTTGCTCGACGACTACTGATTGCTTCGATGTCATAATGGTTTGAATGCGGTTCTTGGTGAACGACGATGTAAAGTACACTTCTGACTTAGTTTTTGTGAAAAATGATGTTTTTAGAGGTGCTGCTGCAGTTGTTTTTTGCAAAATGGCGGTTTGTAGGTGATTAAAAAGAAATTTACCTAGAGACTTATGGACTGGATTTTGTTCAGTATCTTTGTTCAATATTTAATAAGCTACATACTTTTTCATGCTTAAATTAAGTTATTGTTTATTGCTTGATTTTTTTTTTTATAAATTATGCTTCTATTAGTTGTTACGGGAGAATATAAATATTAATTATATAATAAAAGAATGCTAAGAAGAAATTATTGAAATTTCACTCAGACATTTCATTAGAAAATTTGAATGTGTGTGTCTGCTAAAATTTTATAGCTTTTTGAATGACGAACAAAAATACTGAATAAAATCTCAGGATATTTTCACTTACAGCTTTTTTTATTTTTGCTTACCCTTGTGGACATAATTCTCTCAAAAAAGTCAATCAACAGCAAATGAAGTGAACTTGCTGTTGAAAATAGGTTCCTTAAATTTCAAGTTTAAAACTTTTACTAGTGAGATATGAGAAAATCCCATACAATTTGTATGAAAATTTGTGAGGAATCGACATGGATTGTACCTAAAGTCGAAATTTAGAAATTAATTGCATTAAAGTACGCGTATGTAAAATCTAATGCCAAATAAGCGTGATAATTTGTTTTGAGCGCAAGTCAATTTTGCGTAAAAAAATCAGCAATTAAATCTAACCTGCGTGGGCTTATTTTATCAACAGATGTTTGCCATAAAATTAGGTGCCAAGTGCAGTGTAACCGATTGAAAAAACGAATTTTTATTTTATTATAATATGCTTACCGAAAGTAATAAAATGAACTTTAAAAACACTTTAGTAGCATACGAACATCGCGATTAATAGCCTAGTGTAGCATTAAATGTCTTATTAATAAAATCACGACACCCAAGAATTCGTATTGGCTCTGCATATATATACCCCTGTGCAGCGGAATGCCGCTGCAATTTCGCACCAGGACGCTTAAGTAAGAGTACCTAGACCATATCTTTCTTTTTTTTGAGAACATTAAACACGTGTTAAGTGTTTAAACTACTTGTCAGTGTTCGATTAAAGCTATTATAGTTTTTATAAACACTTAGTTCACTATCCCGTTGCTATGCTTTGTACAAGTTCATTGGTTCTATCTCCACAGAGGAGTTTAGTTGGAACGTCAGTGTATCGCGTTCATTAAAACATAAAAATTCGTTGTTGCGACGAAATCTTGGAAGCACAACGGGCTACTGTATTTGGTATATTATTTATTGCTGAACAAGTCACTTTAGTAAAACAAAGGTCACTGTTCTTCAACGAGTCGCCCCATACTCGCATGACTTATGAGACAAAGCCTTCACTATATTAATTGTATTGATAAAATGTAGGCCAATGTTTCGCTTATAGTTTCAGATCGGTAGTTCAGACTTCACTGGCTGTACGTCTATTAAGTTGGCAGTTCGCAACCCTCATTTCTATCGGTGCCTGATTTATTTAGACGGTTAGTGTGAATAGTGATTTATCGATTTATGTGTCTGAGTGAAATGGTGTTATATATGTAAATGGTGACGTTTTCAGTTTCAGAATGAGCGGCATGAGAAAACGGACAAGTACGTTGACGTCTACTGAGTGCAATGAAATGTGAGTATTAAAGTTATTTCGTTCCAGTTTTAGACATTTTCTGTTAAGCCATAAATTTTAGCGTAGTTAAATGAATTTATATTCACCAATTACGTCGATACCCTCCTTATGACGTTGCACTGTGTTCATCCGAAAAGTTCCAGAGGTTACTATCGTTGCCATGCAGACTACCCGTACCGGCTGCACGATAGAAAGCATTAGTTTCTGTTGACATTAAAAACTGCTCTCACTAATTCTCTCCATTAAAGAGTCGTCACCGTTTAAACATTTCAATTTCTCAACCAACTGTTTTTCTCTTCTCTCTGCAGACATGAACGGTGGAATTGCAAATTGGCTGAAGAGAAACTCGAAGAGGCAATCCGCATGATAAAAAACGCCACCATCAGCAAGCCACAGGCGATCGTCTCTCCACTTTCAAAGGAACCTAGTTATTTTTATCAGGAATTTGGACTATAAAAAATAACTCAGTGTCAAATTTTTTAAATGTTGCAACGTTTCGTTGTATTTTAACTTCATCAGCACTTGTGGCAAATCATATATAGGACAAACGAAGCAGAAACTTAAGAAGCGGATTAATCAACACATCAACGATTGCAGACCTGTCAACATTAACAAGAGTAACATGATGGCATTGGCGGATCATCACTTTGAGAGCGGGCATGACTTTCAGTTTGACGCTGCTCATATTTTAGACTATGAATCTCATTTTCTAAAACGTAACATCAGTGAGATGTTTTTCATTAAAGTGTTTGATTGCGTCAACTTTAGGTCTGATACTCAGGGGTTAAGTTCATCATACAGTGACATTATATCAGTGGCTAAAAGATTCATGCAATAATAATTTTTTTCTCTTGGAAAATATTTTTCTTTGAAAGGTGATTTTGTAAAAAATGAAATAGTAAGAATTTTTTATAGGGATTACTTTAAGATAATTTTTATTTATTTATTTGACTGAGATTATTTGTATTGATTAATATTTTAAATCATAATCATTTCAAAATTGAGAGTCGACATAGTAGTTTGGAGAAGCACAACTGTTTTTACCATTGCAGTTGTTTACACTCAGTCTGTTGCTGTCTGTCTTGAATGTAATTATTGTAATTTTATAGCTTATTATTGTTGACTAATTTGTTTAAATGGAATGAAAATTGACTAAGTTTTCTTAATATTATGGTTACCACTTGTTCAACTTTATTTATATATTGTAAAACGATGAAATTTTTCGGAGTTTATTTTGAGATACAACAGTGTTAACCTTAAATGTAAGATTTTTTAATATTTATCTTTTTATTATCTTTGTCATATTGTTATTAACAATGTGTTTTCTTTTGTACAGTTTGCCTCATGAAGTTGTGAAATACAACGAAACGTTGCAACATTTAAAAAATTTGACACTGAGTTATTTTTTATAGTCCAAGTTCCTGATAATTTTCATTATTGTTTATAAATCATGGATGATAATCGTAGTCATAACTAGTTATTTTGATAAGCCTAGATTGTAATATCGTTGATAAAGAATTTGTAATTTTTATTTCTGAATAGTTTAAATGAATTAAAGATCTCACTTTAAATTATTCTTTTATTAACTCTTTTACTAGCAACTATATGTGCACTCTGACGTTAAGTAGGATATAAAATTAGCATTTGCAGTAATAATAGCAAATTAATCTCATCAATTGTCAATTTAATGGTTTTGACATTCTCTCATCACTGTCGATAAATATTAGAATATTTGAATCAAAATGTCTTGGGTCACTGCCAACCATACATTGGTACGATTGCTTTAGCGAGTATTTGATTATTCTAAAGCCATTAAAAGCCAAGAGAGCTTCTAAGACGCCCGCGGCTTTTGCTATAGAAGTTTTTGTTCCAGTGTGCGAAGGACGTGTAATGTATAATTACACTACCTGATCATTGACTGAATATAAATTTTAGACCCGAGTTATGTTACTCGAATATCAATAGTCTAGATTTTAAAAGCTGTGTAAACATCTATAGCTAAATTTGTCTGTTGTACAAGAATATGGTGGTATACTGTGCCATTATTTTGTCGCAATGATGTCATCCGATGCTGAATAGGGAGTTAAGAACAAAAAACCACTGTTATAAGGTTGGATCGTAAGTACACTTGTATTGTAATGGACGATTAATGATCATAGGGACCTTTTTTGTAAAGCGTAAAAAATGGACAATTTTGTAGCATCTACTAACAGTTTTATCATTATCTGAAAGGATAAAAGGACTTGCTTGATTAACCGGGCTGATATTTAAGCATTTATGTAGCAGTAATATTGAGGATAACCGCAATGCGGCTTATCCCGGTTATATTAATAGATACATTCAATTTTTCCTGTTGCCTAATCGCTTATAAGTTTCCTTGGTAACCAAACCCAGCCGGGAGTATCACCTCATTAAAATTTGGTTGCCATGCTAACCTGATCTTAAAGACGTCATAAGCTAGCTTGGTACATATTACTCTGAATTTTATAATGGGATTTTAATGCGATTGAGGTTGATAGTAGAACTCTTCTCGAATTTTATTGCGGCAAAATATTTAAAAAATTTCGCAGTTTCTTGCCAAGATTGTAAATAGCTCAAGACGCGCAAAAATTGCGTAACATAAACAATTTTTGCAAAAACTACACAATGATTTCAGTAGCTTACGCTAAATAAGCGTAAAATCGATTTTATACAGCGATCGTGACGCTTTAATGTACGATAATTGCCATCAAGACTCACCACGCGGCCATGTACGATCGTCAACAGTAAGTCCGCCTTATAGCGACGTAAAGTGAGTTCCTATTTTCTTGTCGCTAGCTTAGCGTTTAATTATAGAGGAATTATTAAAATAATTACTAGGTTCAATTGCGTCAGCTAGTACTTATCATATTCTATATATAAGGTTGAGTTGCTATGTGATCGAGGAAAACTTTCGTGTATTATAACTACAGCATTATGTAATTTTATGAGGTGTAGTGTAGTTATTTTTAGTTACTTGTCACCGGTGCGAACTTAAGGAAAACGTGTTTAAACAAGATTCCTGTGGCAAAACTCTTAGTTTCTTTCTAGGGTCTCTATCTACGTATGTGCCTTGCATTAGATCATGTTACGCATTAATTGTATCAAAAACTTGCAGCAGATGCTGGCAATTTAAATCTGTCACAAGTATCTGCTGCAAGACCTATAAGTAGAATTTAACGCTAACAACTATCGAACCAGAGTAAGCTTGCACAAACCTTGTAAAAGATTGTTATACAGGACAGTGTTTGACCTTATCTACTCCCTTTCTAAATTTCGCTATTCGAGTCATCTAAAAATTCACTTTTGTAATCAATAGTAGAAAGTCGATAATAAATGTCACTTGATTCTGCTTAATCTCGGTCGCGTCGTAATAAATGCTATCTTCTATTATTTAATTATTTTAGTTAATTAACAAGTCAACCGCTTGTAATTGTTCCACTACGATTTTACAGTCTTGGTCACGGTCACGTTCGCTTTAGTTTAATTTACGTTCCAAACATTACCTACATACTATTATTTATGCCCAATTAGAATGTCAATTATACGGGGTTACCTTATTATTTTAATTTGACGTTGTTTAAACAATTTGTTGGATGATAAGTGCAATTACAATATTATGTAAGCTTGTAAAGTAAACACACAGATAAGATATTCCACTTATACACAAGCAACAGATCTAGCTCAATTAATAACGGGTGAACTAATGATATGTGGCTTGCTTGCTTGCCAAAAGATTTATATTGATAAGAAATCAGAATCTGCCACAGGTATCTTACATCACAGAAAAAAGTCGCATATGCTCTATAAAATCTAGTCTTATCAAATGTTTTCACAAAACTTTTAATTAGCCGGCCAAGTCCTATTTATTACATCGAATGTGCCAACAATTTTAATAATAGCTAAATTCTTTATCTACCTCAATAAACATTGTAAATGTTGTAGGTTAGTTCGGCATTTTAATCGGTAGGTCCAGGTCAGTGACTATCTGCCTACGCATTTTTCTCTATTTTCATTTAATGTAACTGCGCAGTAGTTCAATAGGTTGGTGAACTCCAATCGCAATGACAAGTCAAGGATTTAGGTTTAGTCACTCTTTGGCGCAGTAACCAGTTTGTAAACAAAAAATGTGATCCAACCTGATGTGCCTCAAGGTTCAGTATGTCAATTATTAGACCAGTCACAAAAGTTGAATATAATACAAGATTTCTAGCAAATGTTGCCATCAATCCACTTAATCACATTAGAGTTATTAGGCGGCTTTGTTTATCCGCAAACGTATCGAAACAGCCGTTTGTCACGCGTTGCCTTGCCTTTGATTGTGACGGCTAACTCATTACTACGTCACAGACGTCGGTCAGTCTACTGATTAATGTAACAGAAATGAGTGTCAGCGATAATAAAATGGTAGTAGAGTTGGTTGTAGAGCACTACGGTTAATGTGTTGAAATCGTTTTTATGGCGTTTCAGTTTTTGTACAAGTCATGTTAGTGGTGATAAATTAGAGATTTAAATTAATAATATGCATTCTAGCCTGCACGATGACCTGGTTTAATTACCTTTTCAATTGTTTAGTCCTAAGTAAACGTCCGATATAAAAGCGGGATTCTGAATTGAACTAGGTTAGTCAATAGTTGGTTATTCCTGAAAATGTGTGGTCGTTTAGTAATTCGTTACGTTAATCTGACAGACACAATTGCAGTGCCAGCAGAATGGCATCCTCACGTGTTTCACGAATTCTTGGTCCCACTGGCTGAACAAGTGATTAATGATGTCAATGCGGGCAAATCGGTCGTTTTGCAAGTATTGAACACGCCTGCAAAATTGAAACAACTCCAAAACAAAAACAGAATCCTATATCTCTTCGAGAAAGTATTCGCAGAGTGGGTGTTTTTTTTTTCATTCCATTAATTATGGGATGTGACAGATGTATTGTAAAACTAAAGGTGTGCTTTGATGTGTTTCAGAGAGCTGGTGGGCTCTTCCGTTATTGATGTCATTTTTGATATGAATGACAAGAATATAAAAGCGATGAAGGACGTTCTCGGGCCAGAACCTTGCAATCCGTAAGATACTATGACCTAGCACATATTTGATGATGATAATGACACTGATTGCTTGAATTTTATCAATTTTCAGGAATGCCCTTAAATACAGGGTTTCATTAGACGATTACAATATTCAAGTTTATCGGAGCGAATTTAGAACAGCCTACTATCTGTTACCAATTGCAAAAAGGTGATTTGTAGAAAATCAATCCACCAATTACAGCAGTTGTTCTTCAAGAGAAAACTATATCTAGCATTTTCTTTTCAGTATACTGACGCCAAGACTTGTTCAAGCTCAGCAGCAAGGTTCATACCAACTGAATACATTAAGCGATAGGTATGCTTTCCAATTTGGTTTTTGTTTGACGAGCGCAAACACAAAGCTCCTCTTTGAGTTTGCTTACGTAAACCTGTTAAGTACAGTCAAATATTTGTCGTCGTTAACTCACTTCGCGACCTTGACGTAACTATCTACGTCTGTCATCAAACTGTCCATTGTCTAATATGCCCGAGCAAGGATCAAGTTTTTTTTTTTTTGTTCCAGGGAGGTGAACGATGAAGGCCTTCTTCTCTTACTTATTTTCATTACTACTCCTCTCCTGTTTCTGATCTATACGATATTTCACGCTAATTAGAAGCACAGTCGGTACAAGTGCTGCATGGTAACATATGTGGGATTGACATCTGTCTTTGTACTAACGGCTTATGTCAAGTAAAAAAAATAAATAAACTGCTTTCTAAAACAGGCTTTAATTTCTCTTACGAAGACAATCCATTACACAAGTCATAGACCCGCTGAATTGTTAGTAAATTGTCACCACTAATTTAAATTGGCCGTTATGTGTACCATAATTCGCAATAATTGTGATTTAAAGCTGGTCGTTAATAATACCCTTCCTTAAACTAATTTTGATGAGTCATTGAGCTTCTTTGTTTCATCCACCTTCCATGAAACAGAATTTAACCATTCAGCCACGTCGTGAATTGTCATATATTTCATTCTCACCATTGTGAATTTTTATTTCTATTTGATTTAAACAGGCATCTGAACAAAATAACAAACAGACATTTTAAATTCGATGCCATAAAATGCTAAGCAGTTAATCGCTACGAAGAATAAATAACTGACAATGGAAATAACTTAATGTTTGAGGTTGAATGACATTAATTAAATAATTTATTGTCTGAATGGATTCTTTATCAACATGGTAAATTGATTTTTATGATGATAGTAATTTATAGTCTACGGTCAATATGATTTATAGTGTATGCTATTCTGCAGACCCGGATCGAGACGGCGCCATAACGATTATTTGACCAATGTAGGTGATTATGCTAATGCTAATATAAAAGTTTGCTCGATTTTTACTACCAGCATTTTTACACCGTTTAAGCATTAATTCACGCTGACTAAATTTCAGTATCACCTATTGAAAACAATAGTTAGTTAAGTACTTGTTCATGAATAATTTTCTATCGATTAAAATAGTACCATGTCTTAATTATGTTTCTCATAGGATAATTATTGAGGAATTGACTGGACAGTGTGTTGTAGTCCTGTCAACTTAGATTTCATGCTTTAGGAAGTGAGCGATGAAAATGGCATTATTCTATAGGCAAAATATCTAGATAAACAGGTGCTGACAATTCTTCAAGCAATGGTTGTATTATAAACTTTGGCGTCAGTCTAACAATTTTATTTGAAATTTACACTCCGTTTTTATTGAATAGCATAACAATAAATCATAAAAATATAGCGTAGGGTAATTCTTATCGGTTTTATAAAAGTTTCGGCGTAAGTCTGAAACAAAGAAAAAAATCCGTTAGTTTCATTGAACAGTTCTAGGAAAAAAGATCGCTGATTTGATTCGGTGAATAATCAATTGCCTAAATGAATGCGTCGGCTGTATTTAAGTCTGTAGGACACACTTATAGTAGCATGCGTCATTGATATTCAGGTCAAAAGAATTAATGTCTTTGTTTCGCGCAAAATATCCCGATTCAATAAATTTAAACATCTGCCAATAAATTGACTCCAGAATAAACTATTTCAAATGGAAATTTATTTATGTTCCTATTAACCATGTATTTACCAATTTGTCCTCGATCTATGGTATAAATGTATCAAAAGTCTACATTAATAATCATTGTTTTCCGAGATGGAAAATAACCTGATGGCCTTGAATTATCTTCAGGCTAAACTAACATCGTTTTGGAACCAAATCTATGTACATCTTCAAATATGGATTATTATATTCGCATTTCAAGAGTTGGATCAAACGATATCAAAAAAACGAGTAAAAGTTTATGCTAAAGTACTGCCATTGCAGTCATTACATGAACGATTACATGAATTTAACCCTCGAAGTAAAATATTTCTCGAAAATAGGTTTGTTTTTAATTAATTTTTCAGCATAAAAAACAATTCAATTTAGAATAACAATTATTGTATTCAAAAGAGCATTGTTTTTATCTACCAACAATGTAATAACCTGAATTCCGATAAAATGCATAGTTTCTGAGATATAATTCTTCGAAAGTCAAGTGGGGTCAATTTGACCCCGTGTATACTCTAAAGTTCTGTTCGGAGGTGTGTACTCAAAGGGTTAAACATTTGTCTATATATTGTAACGTCTGCTCAAATTCAAAATTTTTGCTTTTTTTTTTCTACCCATTAAAAATTTTAATATTTAATTCACTATTTTATTTTCTAAGGTAAATATTTCTTAATTTTAAGTATCTAATTTCTTAAGCATGGAGATGTGACGTATGTAAGGGTCATGTCGTGCAGAAATTTTACAATTTAATCTCACACCTATAAAATTTTCTTATATTAAGTTTTTCATTTTATTATTTTATATATGTTTCAACTTTTAACATTTCTAAATTTTCAGTTACTTATTTACTTAAGTGTTCGACACATTTATTAGATATTACAATAGCTGTACACTTGATGCTACGTTCTGATGCAAGTATTTTCAACATTTGGTTATATTGTCTTGAAAAACGGTTAGACTTCGAATTTCCGGTGAAGAAACGTGTCGCCTTTAACACTTGTATTTGCCTATGACCGCGTTCTAGTGCATGTTCGGTAGTTGCTCAATATCACGTGAAACGCACATGAATTTGAGTCATACTATCGAAACTTCTAGAATTTTTTAACGCAATTTTCTAACGCATCCTGACGCCGACAGTCTTTATTGTGCTCCGGGCATTATTTTGATGTTCGTGGTTAGGCTTTTCGTAAAACTATGAAAGCACTAACGTAATCTGTAATCATTAGAGCATTCTATTCGCGGTGATCGATGTACTTCGAACCGATATAGACGTGAGTCTTGCACGGCATAACAATTAAATTCAAAGAGCTGCATCACTGATCAGTTAGCAATTTATTTGGTCGGAAACGTGAAACAGATTATAGTAAATAGTTTTTTTTTTATTATTATTTCATTGTGTGTACTAATTTCCGCGAAAAGCGTTGACAAAATTTAAATATTCCGCGAAGAAAGCGTTAAATCAAATCCTAATTTTCCGCCAAAAAGGGCGCATTTTTCATTTTATCGCGAAACGCAAAGTCTAATATTAAGTAAATAATCACTAAAAGTGTTTTTCGAATCGTTACCAAATACTACTACGTTGTCTCAGCAGGTAGCAACAAGTTAAGAAAGGTAACCTATTCATCTATTTTATTTTTATTTTTCTATTTGTAACACATATATTAGCATTTTAATGCATGATCTTTATCTTGTTTTTCCTTAAATGTACAAGTTTGTCATAAAAATAAACTTAAACAATTAACATTTTAAATATTTTCTTTCTTTTAATATTACTTAGAGTTAATATCCATAAATTCATAAACAGTAGAATAGGCTTCACGAGGCCGAAGTCAGCAGGATCCTAACATCCTTTCAAATTACTAAACCACTATTTGTAATCATAGTAAGGTTTGGGAATAATTCGTGACAATATCAACTCCAGAATGAATAAACTATTTCATATGAATAAACTATTTCATTATTATTGTGCATGTTCCAGAATAACCCGATGACCTTGAATTATTTTCAAGTATATTTATATTTGTTAAAAATAATGTTTTTTAATAATAGAATTTTTAATAATGGGTTAATAGCTATTTAGTTAATAGCTATTATTATCAATTTTTAAAAATTGATAATAGTAGCTATTAACTAAATAAGAATTATAATTAAATAGCTATTAATATAATAGCTATTTAATTATAATTAAAAATAATTAAAAGAATTACTGTTAGCATTATACCAACTGACAAGTAACTGTACGGTTATAAAGTTTTTGTTTATAAATGGATGTTTACATATAGATGTTTATAAACGCCTGATACGATATAATGCTATTTCAGTGCTTATAGACACTATTTAAATAAGCAAAAATTTACTCATAGTACTAACATGTGGCTACATAAACAACGGTTTAACAGTCAAACCTGACAAAAATACGAGTGAAAGAACTTTTCTTGCTCTCCTACCCGAAAGTACGCTCTTTCTGGACGCATTTTACTCCAGAAAGAGTAACATTTGTGGCTTGTTTTGGCGCATGCGCGCTACGCATATTTTCTGGCCGGGCAGCACAGAACCTCGCTTCTTTTCATATTTTCGTGGCGTGAGTTTCAACTGTCTCACAGTCACAACATCACAACATCGTCTGTATGTAACCTGTCAGCGCATAAACTAACCAGAAAGTGTCAAAGAATAAAAAATAATTTATAACTAGATTATTATTAATGAACTATTTAATAATAACACTACATAAATGATTCATATAAAAAGTTTATATAAAATAAAATATAAGAGTTTTGTGGACTTTTGCTTTCTTTTATATTTTGACAGCTACCCAAGTAACATGTGCTTGAGCAAGATTTTGGTGCCAGCGTCTTGAGCAAAACCCCTAGTTGCTAGTGTCTTTTTCTACATATGGGTCTTGCTCAAGTTTATTTAAAAAGACATGGTTCAAGATTTATATATAACTAGCTCAAGACATCTTGTGCAAGAATATGAGACAAGTCTAAAGCAAGGTGCATTGAAAGACTTTCTGACGCATTTTTTGTACCAGAAACTCACAACAAAGACTTACCCATGAGTTGCTCAAGATTTGCTCAAGATCCATAATTATCAGAAATCCACTGATTCTATACAAAATATAGGAGGGGTAGAATGATGCGAACGTTCATTCGAAAACATTCTATCTTGAGCAAATCTTAAGCAACTCTTGCACAAGTATATTTAGCATGCTTCTGGTGTCAGTCTTTCTCAAGACTTGAGCTATAATCTGGCCCAAAGATCTTGTACAAAGCTTGTAAATTGAATTTGCTACAAGCATCTGGAGCAAGACCCATAGGTAGAAAAAGACACTAACAACTATCGAAATTGAGACCAGATTTGCTCAAGCCTTGTAAAAGATTGCTATATGGGTAGTCAAGCAATGTTTATAAAATAATAGGTACATGTACTCTACAAGCTTCTAATCATTCAATTTCAATCTTTCTTAGCCGTCGATTATTAACTAAAAATTAATTTTTAATCAACTCAAAAAAATAAATTCTGTTATTAGAACGAGTTTAAATATTTGTGCCAAGTTCTGTGCATTTTATCACTCTAAATTAGAACAGTTGTTAGTAAACTTTAGAATAACTTATTTTTTTTTTAATTTATTAATTTTTACTTTTTTTTTTGTCCGCCCCGACTAGCAAAGTCTCGGCTTCGCCTCGGTTTTGCAAAACCCCTTCCACGGAGTTGCGTACTTTCGGGTGGAGAGCAAGAAAAATAGTATACAACCCACGACCAGAATGTTGGATGCCCTGACGTATGAGATATGATGGCCTCGGCTACGCCAGGAAATCCAACTTTCTGGCCTAGGGTTGTAATATACTATTTCAAAGTCAAAAAATACTACGCACGAGGTGTTTGCGTGACATGTTAAGAACGCAGATAACTTTTATGGATGGCATGACTCTTTAAGTCAGTAAATAAATCGGATAAGACAGTATCTGAGCTTTTGTTAACCTGTTGCTATGCAGACGTTCGTTAGAAAGATGTAGACTATCTATCACATGCACATATCACTTGTATAGGTAAAAGTCACGGTTGCTGATAAAAAGCGACTTGGATCGCTTTACCACGTGGTTTGTTTGATTGATTACAATGACAAATTATGAGATATTCAATGAATCTATTTATAGAAAGAGTAAGTTATGTTAGTTCAACCGAACATCGTTAAGTGGCGTTAGGATGCGTTGTGTAAAACAGTGGCAAAATTTAGAACTAGTTTGATCCACTGAGTTCATCATCATCGAAGCTGAAAAAGTTCGATGAAAATCCGTGAGATGTCACCAGTATATTGTTCGAAGAGACGGAAGTTTTTGGAATTATTTTGTAAGCGACAACGTTACTAAAAACAAAGAGGTTTCGTCTCAATCCGCAAGATGGCGTTTTACTAAGTGACCTAGTATGTGTAATCGTTCACTTCCATTCCGCGAGATAGGGTTAAGCAGCATCATAATATAAAATGACACGTACTATACTCATTACCATGGACAGTACGTAAGGTAAAATAAATACGATTTATTACAAACTGTAAATACGTGGCTTATCAAGAATAATAAGAATTAACATCATAACTGTAAATGGTTTGAAATATTTTTCGGTGATTCATAACTCACAGAATAAGATCAGTTGCAAAAGATGGGTATGAAAACTAGATTATGGAGTTCAACGACTGGACAAGTGTAGTATCCTAGTGTCCCAGTATTTATAAAGTAATTGAACGAATGTTTGGTAGAGGGTGATGCTCGATTAACCCTTCAGTATCCATGTTATTCGGGTCACCTTCTTTACTCTCGCCATGAAAAAAAATCTCACATTGAATTAACATTCATTAACAACAGCTCGATTTTTAACAACCTCTAATATTCTCGCTATAAGAAAAAATCTCATAGTCTTAAAAAAAAAATTATTTTTCTTATTTCTAATGAAAATAAGTAATTTTTTAATGAACAGTAAAAAAAAATATAAAATTTTCGGAAGGTAACAAAAATTTCAAGTGGTTTTTCCATATGAATTTAAAAAAATAATTAAGATTGAAACCGAGCGTGAGTAAAATTCTCATAATATGGTTGCTGAAGAATTAAAGTAGAACTGTGATGTCACTCTCTTGTGTGTGTTTCTTCCTGACATACATGTATTTATATTATTCTACAAGTGCAATATCTATGAAATAGAGATATTTTTACTTCAAAAAGTGGCTTGTTTAATAAGACAGAAGGAAAGAAACTACCTCAACCGTTTCGTGTTATGGCGTGCGATTTATTGCAAAGCTAAATCGAACCAACTCGTCAAGAGGGCTTGGAAAATATCCAAACACATAAAACAGAAAGAGTTTATTATACTCAGAAATAGCGCTTAGCAACCCGGGTCGAAAAATTTAAACTGATTTTAAGCTAAATGATCTGCATTTGAACTTATTGATCTGTATTTGAACTTTTAAAAACATTTTCATCTGTATTTGATCTACTATTCAAATTATTTTTGATCTGTTTTAAGTCTAAATTACCTTTAAGTAAAATAATTGAGCAGCTATGAATATTTTATGCTGTTTCTAATTTAATAAGACTAAAAAGTTTTAAAAGTTTGATCGGTTTTTAGTCTAATTAATTTGTAGATAGACTTTATGTATTGTTTTCAAATTCAATCTGAAATCTTATACTGTTTTTGATCTACAATTTTCACCCTAAATTTTCGAAGGCCAAAAGTCGACTGAGATGGCGACTTGTAATTTTTTTAACTCAAAAGTATCTCATTAAAAATTATAAGTCGCATTTATTTGAAAAAATAAATTAATTTAAAATATATTCATGCGCTCTCTTGTTTTATGAACTAAACGTCGATTATAACCTTACATCTGTCATATTTATTTGTCATAGCTTAGCATTTCATGGATTATAAAGTTTGGTATACATTCCAATACGAAATAGTGAATGGTCACTATTTCAGTTTCAGAGAATGAAAAGCCGTGCCCTGTAGAGGATCTTCGAGGACATGAATAAAATAATAATAAATAAATATATTATTATTATTATTATTATTATTATTATTATTATTATTATTATTATTATTATTATTATAAATATTATTATTATCAAATCCGTAAAAGGTCGGTTTTTGATCTACAGACGATGAAAAACCGACTAAAAATTATGGAACGTTTTGGTCTATTTTTGACCTTGATGCGATCAAAACCAGCTAAATGATTGTGACAAAAAAGTCTGATTTTGGTCTTGAAACAATAGAAAAAAATTTTATTACAACATTAAAAATGATCTGAAATTGGTCTGAATTGGGAATAGTACGGGCAAAAACAGATTAAATTCTTATCTAAAATAGATACACATAATAAAATTAAATTGAATGAAAAATATTAAAAATTTTCATTATTCATAAAACAGATTAAATTTTTTGACCCGGAAACTTAACTTTGATATTTATTATTGTTGACATTAATCGTTCTACAATATAATTTAGCGAAATAGGAAGGGCTACGATAACGACTGGTCCCGGCGATGTTGAATTAATTGCTATGTATCACGAAATTAATGATGAAAATATATTCATTAATATTATTTATATATATTTCTAAGAACACATGTCGCAGAAATAAAAAGAAAAAAGATTAATTATTGACAGTTGAAAAATGAAATGATCTAATGATTGACATATCATTGCATTGAGATGGTACTCTTCAGCATCTCTAATACCCTTTTAATCTCAAATTGATAACATATAAACTGTTCAGCTTGTATAATCGGTCATCATTCTCAGTGGAGCCCTTAGTGAGACAACGTGTCTTTTAAATTCAGTAAATTTTTATTGTTAAAACGTATTTGCCTAAAAACGACAACAGTTTTGACGATAATCTATTTGTATATATCCTGTACTGTTAATAAAACATATAGATATAGGCCAAACTGATAGAAGAAAAGAGAAATACTATGAAACAATTTGAAGATTCAATTCAGCCTGAGAAAAACTGAGTAAGTAATAACTGGGTAAGTATTTTGTTTTAATACATTTATTCGTTAGCCTCTTAATAATGCGCATAATTTATTTTTTTCTTGTAATTAATTTGGCCTAGCAAACACTGATAAAGTTACGCTGCAAAATTCAGGAGTTTTATTTAACCCTTTAACGTTTTGGAGTCTCGAGAAATCTTGGTGTGAGCCTGGAAGGGGAAAAACCAATTATAATGCGTTTTACGGCTGTGTGAGTAGCGGCTTGACTGTATAACGTGTCCATGCGCCCCCTTCTACTTCTTTTTAAGCCCCTTCTCTACAAAACAGACTATAGCTCTCTCACTTAAAGAAGAAGACGGACAATTGAAATTGGAAGTAGATCGATTCGTGAGCAAAGAGGTACGTTCTCTCTGCCAGCAGAATATAATCCAAATAATACCAAGTGGACTCTGAAGTACCGAGAAAAAGCCAGGACTCGTCGAGCTCATGCCTCAAACTGGTATTTACGTCAAAAGGAAAGAGCTACAACGTTGTATACGAGAATCAAACGACGGTAGAACGCTGGCACGCTTGCTGTTAACAGAAGTCTTCAGCCAAAACGCATTGAGTGTGTGCTCATGGACAGGCGAGAAAGCAAAAGCTTTCAATTCCGTGAACATTGACCATCAGGCCAGGACTAGATGAAAACGCGAGAATGGTCCTGCTATCATTCGTTGAAGAGCATGGGAAGAAACGTAGTTGGAGCACGTCTAACACATCAGCTGTTATGAGTACTATTCGGACCAAGATTAAGGACATAAGAGACAAGCATGAGCGGACATGCAAAGCTTGAATAGATATTAAAAGAATAATTTCTGATGAGTTTGCAACTCATTACGGGTCTGAATTATAAATAGTGTATAATAAGTTTTATTAGTGAGTGTTTTTGTGTGTTAGATTAGTTTAGGCTTTGTAGATTAACACAATATTCTTAAACCTTATTATTCTGTTTTACACTAAAGCTAAAATAGTCAAGGAATACATGTATGTCTTGTGAGTATTATTGTTAACTAAAAACGAGTAGTTGTATGCTTATGTTCCTTCGCTGGTCAAATGAGTAATCAGTAAATCTAATTGGTCTATAAGTACAACAACGTAATGAAGTCAAGATCTATCACAAGCTGTAGTAGTCTGATAATGTTTAAACTTTATAGTTTACATTTCCATATCGTTAAAAATGTGTTCTTTGTAACCAATTATACATTCGAAAAATAAACTCGTCTATTTATTCAGATGACCTTTTCGTGCAGGTATTCCGATAAATAAACCAAACGAATTTCTTTGGACTATTTGTTTAACCGCTAGAAAAAAGATCTAGTCAAATACTTATAAGAAGAATTACGCCTTCAGGCTTAATCGTTAAAACTCGGAAATAATCGTATCACTCTATGGCCGTCGCTCATGCGCGCCTTGGTTAGCGGTAAAGAAGCCAGCTCGCGTGGTCTGCTGCAACAGTTGTGCTTGGACTTTTGTACTAGTACGACTACTCTGTGCTAATCAATTCTGACAATTCTTACTTGCATCTCACATTCATTCAAATATTTAAATTATTCATTAAATATAAATAATTATAGTAGATTCAATTATACTTTAAATTCTCAATTCATTTAAATCAGTTTAATAGTTCAGTGAATTAACATAAATAAGTAAAATCAAGTAAATTTGTTTAGTGACGCCACGCGGCCATTACACGCCACCGTTAACAAAGGATTGCATCAGCCACGCGGCTTTAGTCAATCCATAATCGACGCGTGATATTAACAATTAATTACATTAAATCAATTATTAACATTTAATTACGATCTTATTTAATTTAACTTATAAATAATTAAATTCCAATTTCAAATCATTTGATTAATCTCTACACGAAAAACATCAAACTCAATTGACTAACATTCTGTTATCAATCGAATATTATTAGCTCTCACCTAGAGACAATTGAACATTAATAGCTCTCACTCTGAGACAGTTCAAATTAATTAGATATTACCAGCTCCCACCTTGGGACTTATCTAATTCAAATTATCGATAATTTTCTTTATACGGCGGCTGAGCTCACCCCTATTGCGTTATTGCAACGTAATTTACACACACACACACACACACTTACACACATACAATTTACTTGTATAAATTTTAAACAAGGAGGTTTTTCCCAGCCTAGCTGGGTTTTCCTCCTTTGGGGACAAATAAACCATCTAAACTGTTCCCCAAAAAATCCAAGCATTTTTATTTAACTTCCTAATCCCAACTTCATTATATTTTTAAAACAATTACGAGAAATATCCGCATTGGATAGTTTTCGACAAAACACTATTATAATTGCAATTGTATATCCAAGACGATGATTTCCTTTGAGAAAATTTACTTTTTATTGGTAACTGAATCTTTTTTAAATCTAGCGTTCTGCCTAAAGCTTTATATCGCCCTCCTAAGCAATGGTCAAAATATTACCATTCATGCTATTCGTACGCACAATTAATTGAAATTGTTGATATCTTTGATCGTATTTTAGACTAGTTCCTTATTGGCTCAATTAGGTTGAACGCTGTTGACAGAGAACTTTCAATTGATGAAATCGTTATTTGATTGCAAAAAATCAGTAATTCAATTACTTTTCTAGAAAAACTTATCAATGGAACAGGATATTCATGTTCGATATTTTGCTGTTACAGTTGGACGTGTCCTTATCAAGTACCGATAAATAAATGGGGTGGTTTCAAATGTTATCGGTTTATGTGGAGACTAGTTAAAGCACTTATCAATTTATGCTTGATAAAGGACCCAATTATTTACTTGTTTATTCCAACAAAATATCATTAGTATTAGATTTAATGAATTCTTGTTATGTTGATTAACTAATTTCAGTTACAGGAAAATCGTGAATGTTACAGGAATAGCTGGATCATGAACACTAAAATATTTTTCATTAAAAACTGTAGTAACATTCTATTACAGTTTCAGGGAGTCACCAGTTAAACAACATTTTACATTTTTATCGTTTAAAGGTCGAATTACTGTTCATGATAATGGGGTTATCGTTAGTACAAATAGTTATTGCTGTACAAAGTTTTTATAGTGTTAAATATATTTACTTATAACACTGATATCAATTGTTGAATATTTTGAGGGTTCCTCAGAGCTACGTCTCGATGATTACAGAACATACACATGACAAGGATTTTAAGTACAAGAAATTTAAATGGCGCGCGTTTTTCCTATCCTTTCTTTCATTTTTACGTGGTTAAAATGCTATGTTCTTGAATGTGACGTGTTAACCTCTAATTTGCAAACGTCATGCAACGAACTACTATGAAATTAGTTAAGGTCGCTATTATCAAGGTTGTTTATCGTGCAAAACAAGTTTGTTTTAGTTTCATTATAACTAAAAATGAGTTTATTAGATTGTGTAAGTTAAAAATAGTTATGTAGCGCCGCCTCACGTACTTACGGTGATTTAGTAAGCCGATTTCAAGGTTATTCTAAATCTAGATTTCGGTTAATGCCTATGGAAACAATAAATACTCTCATAGAATTGTTAATAACAATGTAACTACTCAAAATTGGTTGTAAAAAACATTCTTATTCAAAACAAACATGTTTTTGTGACGTATAGAATTATTCATCCGCTCGGTGAAGTAGATAATTTATATACATAATCAATTTGCAACCGGTTCTTTCGGAAAAAATTAATTTTAATGATACAAAACATGTTTTGATAAGTTTATTCTTATTTATTTAACGACCCAGTAACGATAAAGTCGATACCTAATGCTAATTAAGAATACATTTACTAAACTGGATATAAGGCTTGATATAAAATTTTGGTGTGGTTAGTAGGTATATAAAATCATTTACATACTTGTTGTCCCCAAATCAATAACTTTTTTAGCGTTAGACTGTTTTTTGATCATGCGTTAACTGTTTTATACCATTATCTCGTCAGAGTTGAAGAGTGGGGAGGTACTCTTATCTTCAATGTTACATCATTAACTATTTATGGATACATAAATGTAAATAAACTATCGACCTGAAAAATCTGTCTGACCTTTTTAAATCTTGTTTGACGCAACCGTTGGAAAATCATCGAAAAGAAACACAATATTTTTTTTTCTAACACCAACAACCAGAAATTATTAATTATAACTGGCTGCAACTTTTCGAATGATTCAGCACTGAGTGTTACGTTGGCAGGATCTCTAGATAGTTCATGTTGTTTATGTTACCTATTTTTAGTAGAGTTAGGAGGTGAAAATGACGGCGTTTGAAAAACTAAAATGCACCGTCTCGGAAACATAACTTATTTTTTATTTAGAATTGGTTACAATAATAATTTTTATCAGCGTTCTGAAATCAGCTTGGAATTTTATAAGTTTTGAGATTTGAAAGTAGTTTCTGACGTAACAAGCATCGAACGTATCATCTTAAGAACTTGATTAATGATGTTACACAGTAGACATTTTGTGTAATTACATAAATTTACCATATTTTTCGTATTAGCATAAATGCTATACCTATAGACAGTATTTTCAATACGCTCCTGTGTTATTTTGACATAATATTCGTCATAATATATACAAAATTTCTTACTATATATAATTCATTCTGTTATTTCTTTATTGTTATTGAAACAATAACCTGACCTGAGCGTCGATAACCTCTGACATTTTCGCCGATAATGTAGTCACTACATGTCTTTCCGTGATTAGTGATTTTCTTTTCAGGCCTTTTGACACTTTGACTTGATTAACCGATCAGTATTGATCTTGCTGCTGAGTTAAAAGTACGTGTTCAACAGCTTTGAACAAATGGCTTACTCAACACTAAAAAAGTTTACTGTAGTGGAGTTTAGTAGTGAAACGGATGAAGCCGTGTTCATGTATGTTCCACGTTCTTGGATAACGAGTTATTCTGAAAGAAAGATGACTGTTGTTTTACCGAGAGGAGATGAATCCCTATTGGAATTAGATCCCGCTATTTTTAACATGCTTCCATTAAGCAACTGGCCGCAGTATGAAGGAAAAAGGATCTACGAAACTGGTGAGAGTACATTTTTTAACTTTAATTTAATTATTTTTTACTGTTGTAAATATTAACTCCTGGTTTATTTGCAGATAGTGTTGAAGAGGCATGGCAGATAACAAATTCGAAAAATAATGCTCTAAAAGAAGCAAAAGGAATGATGATCAGTTATGTAGCAGTCGTTACTTCAGTAATTAAAGAGATTAGTGACCAACTTCAAAGAGGGAATCAACATGGGCCATCTACGTCTTCTGGTATGATGAACAGATTAAATGCCGTCACCATGCTTGAAATCATCCAGCCGATAGTAGTTTGAATCGTTACATTGCTGACGTCGTTAGAATCAACAGGAGCTACCCAGTAATCAACGAAAAGCTTGGGATTACTAACCAGACTGACTTTGAAAATATACAACGGCTGAAGACGTTCTCCAACAACTATGCAGAATTTTTTCAGGGTGTTATAAACCAGCATATTAACAGCATTACTGCGAATATGAAGTCGGCGTCTCCGTCGGCTGATGATGTGATGGCGCAAAACGTCAAGATTTTAAATGAACTTATGAGTACCTTCATAGTAGTGTTATGTGTTATGAACGGTAACATTAGTTAGGTTAGAATATTATTAGTAAGAATGTTTTTAATACGATAAGAAAATTGATGTAATAATCGCATCAGTGATACAAAAATAGGTACTTGTAAGTATTCAGATCTAGGTAATAAATATAATTAACATGCCACGTTTGTTGTTACTTATCCAACCCTAAACACAAATCATGTATGGTCGTATTATCAACTGTAGACAGCTGTCTGCTTAAGTTGCACAAACAGATAAGCTATCAGTATGTTTGATGAAATAATAATAAATAATGATATAATTAACTGCGCAAAGTCGTCCCAACTCACACTTGTTATCTATGTTAATGGGTCTATTGTGATACTCATTTAACGAACAAGTCGAAAGATATCGGTCACGTACCAACAAAAAGTTAGATCATATTTCGTGACTCTGTCTATGTAAGGGAATAAGAATTATCGTCAAGTCCGTCAACAAAGCACTTAAAAAATATTTTGCCTGACAAATTCAAGAAACCGGACCACGTTTTACGACTACAACATTTTGGCATGGAACTACGTTTTATATCGGAAACTGTTGGTAATAAATCATACTTTTAAATCAGTAGTATGTCCATAACTTTGGCTGGCGCGAAAAGGTAAATTTTAAAAAATTTCAACTAAGAATCATTACTGAACCAAATGAGAAAATCATTCAAACCTAATATCTTCTGCGAAGTACGTGTCGTCACGAAACGCTAATGACCTCGACAATTAATAACCGCGATAGCTCGTATTACGTTCCCATCAATGTCACTTTTATACGGCAGTGACCAATCCACTAGTGTTGCTCGTTAAGCTCAAGAGTATGGACGTACTACAGATATATTTTCGCCTTTTGTCTGGCTCGTGTGAATATAAAAGCGACGTTAAAAACAGTTTGCTGTAATCACTATTCTACACGCGGGTAAAGCGAACGCGTACTATTAGAAAATAATTGAATTAGTGTTATTTTAGTAATTTTATGACAAAAGACTACTTTTGTTGATTGATACCTTGTTGACATTGCCATCAAGAGACAGATACGCTAAAATGAAGGTAAGTATCGCTTGTTTGCAGTCTAAGGAACCCATTTGTTTCTCATATAACTGAGTTTTATGCTGAGGCCCTTCGACGAAGTAAGATCGAGGTCACATGACCGGAAAAACACTAGTGCGTCATTCGTTTCGCCTCAATGAGAATTGTTATTGTTACTGACGTACGTGTATTTATTTTTTCAGGTAAATTATGCTGATGACTACCCGTACGTGGTGGTCGAATTTTTGCAGTTACCGTATGCAGATATTGGCGACTACGTTTGTATACCTCGCTCTTGGATACGGGTCCACAAAGCGACAAATAGAAAGAGCATAGTTGCATATCCTGATGAACTTCCATCGATAACTAAAATGCGAATTATGAACTGTGATGAACCTTCGGAAAAATGGGAACTCTACTTAGCAATCGTAAAAGTTGAAAAACGTGAGTATTTTTTTAGATGCTCAATCTTGAATACATTGACAGCATTGACTTGTAATTAAGTTAGCATACCAAAATGTGACGTAATCAGTAAATCGTTAATGACTTGATTGAATAATTATGTTTTATTTCTTTCAGGTTCCTATAAGGATGCTTATCAGTATATCATGGAGAAAATTCATAATGCTTCTAAGAATAGTCATTCGGCTGTGATAAGAACCAGTGGGTATTTTTTGTTATTCGTGGGAATTTACTTTTATAATATTTACCTTTGATGATAAACTATTTTTTCAGGTTATAAACGTGTGCCAGTCACAGCAACAAAACGATACAGTCCGTTGCTGAAAATAGTCAATCTGTCAAATCCTCAATCGCAAAAGAATAGAAATAAATTGAAAGTAGTAGATAAAGTGGATAAAGTAAGACAAAGTGGTACAATTTCAAATCCAAATAAGCGTCCTCAACATTACAACGTAGAATTGAGAACACTAACTTCATCGAAACCGACGGGCTTCTTTTTTTCTGAAAATACTGTGATTAAGGAAAATTGTAAAATAGAACATCAAGATCAAGCTTCTCGTGATGATCGATCAAGTTCTGACGATTTGTTACTCAGATATCCCTACATCCAGCGAAAACCGGAAAAGGATAAAGAAACCCGAATTAATAGTCTGGGAGCTGGCTTTCGAAGCACGGGAAAAACCTTTTATGCTTCAAAGTTTTCCCCAACGTTTGTAAACCAAATTTGTGGTTATACGCCGAAGCCAGAAGAAAACCGACTGTTTTCAATTTATCGGAAACATTTAGATCACATTGCATTGACTCAAGGAATACAAGACAGCAGGATTCCGAATCTACGAACCTTTACTCTTGATCTTCCAGAACCTCTGATCCAGGACCCAAATATCGGATCAAATATCTCGTTTGCCATTCAAAACCCTACGAATGAAAATAACCAATTCAGTCAAATAGAGATTTTAAAGTCAACGCCGGTTATTCAAGAGCATCCACAAGTTTTGCCGAATCAGAAGACACCTGACCAATCTTCAGAAGTGAAGTGTGCTACTTCCGAACCTACCACCCATAGTCATATGACGTGTGCTTCACATGCATCGATTGTCTGTACAAATTCAGCAGAGCATCAGGATTCAATTGTAGAAGACATGGTCGTTGACGAATTGACTGAGGCGAGCTGTATTGAACAGAATGTCTTCTCTGGAACTAGAGCAGAGAATGAATCCTCTGCTAATCCAAAAGTTCTGGAAGAGACAAATCATTCAGGGCAGGCCGTAGAGAGTTCTATGGAGGAAAGATCACCGATGGTTGAAGCAGTTACGTCGAGTGGAATATTGTCGTCGCAAGATGTTGATTATGATGAGCAAAGTAACTCTTCAGAACTAAGTTCAGACGAAATAATAACTACTAGTCCGAACTCTCATAAACAAGCGAACCAATCAGTTAATTCTGTATTGAACCAGGCAGATGTCTGGGCGGAGCAATTATTTGATCTTTTTCAAAAAATGAAAATCAACTTTTCGGAAACCTGTCAGATCGCTCATGAATTGTACGAATCATTAGTTCAGTCCCAAAAAGTGATCGAATGTATGGCAAATGCATCAGAAAATTTGCGAGCATTGAAGAAGGGCAAAGTCGCTGTAGTGACGTCTAAAGACGTTACGGCGGAAGTTCAACAAAGAGCTGAAGTAAATCAAGTTGAGAGGAAAGAGGAAGAAAGCCCTGATGTAAATATGGAGGAAGACAAAAAGGAAGATAACGATGTGGACTCTAAAAGTAGCGAAAATTATGACGATAGGGGTGGAGATACCAAAGATGTGAAACATCAGGATGGGGATAATAAGGTTCCGAAAACGACTCGTGGCCACATTCGGTCCTTTGTATTACCTCCGGAATACGATCCACATGATACTAAATGGACACTAAAGTACCGTGAGAATGATCCGCAACTTAACCTCGTTGAACTTGTCTCTGGAAGCAATGTATTTATCAACTCTATAAAACTAGCGCATTGTATGCGATCTGCAAGAGACAGTAAAGCGTTAGCTCGAAAGTTATTAGAGGAAATTTTTACTCCGAGCGCGTTGAGTGTTTGTTCACTAACAGGCGTTAGAGCTAACGCTTTTGATATAAGCGGCGAGAATGTCAGGCCTGGGTTAGATGCGAATGCAAGAATGGCTATATTAACGTTCGTCGAAAAGCATGCTCTGAAAAAAAAGTGGGGTGCATTTGACTCGCAGAGTGTCATTAATACCTTACGCAGCAAAATTCAGGATATAAGAGCTAAACATGCTAAAACATCGTGAAGCTATTTTCTAGGTAGATCTTTTTTGTCCAAATAATCGATTGAATCGGCCATGTTTTCCATTATTTATTGTCCCTCTAGTATAAGTTAAATTAAGAACACTAAAAATATATGCAAATATATGCTATTGTTATTGTCAGTTTCTTTTATTTTAATAAACGCTGTATATCAAACTCTAGTTCGCTTCACGTAATAATTACCGTAACTCCTATTCTTTCCCGCTTCACAGCATTATTTATATTTGTTAAAAAATGTGGAACGCTTCACGATTTTGCGTGTCATTACTAAGAAATAATGGCTTCCCACTGCGCATTGTTTTTTAATGCGAAAATATCATGAAAATTCCATGACTAATGGCTCCAATTAACTCAGCACAGAAATACTTGTTAACAACCACTCAGTAACAGTTATTGTCCTAATGTTTTTTAATAGGTGTCAAATATGGTGTTATGGTGTCAAGTTTTGTATTAATATGAATCCATTACGATCAATTTAAAATAAAAAAACAAAGTCATACGGTTATTAAAACCGTCAAAACGTCATAATAAATGTCTTATCGCATGATTTATAATAAAATCTGTTTGTAGAGCCAGTTAGATGGAACTGTGAATGAAAAAACGGTAAGCTCTTAATAGTACTCCGTGTCCCAGATCTGAAACGAATTGTTTATGACTGCGTAAGAGGGTTTATTCTCAGAAAAATACCAACTGTGTGAAATAATTTATATTGACTGATGATGACGTTTATGATAGCGACGTCAAATAAATTCATACATATTCAAATTATGGTAATAAATGCTCTCGATTCATCGCAAGCTGTTGAATAATCAGAGTCTTTAAATCAGGCGCTTACAATATTTAACGCATTCTGAATATTTGATTATTTTAGTTACGAATACGCTGAAGGTAAAACGATTTAAATTCTTAATACGTATATGTATGAAATTCTATGTTTGAAATTCTATGTTGGTGATTAATTCCTCGCACGTTATAGCAATCATATTAATATTGTCCAGTTGCTAGCCAGACTCAACGCTGCCATAACCTTCGTCGTATCATTTAGGAATCCGATATGATTGATTTTGAGTTGTCAATGTTTTATTTTAATTGCAGTTTTGGAAAAGGAAACTACGGGTAACATAGTTATGTATCAAAGTTGAATCAGGATGGTTTATAAATAGCGAATCTTTGCGTTTTAGAGAGGTTACAAATCCGGGATAAATTAGCATATCAAGTAGCTTTTCGAATTATGTATGTTGAAGTTATTTGCAGTGCTTTTGAGCGCACAATTTACTGTAAAAAATGTATCATACTATATTGTTTTGAATTTGATAAGAATTTTACAGTATATAATTTATAGCAACATACACGTATAAAAGTGGTGCGGATAGCTTTAGCCAATTGTGGATCGTGGCTTTTGGAATTTTTTAACTAAATTGTATAAGTATCGTTCATTAATGAGGAAATCTTAAGCTTTTTGAATAGTGAATAAAAATGATGAACAACTCTCTGACCCTCGACACTATGACGTAATCTAGTAGATATTGCTCAAAAACGACCAAGTCCGTTAATTTTCATGTTTGGGAACCTTTCTAGTGGAACGGAAGCTCTAGCTGACTAAGTTCTTTAGAAACTCCATACAATTAGGACTATTGCTAATCTGAGTCCACTAGGATAAGTTTTGATGTCGAAAAATATGAAAAAGTTGTTATTTTCTGGGCAAAATAAAAAAATTATGCGAAGTACACTCATTTGTAATGCGTCCTCGCGACTATGTAGTCATAATTTTGTTATTATCAACTTTGACTCTAGATGTTACTCATTTAATTGTCAGCTAAGTACGACTATATTTATACGGAATTTTATTTTGATATGCGTATCTAAGGACACTTCAAGAACACTTCGATAGCTCACCAAGCGATATGATTCCGTTCTAAAATTCAGCGACGACAACCATTGATCTTTGTTGCTCCATTACTTAGAACATCTACATATATACGTGCTTCCTGGAGCAGATAGTTTTCTTTCTTAGGTGGTGTCTTCTGTCGTTATTTCATTCTTGTCAGACACACTAGATCTAAGCACGATGACTCTGCCCAAGAAGTCAGTCATTGTAGATCTTAAAGAAATCTTTAAGTCAAACCAGAATCTTTATAAAAGTGTCCCTAAAATCTGGCCCTACCGCACGGCGGAAGGATTGTCGTTATCGATTGATCTTAACAATGATGATAAGTTATCAGCTCTGCACCTCCGTTACTAAGTTGACTAAGTCATGTACCGACGTTCATATGTGAGCTCGATAAGTGACGTATTTCGATAGAATTTTTACTAACTATTAGATCTAGATCTAAATAATGTATGTTCCTTATTGCACACATGGATGTCAATTTATTTATGTCAACAACGAAGTTCGATGTTTTCTCAGCTGTGGGAGGGATTTTGGAGCGTTCTTTATCAATAAAAAACTCTAAAGGTATTAACTTTACCCACAAAATATGTTTATTCACATATACCGTGCTTACAAACCAATCTTAGACCTAGTTTTTACGTGAGTGTTCCGTGACGTACTTCTGAAGAGCTTCAGCTGCTTCTTTGAAAACTGGACGTAGCTGGCGGGACACCCTCTCTGTTACCAAGCATGGTCCTTGCGATTTAGAAGCTGATCCATAAAATGTACTGTTTGACCCGAATTGACCACTTTCATTAATAGCATGCCGAGACTGCCGCTTAGCGTCAATATCATTATTTTTGGTGATTGACGACTTGTAGTCTTGTGGAGAAGGAAATACTTTTCGCTGCTTGACGTCAGTGTAGACTTTGTTCATACTGCGTTTCCGATCGGCAAAATCACTAGCTGCATTGGGCGTTAATCCCTGATTACCCATGTTGCATTTATTTATTTATTTTATTTATTTATTTATTTACTTCTGGTATAACATTCTATAGAGGTGCAAGAAGCACCTGTGCATAGACACCAGAAAAATATAATACATTTATAAAAATTAATACATAATATTAAATTAACTAAGTAAATTGTGTACAGAGTATATTAAGAATAATTTTACAAAATTTTCGTTGTGCTTAATTATTGGTAGCGTATCACTGCCTTGCTAAATGAGTTGGTTGATACACTGAATAATACGTATTGAGTTAGAATTGGTAATTTACTATTATTAGCACGTTTTATCAAACCGGATGCCAATGCCGGGATGTGTATGTGTTATCAACTTTGGACTAAGCGTTTATATAGGCCATATCAATTCGTCCCATTTCTGTGTTAACCTCGTATCTCCATTTTTTTCGAAATTGAGATTTTTAGCGAAAATCACTCCTTAGCACTCTTGTAACGTAAAACAAAACATGCAATGTTCACAAAGATGATAGAATTTTTTTTAGAGGCTTTTGATTTTTCTCGTATCTACATATTCGAATTCAAAAACCTCGTATCTACCGTAAGTATCGCCGAAAACGTTAAAATGGCGTTGTTGTCTTAATACTGAATGTTTGTAAACGTGTTCACACTTAAGTTGACTATATTTTGTTGATTGACATTTATTTTTTATCCATATAAATACATACAAATATTATTTAGCTCTTCGAGCTCAAAAGTCTGATAGAAGTTTGATGCAACAATATTTTTTAAATTTTCAAATCGCGATTACTTTTGAATAAATGGAACGATTTTTACGCGGTTGGTGACATTCAACGCAATTTTTTAAGCCTCATAAAAAATCTTTAAGTTCAATTTGATTGAACCACGAATTTCGGAGTAATTCCGAAAAAACACTTTTTTCGGTTTTCTTTCGTCAACGATAACTCACGAACGAATCAACCGATGTTGACCGGGCTGACAGCAATCGACGTGGTTTATTAATGTTAAGAGCTAATTAGTTTTTGGAATTAATCGGTAAAGCCGTTTAAAAGTTATTCCAAAAAAACTATATTAAAAAAAATTTTTTTTCGTAGTTTTTTTGAGATTTCTTAAAATCTACCGGTGCGAATCAGTCCAAATTATATTTAAAATCTAAGTTCAGTCCTAGTTATATTTAAAATAGTCCTAGTTATATTTAAAATCTAAGCCCTTCCAAATTGCACCAACTGCGATAAAATCGGTCAAGCCGTTTAAAAGTTATGAGAGGTTTACATACATCCACGCACACACATACACACATACATACATACAGACGTACAGACACCATCACGGGGGTGGTCAAAGAAGCTTCCTGAGACCTTGAAACGTCGAGATCTAGTGAAAAATCAATTTTTACAAAAGGGGGTAAAACCAATAACTTCCCGATTTTTGAAGATCTCCGATTTTCTTAGCGGGAAGTTAAAAATAATTAAATCATATTATAAATAGTAATCACATGATTTATAATATATTAAATCAAAATCAAATAAATTTGTTTAAATTAATAACTATAAAATAATAATGAATTGAAAGCCTTGCATAACAGAATTTTTCGCCAATGATCTTATAGAAAAAACAATTTTTTTTTGTTTTAAAACCTCGTATCTGCAAAAAAAATCACCAGGGTGTTTGATGAGAAAACTCGTATCTACATGAAATTGACAATAACAACAAAGCATCGATGCAGATAGCAAAAATCATGTTTAATTCTTTTAAGGTGATTGATAAAGAGCATAAATTTTGAATTAGTTATAACTTTTTATAAAAATTAAGTAACTCTAAACGTTTTTATCGATTTACCGAAAATTACGATTTTGTAGATACGAGGTTTACACAGAAACGGGACGAATTGTTTTTCAGAGACACAAATTCGGGCGCCACTTATAACGATTACATCACTGAGACAGACTTTAATTTAAATATCAGAAGCCAACAATGTGTCGATCGTCTAAGCTCACTACACGTTCCACAAATAGAACTTTTGCACGTTAAACAGGTGCTTCCGTGAACGCGTTTCAATGCCATCTAAGCGAAGACTAAATATCACGCAATCGTGTATTCCTCAACGAACACATTTTATCACGTTATCACGCTTCACGTGTTATTGTTCTGTACATCATTATGTAACTTTCCACGAATACGCGTTTTTCCGTTGGTTGGTAATAAAGAACACTATTCTTGACATTGGCCTTCTCAAAGTTATCGTAGAATGATGTAAGCTCGTTCACGAATTGAGTTACTGGTACACATTAGTATGGTAGTTTGGTGCTATCTATACTGATACAAGTGAAGAAGATCCAATTCATTGTTTTAATTTGAAATCAAAAATATGGATCGTTTCACAATTGTGAAATTAATTAAATGCACTAAAGATATTATTCATAGGTTCGACAAATATTTTTGTTATTTTCAGCGAAAGATGCTTCTGTTTATGATTATATCAACAGTTAACAGAGAATATATAGGGTAATGTAGAAGTTATCAGCCGATCAATCTAAGCGCTTAGGCTGCCCGAATGAGGCCTGCGGTGGGTGTTCAAATTTCCGAGATACTTTTATGGCGATCGTAGCGCTTTGACCGGCAGCCGGCTGACCTTGACCTTGACCAGGTTATTGTGCTAGGGTGAGGCATGGTAAATGAGGGTACATTAATTGTAAGTCGGTCACAGTTTAAATAGAACTATGAATCATGTCTCAAAGTTAGGAACGGATCATTGTAGTCCAATAAGATTCTTAAAGAAAACAAGATGCTTTTGTCGAAGAAAATATCTTATTTTTTTTTTTCGTTTATTTTTACTGTAGTTGCATATTAACAACGCACTTACAACGTTCTAATTGAAGTTTTAGTGTAATAAATAATAGTTTGAAACACTAAAAAAAGATCTAATATAAAAATTCAGTTTCTTGTAAGAAAGACTAATGTGCTTCATACATATTTTATTGACATAACTTGGTAGATTAATTATCAAAATATTTCAAAAAGCATCCCTTCATACTTTATAAAGTGCTTCAACGGTTCGTATTCAATTAACAAAACCCTCGCTTATCTAGCTTTGTTTGTTTTACAAACATGGACCAGATAATTGACTAAGTGAATAATAACCTATTTATTGCGAGGTCACGAATGTGACAATTTCCTACCCATCAGCAGACCAATTGGAGATGGGATTTGAAAGGATTATTACCTGCCAACCAGCGCTAGCAGAATGGACTGAGTACCAGGGTGTCGTCGAACGTGAAGCAGGTGAGTCCCTTGATCGTCCCTCCACTTCTCTAATTATATTTCCGTTCATGGTAAATTTTTCAGGCTAGACTAATGGGGTTTATAGTGTAAGCTGATTTAAAATGTTTTACACACCAAGCTTTTATTTGCTTAGTTAATGCCTACCTTATCTACCTTTTTATTGCGGCGGATACCGACTTGTGCTTTGTGTATCACATTTATCCTGTTCCTCACCACTTTCTAGGCTCTTTGAACAGTGACTTAGAAAAACCACAGAAAAAACCCTTACCAATACAGTTGGAGCAGAGTTTTCCGGTAATCAATAATAAATTCTTCTTTATCGATTACCGGAACATTAGACCAGTCTCTTAGTGAGTAGAAATCTACGCACTGGCCCGTGGCTAAGCGGTCACCCATCCAAGTAGCAACTACTATCGATGCTGTTTAACATATGCGATAGCCAATGATACGTGGCTATCTTTGCCGCTTCATTGTGAATTGAACTATCTCCTTTAGGTAATTAAAATCCGAATTCAACTTGTTTCAGATACTTATCGAGCTGGCATACTGTACGTGAAGCGCAGAGATAGCACGCCTTTGGATGAAGAACTTTTAATGCTCTGGAGTCGCATCTGCCTTCAGTACGTGGACGAACTTGGACGTTTTCACCCTGTTTCATTGATGTGCAAAATTTGGTCGCGCATTTGGAACTAAGGATGTTACAATATAATCCTTTATGCAGCAATTGTTGTAAAAAAGTAACGTAACTTATTAAAAAGCATTTTATTTACTTGAAGTTTTTTTTTCTCTATTAGAAAAACGCTGACGAGTCTCAGTTCCAGTGACCTTCATTAGTTATTATGATAAGTGAAAGCGGTTCTAGTAATTCTTAACATAAATCAACATTAAGCACCCCATGTATTTTACTTTAAGTACCCCATATGGCGTTACGTAAATAATTCAAGTAGAGGCGTGTTTAACCGCTAGAAAAAAGATCTAGTCAAATACTTATAAGAAGAATTACGCCTTCGGGCTTAATCGTTAAAACTCGGGAATAATCGTATCACGCTATGGCCGTCGCTCATGCGCGCCTTGGTTAGCGGTAGAGAAGCCGGCTCGCGTGGTCTGCTGCAACAGTTGTGCTTGGACTCTTGTACTAGTACGACTACTCTGTGTCAATCGATTCTAATATTTCTTACTTGCATCTCACATTTATTCAGATACTTAAATTATTCATTAAATATAAATAATTACTTCAACTTAATAACAATTATATTCTCAAATCATTCAAATCAGTTTAATAGTTCAGTGAATTAGAATAACTAAAATCAAAGTAGATTTAATTAGTGACGCCACGCGGCCATTACGCGCCATATTCACAAAGGATTGCATCAGCCACGCGGCTTTAGTCAATCCCTAATTAACACGCGATATTAATATTGAATTCATTACCAATATTTACTTACTATTTTTACTTAATCATAAATATTAACATTTCCATTCTGAAATTAAATTCATTTGATTAATTCGTATATGAAAACCTAAATTCAACCTACAAAAAACAGTTTCACTGTAAAATGTCGCGCCAAGTACACGTCCAACTATTGTAACAGAGACAATGATATCCTCATTATTGCAAAAATAAAAAAATCTGATCTTTACAAAAAAATGTGAAATAAAAAAAAACCAAGTACACAAAACTCGGATTAAAAAAAACACTCATTAAAAATGGTGAGAATTGAAAAAAAAAAATTGGTGTAGTTTATTTATAAAAAAAACGAAAGAAAAATTTGCACTTTATAAAAAAATATAAAATAAAAAAAAACCAAAGTAACCGCTGTGATTTTCAATAATTGCAAAGTTTTTGTGGCAAATTTAACAATTGAAAACAATTTTTTAAACGTACTTGGCGCGCGTCATTGACTACCCCCAATTTTTTCTGATGCATTGTAAATGACTTCACAATATCACTAAAATAATTTATTTATGTCAATTATCAGTTTAAGAAGTTTGTATTGCTCAAGCATGCTTCAATGTTATATTTTTCTAAAACAATTTAATAAACATCTAAATTAAAGTTGCCAGTAGTTGCTCAGAAACCAGTACTTGTCCACTCTGTGTGTTTTTATATCTATATTTAAAAATGCAGTTATACAAATACAAAGAATGGGAAGGAATTTGTTCCTGAGCAGCTACTGGGGGTACTTTACATTACTGGTAATCAAATCCTTTGCTCTTTTCTTGATTCAATTGAAATGCCAGAAAACATCATATTTATATAAGTATAAATCTAATCTAATTCGTGAAAAAATAAGAACAAGTTTGAATTTTAATTCTAAAATAGATTTAATTAAAAATATCAAATTAATCATTAGTGAAGTCAACAACGGTGTAGAAGGAGTGTAACAATTGTTGTTCATAAACTGCTTTCCAATACCAAGTTTCTGGCGCTACATCAGCCATGAAAAAATTGGGGGTAGTCAATGACGCGCGCCAAGTACGTTTAAAAAATTATTTTCAATTGTTAAATTTGCCACAAAAACTTTGCAATTATTGAAAATCACAGCGGTTACTTAGTTTTTTTTTATTTTATATTTTTTTATAAAGTGCAAATTTTTCTTTCGTTTTTTTTTTATAAATAAACTACACCAATTTTTTTTTTCAATTCTCACCATTTTTAATGAGTGTTTTTTTTAATCCGAGTTTTGTGTACTTGGTTTTTTTTTATTTCACATTTTTTTGTAAAGATCAGATTTTTTTATTTTTGCAATAATGAGGATATCATTGTCTCTGTTACAATAGTTGGACGTGTACTTGGCACGACATTTTACAGTGAAACTGTTTTTTGTGGGATTTGACATATTTGAATTCGAATTACGCGCGCGATTAATGAACGTGACTTCTGTAAGAAAAAACTTACTGACTACTCAGAATCCCATAATAAAATTGAGATGAAATGTATGTGAAACCAATCTATTCGTGATATGATTGGTTGAATATATGATATGCATGAAAATATATGCAAACTCTATAGTCAAGGCGCGCGCTTGCGCGCGCAAATTTGAATTCTAGTCCCATAATAAAATTGAGATGAAATGTATGTGAAACCAATTTATTCGTGATGTGATTGGTCGAAAATAAATATTCTCATTCTGATTGGTTGAAAGTGAATATACTATACATAAACGACACATAAATATATCATGACAATAAATATGATGCGCGCGCTTGCGCGCGAAAATTAAATTCTAGTCAGAATAATAATAGACAAGTATAGTGCGGAGCATTAACGCCTGGGCTGATGTTTTCATGAGTACAGTGAAAACTGTATAAAGTTACGCAGGTTGTCTTTCTTTCCATTACAAAATTTTTTCTTAGTATACTATCTACTTATGGGTGCTTAAGTTTTAGAACCTATACTAAAGTTAAGTATAGTTAGGAGATAAAGTTAAGTGCTACCAACTTCGAAATAATAAAATTCGCCCTAAATTTGTAAAATCTCGTGTAGAATCGAAAACAGGCGCAGGCAAAATTTTTCATATTTAAGATATATTAAATAATTGTTCATATCCAATAATTTTTGGTAATTTGTGTAAAATCCGTCAAAAAAAACTTATTAAAAATAGTGTGAAGTGTCAGTGTCTTGGCAATAATAAAAAATATAGACCTAAATATGTGAGGAGGTTATGTTGACATATGATTAGAGAATAGAGACACGTTGTCTCACGCCATATGTTGGACGTGTACTTGGCGCGAGACACTAACGTGTCTCCGGATTAACTAACGATCTGTTATTAATTGAATATTAGTAGCTCTCACCTTGAGACAATTTATCTAACTAATTGAACATTAGTAGCTCTCACCATGAGACAATTTATCTAACTAATTGAACATTAGTAGCGCTCACCTTAAAACAATTCATCTAATTAATTGAACATTATTAGCTCTCGCCTTGAGACAGTTCATCTAATTAATTAGATATTACTAGCTCCTACCTTGGGACAATACAAATTTAAATTATCGATAATTTTCTTTATACGGCGGCTGAGCTCACCCCTATTGCGTTATTGCAACGTAATTTACACACACACACACTTACACACATACAATTTACTTGTATAAATTTTAAACAAGGAGGTTTTCCCCAGCCTAGCTGGGTTTTCCTCCTTTGGGGGCAAATAAACCATCTAAACTGTTCCCCAAAAAATCCAAGCATTTTTATTTAACTTCCTAATCCCAACTTCATCATATTTTTAAAACAATTACGAGAAATATCCGCATTGGATAGTTTTCGACAAAACAGGCGCTTGGCAGAATTCTAGACGAAGCGCATTATTTTCTTTGCGCTATACCTACATGAAAATTCTTATTAACACGTTTTAATCACAGTATTAGTAGAAGCAAACTGCAAATAAAGAAAACCCTTGTTATCTATAATTACTATTACATATTAACTTAACTAAACTAACTATGTTACTGACGAGAGATAAGGTATGTAAATCAAAATCAAAAACACTAGTAGGTTCCTTAGATAAGTTATTATTCTCTCATGGACTAAAGAACGTGGTATGTCAATACTGATCTATACTCTCCAAGCAACGTTATCTAATACGTCACCTATTTAATGTGCTTTAACCAGTTGTATCATATAAATTAAATAAAGTTTGCCAAACTCGTGAGCGCTGGGCATGTGACTAATGTGATTCGAATGAGTTTCCCTTTTAATTCGCTACGTCTACTAAAACACGTGTTCGTTCGCTGATAATATATTTTCTCTTACTCAGAAAGATTTGGTGCCGCACTGTCTGCCACAATGATTTAAATATCCCATAACCGTGGTCATTAAACGGCAGTTAACTAAAATGAATTAATTTATGCAAATTGTTTTATATCGTTTTAACTTTATTACTATGAATGTTATTAATAATTATGGTCTTTCATAACGTTGGATCAGGAATTTAATACAAAAAAGAAGACTTGAGCCTACAATGTGGTCAGATTGGTCAGATTTACATTAGCATAAGAGATGGGCATTGCCAAAAAAATCGATTATTATTTAACGTAACATTATAAGTTTTAAAAAATGCCAGGATTTGAGAATTCCAGTCCTAATGAGCCGTATATTTACGATGTTAAGATAAATAATCAATGCTCGGAAAATCAAAAGCTCAGTTTATCAAACATTTCTGCCAGTCTGCTAATCCTATCGTAAAATGTATTCACAAGTGCTATTATTGGCAGCAGAATTTTGACGTCTGCGGAAACAATAATGCTTATGATGAAAATGATTGCCAGCTAGACTAAAGCTCTAGTTCATTAAATCAGAAAGTCTATTCGATTCTGAAAGGCTAGGAATAGCTTATGGTTTACTTCGTAGCCGTTTATAGCAAGCCTGAAAATTTTGTTTTTATGCAAACAGACTTTTTTGTGTTCCAATTTGCCCTAGAACTGATTATTGATCTGACCTTCGAGTATGCCAAACAAATTAATCTTTTTTCAAGAGGTTTCATGGAGGTGTCAGTCGACTAACCGACCTGTTTAGGTAACACACGTGTACGGTTTTTATTTGCCGGAATATAAGATGACGAACGTAACAGAAATCAAACAGTTCTTCAATCAGTTAGGATGTGTTGGTTAAAGGTTCCGAGAGAATCTAACAAAGGTAGTGATCTGGAAACTGGTTATCCTGGTGAGCTGGAGGCTTCTAGTAATTTTAAGTACCTGCGAACTCGTCATAGCTGGTCACATATTCTTTTTCCATCAAGGACTGAAGAATCAAGTTATTATGGAGGTATAGCACTGAAGCTGTTGGTCAGTCAAGGGAAATGTGATCTTGAAATCTGCGGCCTGCCCTATTGTCATGGTAAGTAGGAAGCATCTTCTTGCCAATTTCATAATGTTAATCGAATCGTCTTAACCCAGTGTCAGATAGTTCTTATCAAAGTAGTCGCTGATATATCTATAATGCAGGCTAGTGTTAGTCACGGCCAGTGTTACTTATGCAAATCAAGTTCAATGCTCTCGTACGTAAACAAGTAAACATGTTAGATGTATAATACATCTCTGACTGACATTTCGGGCAATGAAGGCATCTAAAAAGTGGTGGTTTGATACTTTTTAACTGCTAGTATATATTAGGAGTCGTTAAATCATGTGTTGATTTTCTAAAAACGGCGCAGCTGCCTAGTTTTAAAAAAACGTGTAAAAAAGTAATTAACTACCATCTAAAATAAAATTTCCTCAATCATTAGCTTTGAAAATATTTATTCAACTAAGTAAATAATGGTCTTTGATTAAATGTAGATTAAAATACATTGTTAAAAATACATTGTTATTAAAAATAAAGCGAAACCCAGGTTACTTATTGTTACAATAAATACAAGCCACATAAGCAGAGAAGTATTTTTTAGGGTCTGGCTTTTCGGCGAAATCATATGTTTTTCTTAACCATAAATAGTTACTATAATTTTCTAAGCGAGCTGTTATGCCATCTGCATAAACACGAAAACTTTTAGTTGTTTTGTAGGTACGATAGTGATTGGAGTGAATTTTCCATAAAGCGCACTCCAAGAAATTATGCGTCTGCCACTCGCGAGGAACCACGTAGATGTTCTTATGGGTCGTGACACTGAGAATGAAAAAAATATTTTCAAAAAAAAAACAATTAAGGTATTGCGAGTCTAATAGTTGGCAGTACTCACTTGTTTTTGCAGTTGGGGCAGGGCATTTGTATTTGTCTTGCTATTGGGGAGTCTCCCAAGATAGAGGTACGAACACGGTTCGGTCAACAACGTAACTCTATGCTAGAAGCGAAGACTAACGTATATAAAGAGTCTAAACCACTCAGGTTCAACAATTGAAGATGCGAGTACATCGTAGAGAGGAATTAAAAAGGTCGTCAAGAGGTGTCACTCATGACAATTGTTTTTAAATTGTCAATCATTCTATGAATGATTGCTATTGATATTGGTTTGGATACTCTATCGGGACAAACTTATTCTAAACTATTTTACTCGTTTACCTTAGAATTAGGGCTAGGAACAGTAGACACAAGGAACAAAGACAGCAAAGTAGGTTTTTTTATCTGGTATTGTTGCCCAATCAGAATCCATTCGGGCCCAGAGGTAGCCAGAGTAATGCTCGAAGTAAGCCTTTACTCCTGTGCGTCTAAGTACAAGGCCTTCACATTTTCCATATTTACGGTAGTAAAACCTCATTTCGTTGTACAGAATGCACTCTAACTTATCACATCCCAGCCACTGGCGAGGAACTATGTAGACTTGTTTGTGGGCCATTTCGCTAGAACAATAATTAAAACAAATCATAAGTGCAAGATACTTAGGCTTTACAGCATAACCATGGCTTGCAAATGGTACTCACAGTTTATGAAGATAGTTACAGGACATCTTAAAGCAAACGTTATCACGTCTCCAGCAGTTTTTGTTGAGCGCATTTAACGGCAGTAACTTATGCAGCTCAAAAATCGTAGCGTAACTCTTCGCTATGTAACACAAACTGAAATGAGTCAATAGCTGAAATTAAATGACATAACCGGCGGAAATCAGCGAGGATGCTGCAAGTACCAGTTGTTTACGTGTATTATCAGTTGAATTTAAGAGCAATCGACGTTTAAGTACCATCTGGTATCGCGCTATTTTTGTTTATGAGTTAATTTAATATTACTCTTCACTCGAATTGTTCCAATGGGTTATTTGACTGCTAGATTAGATCTTCAAGCAGCATGACACATTCCTGAAAGAGCAGAAAAGTCAGTGTCTTAAAGAAAAATCATCTGGGTGTTGAAACATTGACGTAGATTAAAAAAAGACACTTACGACCCTGGCAAGATGCAAGAGACGAATATAGCAATGTAGTCATTGTTATAAGGACGGGTTCTAGCGTCATTATACCGTTTCAGCCAAATATGATTCTGGTGACGCTCCAACACTGATATAGCACCTTTCAAGCAAACCACAGTACCCTCTATTTTCTTTTTTCTGTGAAAGTTCCGTGAAATCTCTAAGTTGATGACAGATCGAAGAGCTTTAATTGACAAGTTCCACTCAGAACAATTGATATTCATTGAAAATGATTATCTCGAGAGTATATATTGTGCTGCAAGTGTCAAGGTAGCAATCAGTCTCCACCCGACCAAAGTCTCAAATTGTAAGGCTTATAAGTGTTCGCTCAATCAATATTGTTTATACGGAACGTTAATTCGTAGACAGCCCATTGGATCTAAAATGATCACCTCGTTTGATCCAAGTTCCTCTGAATAGTTTCTGTTTGCAGATACGCCGATATTAAGTAAAGAGGAGAAAACAGTCGTGGTTGTTCCAACGTTTTATACTGAGAGCTGCAAAATGGCTGATCGCAAGATATCTAGATGTCGACTAGAAAAATCGAAGGAAGCTTCTGGTAATGTGGTTTCAAGATTTTTTCGGCGCCTAAGTCCTACAAAGAGCTACCGTGGTAACGAAACTCCAGGATCCAGTTCTAGTTCCACCATTCAGGCTTCAAGATCTAGAAAAAAAGATTCTTCAGCTGTGAAAAATTCGTCTGGTAAGGAAGATCAGCATTCTAAGAAGCTAACTAAATCGATTTTGAACCAGCCAGAATTTATTTCTTCAAGCAATAGTAGTCTCTCCCAGCCAACACTACCTTGGATTTCTCCTGCACTATCGTACCATTCGCTAAACCAAGATAAACAGGCCACAGAACTTAAGCTTCTATCGCAGTTGCATTCAAACTTTGAGGAAACTACCAACATTCTTGGAAATGACATATCTCGGCTGGATCACAAATAGTAATCTTCTCTTAAATATTTTCTTATGAAAAGTTTTGTATTTTATTGTATAGCCAGTACTCATTGTATAAGAGGAGAGTACAATATATTAACTCAGTATAATTTGTTTATTATTGCTCTTTAAAATTAAATTAGAGTATTATTGTCTCTATACTCAAAACGCAGCGATTTGAACAATGTACGTAATAGTATAAATATAAAGACCGTAAGTTCGAGAGTTTTTTGGTAATCTAAGCAATTTTGAGTTAATCAAGCAATAAAATGCGCAACTCGTCCTTAAATGATAACCTGGCGTCCATTAATGCTACTTATAAATAATTCATGTCAGCATGTTCGAACATATCATATGTCAGAGTAGTGTTGCACGTATTAGTTGTCAGACGAATTGTAGATGCTCTTTCAATATTTTGACCGTAAGTTAAGTCGTTTTTATATAATACAGTGTCCTGACTTTGTCTTTCTGTCAAAAGGTCGAATAATGAGTGAGAAAAAATCCTGTCAAAAGCCAATAATTGAAGAAAATAAACGGAAAGTTTGTGAACAAGCGAAAGTGGCTAAGCCATCCAGGACTTTAGAAAAGTTGGAAGAGGCTAGAAAAATCGTGACTGATCTGCAGGAAGAGCAAAAACCAGATACAGACTTCAAAGCAAATCTTACCGGACAGAATCAGAAATTGATTGCATTTCGCAGGATAACTGGTAATAAGACACGACTATTTAAATAGCGGCTAAATTGCAAATAACGCGTCAATTTATAAGATTGTTCTCAATTGGTAAGTGGAACATTTGACCTAAATATGATGTTATCGCTACAGACTAATAAACGCATCCAATCAAAGCAAGTGACAAAACAATTCCTTCAATTGATCAACTAGACTCAAGAGGCTACTCTCATTGCGTCACTGGCTTCTACCAATTATTGACAGCTCTTCAAATCATTAGAACCATCTTAAATAAAGTTCCAGTGATTTGAAATGACCAGTATCTCGCTGAATTTACATTCAGTAACTCCTGTGCTGCTGTGCGATGATGATGTCCATGCTTTTCGATAAAATGCTATACGAACAAGAAGACTTTATATATAGTGCAATGAACGAGCTCTACTGGGACGACGAAGTGTATGAAATGGTGGAGATGGGAGTTTCTGGCTGTGGATGGCTAAGCGCAGATGATCCTGTGTTCTGGTGCATAGCTCCTGCTAACCTTGAAGAGATCGTCTGGCTATTTCGTACAGCACCGACTCGGCAGCCCTATGATGAGTCGGAGCTCCCTCTTACTCTCTTGGAAGTAAGTTGGTTCTTCTAGAGTTTTCCGGGTATCCTAAGCCGTTACCTCAATTTTGTTTTAAGTTCTCATCTTTGTTCTAGTACTATCTACACATGAACCTCTCGGAATTGCTAGATAAATTGTCGCTAGCACCGAAAAGGATCCATGATGCGTTGTGCATGACATGGGCACGAGTCACCAAGCGCCGCAAGCTCTCCACAGAAAATCGTTTGAACCAATCGTCAAGGCTCAAAATAGAATGGTTGTTCGAACAAGACCTAACGAAATTGAAATTCTAGTTTTTGTATTGAGATAATTATAGATGATTTATTGCGTGATGAGAAAAATTTTGGAACGTAAATTAATCGCTATGTTATTTAGCAGAAAAATGTCATTAATTATTGATTGATTTGGTCACTGCCTAACGCTGTTGGATTTTTGTGTAAGTGAATGAATAATATATCCTATAAGTAATATATACTACGATGTTTGTTTCATTGTTAACAAGATTAACCCAAAAACTTACGAAGTAATTAATCCTACAACGTTTGATCCTGAATTTCTGACTACATTCTTAATTATACACCTTTGTCTTAAAACAAGAAACCTCTCAAGCTTCCAACAAATTAGAGGAATTATCATTTATAATTGATCATTGTTCCTAAAGAAATTATGATCTGAGCTGATTCTTGTTAAGTTGGACAGTAACATTCTATAACTAGATGGTGGTTTCTAATTACATGCAACGCTGTCAGTGATAGCTTATTCTTTGATAGAACTATTTAGAAAATTTTCGGGAATAGAACTTTATTCCTTTTGCAAGAACAAAAAATGATGTTAAGTTTAGACAAGTTAGCTATTTATGGAAATAGGTTAGAAATAAATATTTTGAAAATTGACCACTCTATCTGCATAAACATACAAATCACTGGAGAAAATAATTGTATCGAAGTGCATCTCAATCACGATTGAGAAATGAACGGATGTTTTGAAAATAAATAAGCAAGCTCTAAGAAAATATATATAACTAATTTCGATGTATGAAAACTACCTACGAAACAGTTACGAATTAAAAAATCTTGGCAAGCTGCAACATTTTCGTAAGAGCTCTTTGTTTTATCTTCATTAGAGTTTTTATAAAAAATAAAACAAATATTGATCAAGAGTCTGTTGGTGAGGTAAGCGTGGGTAGATTTATTACGAATCAATCTACTTTTAACAGAGTATCTTTAAACCCATGAACATTCGGCGAACTTGAGAATACGTGCTTTCAGACCCATTCGATGCAGAAACCTCGATTCGGGTGATAGTGTTTCGCTAATTTAATGTGTTGAATAGATATATCCTATGGAAGGGTTCCTGTATTACGTAAAGTTAACAAAAGACATTTTTGTTCCTTCCGGGTGCCCGCTCGATTGTATAGATAGGCTAGTGCTCACCTTGGCCGAAAAAATAATTAACGAGAATAATAGAGTTAACTCTATTTTGCAAGTAAAAGACATTCCTGCGAAATTAGTTACACTAAAAAACAACGATGATTTTGTGTTTGTGTTTGAGCAAGTTTCTATTACGTAAGTACTGTTGTGACGCTAATTACCAAGGATAGTGACGTGTTGAAAAAAATAAGCGACTTGTGTTTCGTTTCTATTTCAGAGAGACAGTGGGTTCGTATCTCTACGAAATAGTAATACCGAAGGAAGAAGCGAGCATCCGACGAAGAACATTTAGCGGAAATAGCTTTATTAACGAATCCTGGCCAGATTACGCTATCAGTGTCTTTACAAAGGCTAAAAGGATATCATATTACTTGATGCCGCTGCGTCTAAAGGAAGTTACTTTGTCATAATCTTTCTGTATATAACACCACGTTTTTTTTTAAACAAGAGCTTAACAACATTTAATCTTTTCAATTAAAATTTTTATCAAAACGAAGTTTTTGGCACAAATCAAACTTGTTTTTAATATCTTACATTTGTGCTATAATATTTGATATCTGCACATATATTTCCACCGTTTTACGACTTTTAAATTACCCAATAGATTTGGCACATTTAGCGTTGCATACAAATTGAACTATTATTCGTCCCGAGACACAAAATGGAAATCAATGTTGTCACGTCATATTAAGTTTGGGATTCCTGATCATAAAATCGGAGGTGTTGAAGATAAAAAACAATGTTTATTTACCATACCGCTCGTTTCATCCGACATTCATAAAAACTGAAGCAGTATATGAATGTCAGTTAATTCCATATTATCTCAATCTTTGAAAACGTGTCATTTTGAATGTGGGCGTTAGATAGTAAACAAGAGGTTATCGAAAACTTCCGTTATTAGTACCAACGAAGCTTCTATATATGGAAAGGTTACCATAGAGTAAGGATTACAAGTCACTTCTCCTTTTGCTAGACAAGACGTTAGTAACAGACGCTTACATCGCTGCCAGTCTAGATCAGTTGATCTTAGTTTGACCAATTGCTTAAAATAGAGAGAGATAAAAACGGGAACAAGAGGGAAAACTTTAGCCGTAAATCCTAGTTTTCTCGAGCGTTTGATTCATAATTATTAACGTCAGCGGTAGATATTTTTGTTTCCTTAAACAAATTACGTCGTTTCATCACGAGGCTCATCAACTTTTTTATAAACCCGTCATTTCGTCTAAACGTTAATCCCCACTTCGGATGTAAACAGCTTAAATTCATATTTTTCTCCTCTTTCCGCTAGTTGACCTGAGAACCGATCGAGATGCATACGTCCGTCACAGACGCTACGTCAGTTGCGTACAACAATGCTTCCATCATGAGCCAGCACACTGAAGCTTCAGCACGTCGCCAATCATGGACACTGGAAGTTTCACCCCAGAAGAGGAATCAAATTTGGGAACAACGTAAACTCTTTATGAGGGACATGCTTGTCAGTGCTACGGATTCTCCTTGTAAAGTGACTGTACTGCGACGAAGCAGCAGTGACCGAGCTGTAACAAAAGATAGTACAAACCGCTCCTTAACTAAGAATTAATATTTGTAAGTGCTTGTCTTTTAAGTGTATATTTAAAGTGTGGATTAACGTTTTTTTAGTTATTAAATGATAATGTATCTTTTATCGTGTTTGATTTTGACTAAAGTCCTTAGGCGCATGCATCATTGATCTGTAAAAGATATTGTAGCACTCATGATGAGTCTAGATTTTGTAACGTCTCATATCAGGTTGTGGGGTACAAGCTGAAGCGCGCAGGCTATTACTTACACGTGATGTGGTCATTACGAGTAATGTAAATCAAGTTAGGGATTTTCTAAAACTAAATACCTGCCTCCTAGTGAATAAGTGCAGGTATTGCCATCTAGAAGCCTATCAGATCAATCAAAAGGAGCAATAGATTACGGCTGTACTCCAGGAACGCTGTCCTTCACCACCGGGTGACTTTAGAGGTGTCAACAGCTCAACAACAGCACATCGAATCGTTTGAGGCTAAGTATAGTAGTTTGTAAGCCATTCTCGCGGGTGATTACAGTACTAACATTATTTACTCACGAGTCTCTAGCCATGGTTAACCCTTCATAGGTCGCGTAATAAGCGCAGCGCTGTTTTTCTTACATTCCAATGTTTTTTTTTTACAATATTTTAAGGTAAAGTTTTAAAAAAAATTCAATTCTATCTATGAACCTTACTGAAAATGTCTTGCGACGTATGAAGTGTTGAATCTACACCCCTTGAAGCTAAAGGGTGTAACATAACAATGGCCCCTGATAGCCAGAGAGAATTTGGTGACAAGTTGCAGTAGATAGACAGAGAGTTGCGACCAGCTTGGCTATCGGGGACGTTACAATGTGAATTATAATTGGCAAATGAACATAAATAAAAAAACATACTTACACAAGGTTAACATGTTATCGCGCTTGTCGACAGATGTAACGCCGCTACTGTACCCTGATAGCTACAGTTTCAGACCAACCAAGTTGGTGTCAGATAGTTGCCACCAACTTACCGACAACTTGCGGTCAATTTCCGAATTTGAAACTGTTGGCGTCAAGTTGGCTACAAGTTTCTGAGAAAAACAAGACCAATCTACTGCCGCAATATGTCGCCAAATTTCTCGAGAAACTTGTCGTCAACTTGGTGCGAAAGAGTTTCGAAAGCAATTTCTGCCGACAACTTGGCGACAACTTGGTGAACAACCGAGTTCATTTCCAAGACTTGCCGCCAACTTGGTGACAAGTTACTGCAGTTAATCAACGGAAAGTTGCGACCGGTTTGGCTATCAGGGTAGGTCAGGTTCAATGGTAATTATCAACAGGATCTTTATGAACGGATGATTTGTATATCGCTCTGTTCAATTGCAAATGAGTGTGTATAGGTTATGTTATTCTGGGTTTTATAGTGTTGATTTACAGAACACGTAAGTAGAAGAATAAAATAGATATAATTTTTCGAAACTTTAATTAAAAAAATACATTTTAACCTATATCTTATTGCTAGGTCTATAGGGTTTAATATCAATGACATATATGTGTCTGTAACAAACTAGAAAACCAATCTATCTTTTTCGAACATAACCTTTTGTTTGCACAATTTCTATAGAAAAAATAACTTACAGTCTATTACAATGGACACAAGGTATCTGAAATGTATAATAGTCCTTGAGATTCGGTATTGTTCGCAAATCTAAGTCATCCCTCATCCAATAAGTCTCATTATGGAGTTGTAATCTTGCTGTAGTACCATTGATGCGAACTGCAGATCCTTCAGCCCTTCCATACTTCATGTAATACTCAGAAATTTCCTTAACGAGCACTTTTTGCAACGCCTCCCAAGAAACTGACAGCCAACTACGAGGGACCCAACAATAAACTCGATGATAAAAAGGCATTATTTCCGTGATGATTTCTTTCCGCACACTTGAGCTTTGTGTCACTTGTCGGGCAGTATAATATGTACTAAGACTCAATTATCATAAATGTACATTACAGTACATAACACTGTTGACGCATTAATCAAAACACTGCAGATAGTAATATAAAATATTTCATTAACACATTTAACGCTTATCACTCGGTGCTTACTGGCCCTCACAGTTGTCACAATATATGTAAACACTGAAGTAGTCATTCGGATCCGGGAAACCCTTTTTGTCCTTGTCCTTCTTCATCCAGGGAAGGTCGCCCCAATAGTGCAAGTGTGCCGTCACGTAGTTAACTCTGATTCCAATGCCAGTGATTTTCTTGACGATCTGGTCGCATGTGATCTCTTTTTTCAAGATTACTTCTATCGTACTTGATTTGTAGTAGTGGTCCCACTCGTAGGGAACAAGGCACCTATGTTTTGACATTTCAAGTTAGATTTGCTCGTTTCTAAAGCTTCAATGTAACTATGCAAGTGGTATTGACTCGGTTCCTTATAAATACAGGATATATCAAGAGTTCATCGGTCTGTGATTGTGAATAATAAGAGCAAAGTCCCTCGGTATGAGGTTAAAGGAACTTAATCATGCTTGTTTTTTCATACTGTGCTATCTACGCAGAACTTATTGGCTGTTCGGCGCATTAATAGCTAATTTGTAATCTAACGACAAATTTGCGCGCCAAAAGCTCTCTCAGTAGATGTTGAGCTCTTATATTTGATGCAAATGGTTTACACAAATCAATTTGGCACACTTTAATTTCAAATATCCAATGAAGGCAAATAAATTTCTTTCACTTGTTATTAAATTAAAGCTCAAATTATTCTGCGTAAAATAGATATAATTTTGAACTATGGAAATAACATTTGACATAAACAAAGTCTGTAGAATTCCAATGAAGTAACATTTAAGGGGTAGGTAAGTTTTACTCTGTTTGCCTATCAGAGGTTGAGAGCTTGTGTAGCAACGTCATAGGTAATCCTACCACTATTTTGCACAGTACTTAATAATGTAGACTTTAGCTTAATCTCATGTCTGTATTAATTTTCACAATAAACATTAACCTTAAATTAACGAGACCGCTGCATTTGAATAGGCTGAGATTAAAAGGTTGAGATTGTTTAATATTTAAAATAGATTATCACACAATAAAATGTGAATACATCAATTTTATCTGTTTTATTTGACAAAACTTTAAGATACATGCAAACATATTATTAACTTACACGCTAATTGTATACACTCGACTTAGTGGACCACGAACGGCATCTAAAACAAATTAAAGGTAAAATTACCTTTTCTTCTTCGCTAAGTTACGAATTAATTAGCCAAATCTGACGTAGAAATCTACTTACGCGAGCGAGCAGCATAAGCAGTCCATTTTGACCCCAAAGTACTCGTTCTCATCAGGATGCATTTTCAGGTCATCACATTTCTTCAGCCAAGGGCAGTACCGGTAGTAAACTAGTACACCAGTAACGTCCTGCAACCGGATCGTCGTTCCTTCTAAGCGACCGCAGACTTGCCATTGATTACCAGTTTTGTTTTTTATCACTGTCACCAGGAACTGCTTCGAATACCCACTCCATTCTTTTGGGACATAGACCATATATTCAAACCACATTTCTTTTAATGCCAGTCTCAGATAAACATTAAATACTTGCAAACAGGGGGAGAGAGTGATTAAAATTGAATCTACATACAACTGGTCTGGAATAGAGTATTTTTAGAAGGTGTATTCTGTATCAACGACGTGCTTAAGTATTTTAATATGTTGCTCCAAGGTTAGTCACTCGAATATTCAAAACATTATTGAAAAATAAAATTGTTCGCAAGATCGAATGTTTGCAAAAACTAAAGCAGTGACGTCAGAACCTACCTCAACCATGTCAAGTAAACGATGTGCTGCCACTTGTAGATCGCGTCTGTGTAGCTGTTTACTTAGTAACAGTTTAAATTTTGTTTATTGGAATATTTTTTTTAATTGTTTCAATTGGAACCCTTGTTAGGAACAATAGTTATTAGACGCGACCAGATAGTAAGGATCTTTTGCAAAGAAACCGCTAGGTCGTTTATTGTTTGTTTACATTCATGATAAGTTACATAATATAATAAGAGCGCAGAAAAAATACATGATAGTTAGATGTTTTTAATTATAATTCGATTTATTTTGATACCGTGTTTAATGAACATTTTACGACCGTCATAAAAGACACTTAAAATTTTAATCTTCTACGTATTTTCTTTCGGTTATTAAACTCTGTGACCAGCATCTCAAAAAACAGTTTGTTAGTGACTTAAAAATCCATTAATATTTTTCAGTGACATGTTTATGTGTTTGCACTGCAAACTTGTAATTGGTAATAATGGTCGTTATGACCGCTATATATCCCGTGTAAATACCTATGACGCGACATAACATTCACCAGTATTCTTTTGGCATTGCTTCAGAACGTCTTCAGCAAAATAGGCCAAATAATAGCTTTGCCGGTAAGAAATAAATCATGTTGAACGAATCAGGAACTTTAATTTTAATTGTTTTTATGGCTACTTTCAGATAGTGATTTGCGTTAAACAGTCCTCGAGAAAGTAATTGAAAGCAATCGAAATGGACCAATCGCGAAACAACCCTCAAGACAAGGCAGTAAAGGGGTCCGGTCAGAAAACCCCAGAAAAATATACCCCGGTGAGTAATATTCCATTAACAGTTTATTCTTTCTGTTACTATTTCTCTGAAAAACGAGGACTTAAGGAGTATTATGTTCCCGTAATATCGATACACGATCACTGTTATTTTTTATAAAAAAGAGGTTGTGAAAAAAAAGGGTAGGGGTTAATTGTGAAGTCTTCCACTCACAGTATGTAATGCTAGAATATCCTACATATTGTTTTAACCTGTTGTATTATGTGTTGCATTTTTATAAAATTTCGGATTGGATTAAATGGTTCAATTAATAGTTTAAGGTAGTGGTATATTTCAAGTCACTTTAACTTCTCTGCATTAGTAAAAATAACTGTAACTACAAATAAAAGTTCATTATGAATCTTATAAGAACATATAAGAGGTTAGCTTAACTTAAAATCCAAATCCTTAAGTACTTTATAATCGACAATAATTATTTCATTTTAACTAATTTATCAGACGATAAGACTTTATCGAACATACTTATCTACTTTTATAGTTTTATCATTTGCTGACACTTTTAAAACGTTCACTTAGCACTTCATTGAGTCACAGATATCTGACCCTCAAGGCTTTCCTTGAGGCTGATACCAGAAAACTCGAGGGTATGCGCCAGTGTTCCAAATCATCGGTGCCGGTGCATCACAATGTAAACAACCAAGGATGTGTGACGTCAACAACTACGAGCGACGGTAAGCGAAAGCGGGAAGATGATGAGAATAAGCTACGCAAGAAGTAAAATTTTATAAATGCAGATGTATTTTAATGGGCATACTTTTTATTAACATAGGCTAAGTTTAATTTTAATAAGTGATTAAAATCTTGTACTTTTTTTATGCATTTTATTTAAATCCTCTAGGTCACGCTCACAGGTTCTGATAGTACAAAAAACAACTCTTAAATTTTCAAAATATGTTATTTTGAGATAGCAATCGTAAATAAGAAATTAATTGTTATTATTTGCAGAAAAAGACATCATTAAACGTTAAATAACTGTAGTCAGTTCAATTATGTTTGTTTAATAAATTACCTTTTCGACTTTAGGTTTGTAAATGTGGATGCTAGTGTTCCAAATTTTATTAGAAACTAAAGCAATAGGTTACCTAAAATGACTCATCTTGTGACCTATTATCACTTATTTGTGTCACGCCATTTATAAATGACTGCATATACAAACTACATCAAAGTAATGTAACCATTACTATACTGGATAGGCATATTAACTTGATATTTCTCTTAAAAGACAACTTTCAATTGAAAAGTTGTATACCGTTTAAATTGCAATTACAGACAAACGGATGAATGACTTAGAAGCTTTTATATTTATGTGGCTAAAAAGTGTTACTCTAATGTGAAAATAGTAGTTAGCTCCGCAATTGTTAAATCAACCGTGATATTATGCAATTTGTATTGCAGTCCTTGACATTTTCCAAGTCCGAAAGTTCTTGGCACGCAACCAAAAAGATCCGGGTTGGATTTCCGGCCCGGGCTAAAAGATTCCCACTAAATGCCCCCCACTTCTTTTATTTTATCCTTTCTCTAATTTGTCGATAAATGACATTTAAGCTATTAGAATATTTAGACCAATAATAATAAATACAAGTCATTTTATTTATTCATCACTGTTGACTGTGAAGGTTCGATGATCTTTGCAGAGGAGAAAAATAAACATGTTTTTATTAGATCGTTGCATTGTTGACTTTGATGTTTTTATACACAATAAAGCTAAAGTTTGGTGACAAGATTCATCGTGTTTACATCGTAGCTAGCGGCGCAATATGCTTTCAATAACACTAATGTAGTCTGGACGTTGATCTAAAATAAAGAAATTAGTCACATGTGGTCATTAGAATTCTTATTTTTCATAACATTAAAGCTAGTAGCTTAAGCAATTGAAAAATGTGTGCAATTAGGGGTAACAAAGATACCAAAATAGTTGTGACAGTAAGAATACAGTTGTTTTCCACCCCGTATTTACTCAGCCTTATTACGTGGTGCGCAATAAATTTTATTTGTTTACGATGGGTAACACTTGTAGTGCAGTTCAAACTTGTACAACTGTGTGTGAATGTATCACTGGATACATACATGGCGAACAATAACTGTAGGTATGTAGTTGGTAAACATCTGTATAGCTGTAGTAGTGCGGTAGTCAATGTCGGAAAAACGTCATGAGTCACCTTGAAAAGCGTAGAAGCTACAGCGGTGAGTAACCTCTGTGCCATTGAAGTGACATGCAATGTCACGAATCACATTTCTTGCTAAGAGCGTGTACATACATTAATTATACTACTTCTTGTTTTTATTTTTATGAATATTCTTGCTAAGAGCGTGTACATACATTAATTATACTACTTCTTGTTTTTATTTTTATGAATAGCGATTTATAATTGCTATTTTTACCTTCCCGCTAAAAAAATTGAAGATTTTCGAAAATCGGGAAGTTATTGGTTTTACCCCGTTTAACAAAAATCGAGTTTACATCAGATCTCGACGTTTTAAGATCATAGGAAGCTTCCGTGACTACTGCCGCGATATTATCACTATGTTTGTGTGTGTGTTTCAAAGCCGGATAGGTCTGATGTGGAGTACATTGTCGCCTTACGTCCGTGTCCAATTTTTTTTCAGCATATGCAAAACTCTGTGTTCAAAGTTCTCAAAAGATTTCAGATTTCAGAAAAATTTTATTGACATAATAATACGTTACAATGTTCTTAATAGTATATCAAACTATCAATAAATTATTCCATATAATTTATTATTATTGTCACAATACTGTCCATTGGACTTGGCTAGTATTCAATATTGTTACAATCTAACTTTAGAATAGATAATTACAATGTAGTTTATTTGTTAGGGAAAAAGTTTAAAAAAAACTTAATAAGATATATTTATAATAAAGTTTGGAAAATTCAAAAGTGCTCGCCTTATGATCTCATTTTTCACAGTAAAATTTACTAAAATAAAATATAAAAAGCAAAATAATAAAAAACAAAAAACTCTGCTATGGTTTAGTGGCGCCATAACTCTAAGGTGAGGAAAAAAAATACTATAATAAAATGTATAGATAGATATACAAAAAAATCCACAGTCATATATTCGTTTTTTATAAATAATTATTTAACGACAGTGGATTGAGCGCTCATATTAATTGAAAAAATCAAAAGTGTCGTTTCAAGTCACAATTAGTCAGCATCAAGAGTCCACCTGTCAAAGTTTCAGTCATCAGTTGTCTCAACCGTTTAATTACGTCTAATACTAATACTCGTTTGCGTCATCGTAGCCAGTTATAAGTTGGTTCAAGGTCGCTTCAGGCCAGCCAACAGTCAACCTTCTCAAAGGGGCCACTTTGTTGAGTCACTCTTAGTTAATTTAGTCAGTTTATCGTTCGGTGTTGTGTATTACATACGTGTGTGGTGAACAGAGTTAACAATGGACAAATATTTAAAATATTATCATAAAGCAAGTGTAGTATTTAAATATGGTACTCAAAATTGGTCAGAAGATAGCTTTCCGCACATACCAAGACCTCAAGCGTCGATTTGGAGCAAGTTACATCATTACATGAGTTACAGACTTGTATTCTTTGAGAAATATTTCTTAAATTTTTTCAAAATTCATAACATGTCTATTGAACTTCCGGCAATGGCAATATTAATTGGATCAATGGCTGAGGCGAGCGGTATGGCAACCTGCGATGAATACTCCAGTTGGATTATATCAGAACTGATATTGAATAATGAACCGGGAATTTTTACAATTTTGGAATCAAAGCCACGAGAAAGTTTACCTACTTTAGTACGCGGTATTGGCCACAAGAGTGTTGGTGTTGCCGGTGCAGATGGCGAGATCGAAGTAGTTATTGATGCTATGGAAATGTCTACTTTATCCTTTCCTAACCAATTTATGGACGTCAATAGGAGAATCATATTTGGAAGTGACAAGAAAAAATGGAAATCATTGGCAGTCTGCCTGGGCGACTCTGTAGAATTGCCGCTTGGAAAAGATACTCTCAAAGACTTATCAACGGAATTAGAGAGTTATTTAAACGAAATGACAACTTGTCGCAACAGAGAGGAGCTTATATTAGCCGATACTCCTCGCGCTAACCCGAGCGACATTGATGAAGTCCTTGAAGTCTTTTTCCAGACACTTCAACGAAAAATTGGAATTTTAAAAAATTTATAAAGTATAATTGAATAATACTTTGTATAATTTATAAAGAATATATTTTATATACCTTACTGCGTTTTTTATTTTTTTCTATTACCTCCATCGGCACAGCCGATCACTAGGGTATTATAGAGTACACGGAGAGAATTTTATATTAACCCTATCAATACTTGTTTTGTAGATTTTACTATCTTAGATGGTAATTAATTTTATAAAAGTTAAAATGATAAATATAACAATTTCAATTATAATCAGTACAATAATAAAATAATAATTCCTAAAATAGAGCGATCGTACCATTTACTATCGAGATGGTTACATTTATCATCACAAGTGGTTAAAGTTACCAATTGTATTGTATGCTATTCAGTAAAAGTAAACACTGAATTAATCAATAACATAATCAATAATATAATAATAATAATAATAATAATAATAATAATAATAATAATAATAATAATAATAATAATAATAATAACGTGGTGGACATAAACTGAAAATTAAAATTAATTTTTTTTGTTCTAATTAATATAAGAAATGACTTTTATTTAATATTAATATCAATTCAATAAAATATAAACTCTGTAGGTAATAATTATCATTAAAGATTGTAGAAATTATTAATTTGATTTTAAAAATTACTATTGAGATATTTAATCAAATTATCTTAGATAGTTGAAAATACAATCATATAGTAATATAACATATAATAAAAATTAATATATTGGTGGTAACTGTAATAATTTATATCGTATTTATAATAATAAAAGGTAGTATTCATTACCATTGAAGTATTTTAGAGCTTTTTACAATACATTGATGACAGTATTTACCATAAAATCCAACCATCGTGTTCAGTGTAGCACATACTCTACTAAAGGTAAGTAAAAAAATTAGAATTAAAGCTTATTTATGTTGTTGATGAACGTGAATCACAAAAGATTTGTGGATCGTAAAAAGAAATGAATGATGCTACGCACATTTGAATCTTCACTAGTATTATATGACGAGCATAGTCTTTATTATCAAGTATACGTCACTGGGTTATACTATAAAAACAACAGACTCGTTCAAAACACTCCACAATGTTTTTGCATTTATCTAGTTCGCCCGTTTCAAACTATTGTATTATTTTTTATCAGTTTAGTTTGAATAAATATTCATCTAAAATGGAAGAAGTTTTTGCAAAAATTGCATTCGTAGAATTAGCTCCGAACATAATAGTGCCATATGAATGGCCCGTTGATCGTATCTATAACGTCGTGTTAAGATCTGCGGAAGAGGTCATTATGCAGAACACTCATGAGGATCTAATTCTGCAGGTGGATGGTATCCCGGCAAGGTTGTATAGAAACGTCAAAAAGCACCGTTTCTACCATGTTTTCAAGAAAATATCCAAAGAGTAAGTAAACTTACTTTCGTCGATGTAACGTCAATCATTGTAACCACCTTACGCAATTAAGATATTGACAAAGTTTTTCAAATTCCAGAGACATGTGTGGTTGTTATGTTTATGACATTGCTTTGTCTGAAGATCAAAATACGATAACATTGGAGGAATCTAGTGGGACTAACTCCTGTGATGACTCTAAACTGAGGCGTAAACATTCTTACTCCGAAGATTGTATGATATCGTATTATTACGTTCCTCACCACTCGTACGTATGATTCCTAGTCCGAGCTATCTAATAATTTTTTCTCACATATTCTATACACTCACATTAAGATGATCCTCTCCACAATCCTTTCTCAATCCTTTCCTACCAATTATACTGTTACGTGAATGTTGGAACGCTTCACGTAATAATTATCCGTAACTCCTATTCTTTCCCGCTTCACAGCATTATTTATATTTGTTAAAAATGTGGAACGCTTCACGATTTTGCGTGTGATTCATTTATCATAAATAAGTCAAGCGGTGAGTTGTAAGAAGTAAATAAGCAGTAAGCAGTCGTTAGCGAATCCAGTAATTGCTTCTCTAACTTGACATTTTTTTTCAACAGAGTGGGTCAACTAAATCTCGATGAGCGGGTTTTTCACGTGTTAGGACGGTGCTTCCAAACAGAAACCAATTAATAGTCTTAAGAGATTTGTCTTATAAAAAAAACTTGTTATACAGTGGTCAGGACACGCGCTACATAAATATTATGAATATTATGTATTTATATTTTTTGTGTCGGAATTTTTTTTTTTAATAAGAATATGTTAAAGTAATAACAAAGTACCCAATTAACATAGTTTTTATAGATTTGTTATATCGGACCGAGTCCAAGTAAAATAAGTTTATATTTTTTTTTTATTATATTACTTTATTTTATCTTTTTTTTACTATTTGTATTAGTCATAGTTCAACGTTTATTTGAGATTGAAATGATATTCTTAAAGGTTTCAAATTTCAACTTTATAGTTCTGAGAAGTTTTTTTTTATAAAAATATTTTAACAAATTCAAAAGTACCCTAAGTACACAGACCGGAGTAATAAAAATTATCTCCCGCTGAGACCCAGATAAGGGTGCAACGTTTCAACCTCAGATACACGTTAAAGCATATTTCCTTTAGTAATAAACTAGAAAAAATTTTTTTTGAAATAGAAACTAGAGAAAAATTTTAAAAGGGAAATATTAGATTTAAAATTCTAACGGATAAAATTTCAACACATTTTTTTTTTATAAGTATAATAGTTATTATTTAAGAAGGATTTTACAATAACTTAAGTAACAATAAATTAAGCGACAAAAATTTTAAATAAACAAATATTGAACAATGAAATTCTGAAACGATACAACGAATAAAAAAAAAATATACAAATGATCGAAAAAAAAAAAAATATTTCTACAATTAAATAATTAAATTCAAAATAATCGAATTCGAAATAATTAAGATATGCTTAATTGAACTACATATTTTATTCATACGTTTAAATAAATAATTTAATGCAAAATTTGTCACAGTAAATAATTTAATGTAAAACAGTACACATGTATATCTTTGTCTATGCATAAATGCGCTTACGTATACAAACACATAGATGTATAATAGAGCATAAGAGTAAGAGAGAAACGATATTGTACTCTGACCCAAGTAGAGAGGACTCATGCAACATTATAAAAAATCTAAGAGAGAGGGCAAGGGCTCAAGGAAATAGAAAAATAATTGGACATTGTTTCTCCTATCTAGTAAAAATAAGTAACGCCCTAAAATTCGAGACCTTTACGATTTTCAACAAAAATCTCTCTCGTTGTCCTGACGTCCTAGTGTTAACATCGAAAAAGTTTTTGTAAGTTTCAATGAAACCACGCGTTAGATTCAAAAGAAATTGTTAGTGAAGTAAATTCAAATTATGTAACGAAGCAGTTACAATGATATTTAAGTAAGTCCTTAATTAAGATTTTCATGTTTGTTTTAATAATTCAAATCTTTGTATTATAATTTTAGAATATATTTATTAAATTGAATTCATTTTTTTTCTATTATAACTTCAACCTCTTCCCATAAGCTTCAGATCCTTATCTATTAGCCTAACGGCTAGGATAAAAATAATTAAATTTTAGTTGCAAGTTCGACGTAACAGATTGTAATGTAGAGTAAAGAATTATTTATTGTTGTATTCGATTATTATTTGAACACATCAATTAAGCTGAAGTATTATATATTTTTAAGATCGTTTTAATGATAAATAAAAAATAGATTGGAAAAAATATTGTAGTCCACTTATTTATGTTACCTTACACAGAATGTATGTTACCCTACATATTACACAGTACATTTTACTTTGGAATGATAAGCAATATTCCTTGGCAGAATATATTAATATTGATCGATCTGAAATGCTCAGCAAGAAAAGCCAAATTTATACGAGGAAACTTTTACTTAAAAAAAAAAAAAAAAAAAAAAAAAAAAAAGAACCAGTTGCTTACAACAATATCTACACTAGACTAACAGGGTTCTAGTGTAAATGCAATTCAAGTTATAAGCTCTCATTTGCTTTATTATTGCCTTCTTCATCTGCCTTTTGTTGCAGTTGTGGACCGACGTGTGCTTTCTGTACCACATGTACCCTGTTCTTTATTGGGGAAAAAAAAGTTTCCCTAAATTTAAATTCAGATTAGCAGGCCAAGTAGCTTTTACCTACAAAAGAATTTTTGTGTTATCCTTGCACTAGGAACACGTGCTTGAGCAAGATTCTTGTCGCAGAGCCTTGTACAAAATCTTTAGTTTCCAGCGCGTTTCTCGCTCCTGAAACTAGTAGCAGATGCTTGCAGTTTAATTATCTGTCACAAGTATCTGCTGCAAGACCCAAGGATAAAATTTTACGCTAGCAATTATTTGGAACAGTCTTGCACAAACCTTGTAAAAGATCGTTATATAGAGTTATATTTGCACAATTGTTTTATTTTCACGAGAGTGATATTAATAACCTGAAATCCATCAGGTCTATGCTATCGGGCATCTTTAAGATCGCTTTTTTCGATATAACATAATTCGCGAGAGACTTAAACTTGTTCCACGTGACTATCTATTTAACTCATGAGGACAATACTCAATCAAGTTTTTATACGACTGTCAAAGATCAAGAGGATTAACTATGTGCCAAGTTTGGAAGCTATAAAAGAGAATACATTTAAGACTATGCTGCATTATTGATTTATTCCTCTAACTGATTTGACATCGATCGTCTTATCCATCTTTGCTAACTAGGTGAGTTTTAATTATTTGCGACAAATTGTTTCTTTGCCACCCATTGGACAATGTAACACAAGCATGTGTTTCGACGCCATTGCACTGAATGTAAATACAAAAGTTAGCGTGTTATCTAAAAATTTGTTACTAAAATGCACCAAAATGTCCTGAAGGAAGCTCCAATTTCAAGTTCAATTCCTTTTTGTGATAAATTTGCTTTTTTCAGGACTGGAAAATGGATCGTATTGGACGAACTTATATATTTGAACCAAAAGGCGCGGATATGACTCCACTATGCAATTTTTCAAAATCCAAAAAGAAATCAGAGAAGCCAGCTTAAGCTTCAGAGGATCCTGGAACTTCTTCAACTTCTCCTCTTCGTCAAGAGAGCAATAGCAACAAGCCTGCAGAAGCTGAACGAGCGAATTTAGGCTCTAAGTTGACCAAGTATTTGAAACCTTCAACATACAAGAAAAAAAATTAAATCTAATCCAGTTCAACAATTACACTCGACTTACGGAAAATTTTAGTGTTAGTTAAGTGGTTAATGGTGAAAATTAATGTTTAAATGGTGTTGTTAATTGCTAGTAAGTAATCAAAGCTAATCTATGTTATAAATGAATCACATATTAAGTATAAGAAACCTTCGACATACAAGAAATACAATCGAATCTAATCCAGTTCAACAATTACACTCGACTCACGGAAAATGTTAGTCTTAGTTAAGTGGTTAATGGTGAAAATTAATGTTTAAATGGTGTTGTTAATTGCTAGTAAGTAATCAAAGCTAATCTATTTTATAAATGAATCACATACTAATTTATGTGTTGTATATTTTTTGTTTCAAGCCACGAGCGCTTTTAGTTAGATGCATTGTCCTTCATCTATTGTTCTGATAAGTCCCCATGGTTAAGAGTTCAATAATCCTTCAGCAACTACGCAGAATCTGTCACCGAGCTTTTTTATTAGAATGAATACACATTAGATTGCAAAGAATGCAAGCATAAGACTTACCTATTACATCTAATTGAACCAATTTAGAGACGTTACAAAACAAATCTGAGTAATATTTGGAAGGTCAGACTCATTACGTATCTAGACGTAGTCCTTGTAGAGTTTCTCTGTAGCTGACACTCTATAAATCGACACTCCTTATATCGATTGTAGGGTTCTTTACTATGCATTGTTTTTTCAGGCCTACAAAAAGTTTCCTTAGGCGGTAAAAACACCTACCACACTTTGTTGGCTATCCAAAAATATCTAAAGCTAATTGATCAGAAAGTTAAAAATTACCTCCGACTGACAGAACTAATACTGATATAACTTAATTATTACCTTAACAGTAAAAAAACTTACACATAAACATTATGAATAGACTGCTTGATCTTTCCGAGTGCTATAAAGTATCATGAGCCGAGAAAGCATGTACCACGTCACGCAATCACTAAAATGGTACTTGCCTTAGGTCAGTTCTATTGATTTTTATCAGCAGTGGGCATTGGCTTCGCTTCACGTGACATTGATTATCAACAATAGCTTTCTGCTTTTACAACAATCTAATTTTTAGAAAAATGTGTAGATGGAAATAAACTCATTAGCGAGCAAGGTCAAACATATGATCTTTTGTTTGCCGCAATACGCAAGAGATTACCATAAATTAGAAAGTTTAATACTCGTAACATTCGAAATAAATTGCAATTGTGCTTATTTTTTTTCTGATTCCGCTTAAACAATTTATATTATGGTAACAATAAAAAAACTTCAAAGCTAATTGCATTATTTGATACATCTGGACTGCCAATTTTTGCAATTTGTCATAAGTAACTCTCATCGCTAGAAAATAAGGTACAAATTGAAATAATACCGGCCTTGTGCCTTATAATGTTTCCAGCCTTGCATAAGTATGACCGCGTTGTAAACAAACTCAAAAGAATATTCTAAGAACTAATTTACTAAATTTACTAAATTTTACTACAAAAGAATGTAAGTGATCAGTCTATTTGGATAAAAAAATAAATATTGTAGTTTGTAAATTCGTGTTGAGATTTTTTTCTAATTAAGGACTACTTAGTACTTTTCAAATGCTTATTGAAAAAAATGTTTATATAAAATGAATAAGTACTATGCTTCTAATTATATACGATATACTAGTACAGTATAACGAAAATAGAAGCTAATAATAGAGCGTATAGTATAATTATAACTTACCGTCAAAACAAATTCTGGAGAATCATCACTCGTAGTAGTTATTTACATTAAAATAAATCAGTAGGCGTTTTAAAGTATGAGGTCTACTTGAAGTTAGGCCCCAATTCAACAGTGGTAGCGATTTATGATAGTTGATTGTTTGAACCACTTTTAGTTTCTGCCTGAGCAGTCATAGTAATTTAAGTAGTTCTAAATGCTAGGCAACTTATGGAGTTCACAAGCATCTGTATATATTTTAACAATGTTCTATATGGCTTACTAAATATCACATTATTAGAGAATAGATTTATAATGAACTGAAGAGAAAGGGAAGCTGCTCAATGAAAATTTTGTTAACTAAAAGAATAATTCAGACAACCCGCACCTAAGCACTACAATCGATTTGCAATGATTTAGTAGGTCACATTGCTCTGAGCTTTGTTTAGGCGCTTCACAACTCGGTAAACGAGTTATCAGTGTAATTTAAGCGGATTTCAACTATATTTCCGGTCTTAATTGCAGGATAAGTTTCAAAATGAATTAAACATTCATATAAATAGTGTGATTTGGAACTTGTAATAACTGAAGCTTCAAATTGTTTATTTTCTGGTCTTTTGAAAAATCTTGATGTAGAGTAACGACTAACTCTAGTTGTTTTAATAGTAAACAAACGTCGCATATAAAGAACTAAAGGCTGACTGCTACGTTCTCAGGATTGATTTGTTGGCATTACTGTGATTTTGTTGACCATCACATTATCTGTTTTTGGAAACGATATTCTCATGACGTAGTAATTATCTATACAGGTTTAGCTAAATCAAAATCTGAAAATTGGAATTTTAGGTTGACGTTGATCATCGCATTGACACCCTCTAAGCTGTAGGGCATGAATAATTACTATAATCCGCATTACCATTTGACATTAAAATTTGAATATATCAATGAATTCTCTTCCAGGTAGAACTAAAGCGAATTGACTTGTTGACGTCACTGCGTATATTTTCGATCATTATCAACTTACACATTTCTGAATATAGAAGAATAAATTATCGCCCACATTCTTATCCCTCATATAAATAGCGGTGACTGCTACATGGATTCATTTTCCTTTAAGATACTGAAGCGGATGCTGCGAGATTTGTTCCCAGATCCTGAATTTTCTGCTCGACGTAAGTTGACGAATTATATCTATTTTGTTTCTTGCGATTAGAGAGCAGTTAGATCGTCCTGCGTACTAATTGACATTAATTTCCACAGATAAAATCCTTGAGGATGAATGCAATCATTGACATTATCCCGATTATTATTGCAGTGGTGACTGTCAGGAATGCCACTGTACATCATTAAATCTTCATCATCAAATGCCTCAAAAGTTCCTGCAGTTTGCCTACCACTGGGAACATCAGTAAGTATAGTTACTCAATATCAAACTGATTTTAAGAAATTGAATCACTGAAAGTATGTACAATATGTTCTTTTATTTTCCAGTGCGTAAAGTCAAAGCTTCCTTGCTACATGCTGACTTATCAAAACAGCTATTTAAGGTTGGGAAGTGTACCAACCACCTGCTTCGAATTCGGGAAAGGCATTTGCCAAATAAACAGCAGCATTGAGAACTTCAACGAATACACCAAGCTGATCAAACAGCGGAACGAATCCAACTTCGAGGAGCTAAAGACCAAGTATTGGAATTCTACTCAATCTGTTTACACTTACCCGCAAAAATAACTATAGAAATGATAAGCGAAATAACTATAGAAAATGGCTGTCTATAAGGTAAAAAAAACTAAAGTACAGTCAACAATATCGATATCACACAGACCGGGTCACTTGCAACATAATTTTAAATTTTTTAAATGTATAGTTACAGCAAATTTAATACACAGTAATAAAGATCTCATCAGTTCCGAAGCTTGATAACAATAGATCTATGCAACAATTGGCACTTTAATTGACCTGGAATAAATCGCTCTAAATTTTGTCTAAATAGAATTTATTTCGACAACAGTACTAGTATTTAGGTATTTAGTAATAATGAACAATGTGCGGTTTGTCCCAACCACATCACTATATTTAGGTTTTCCTGATAACATTTTATCCGTTAGTACGCCAATTTATGTAAAAACCTATACCTGCTAACTCATGGCATAAATATTTTGTGATTTTATATCCTAAAAATATACCTTTAAATGGAAGCTTTGCATTTTCTTGATATTGGAATAAGTTCTACATAAATTAGCGATCTATTTAATGACAGCTTTCTTATTTGCAAAACTTCATCTTTAAAGGGTATAAAATTTTATTGACCATAAGCATGTTTACAACTGAAGGAGTACAAAGCAATAAAGCGTAACTGACTGAAAACAATGGCCACTAACAAACCAATGATGTAATGATTAATGTTTTGGACTGCCCTGAGATCAATTGAAAGTTCAGTATCATCAATCTACTCAATGTTTCAATTAATCACATGCGTTGTAATTTATCTGTGATTTATTGATCAATATGTTTGTTTAAATAAAAATGTGGTTTTGTTTGAGGTGTTTTACTCAAACAAGACATTATTTTAGATAGTTTATTTATACAATGTGTGTCTACTACAAAGTTTTTTACTAATGACATTCATATGATTTGCAGGTAAATTCTGATGTTCCGACTTTATCTGCGATATGGCACGTTCCTGAAACAAAGTAAACACATTCACTATCGAATGTAAGTTCAGATAGGTCCCCTAATTTCTGAGGTCTTAAATAAAGAGAACTTACAGGCCTTAATAGTAAATACAGGCAATAAAAAATGCATAGTTTCCTCCCAAATAGAGAGCTACCTGTTCATTATGGCCATCCTTACACAGCCAGAAATTCTGAGCATAGTATTGTAAGGACGCAGTGGTAAATTTTATTTTTAAAATGAATATTACGTACGGTTTTCTGCAATCGTTGCAGGACATGTAGACACCGAAGTATTCTCTTGGGTTGGGAAAGGTCCTCTTGTCCTGCTCCTTCCTCATCCACGGCTGATCGCCATGGTAGCGCAGCTGGGCAGTTGTACCATTAACGTTGATTTTTGCGCCTTCAACCTTCTTAGTGATTGAATAACAAGATATGTCTTTCTTGAGAACTGTTTCCAACACATCTTGGGAGTAGTACTTATTAGACCACTCTTTCGGAACCAAGCACACGTGCTTAGACATCTTGATGCACCCGACAAATAATTTATGATTGATAGCGAGCAGCGCCATTATTTATATGCTCTAAATCAATTGCTTCAATTAACTTCAATTTGAGCATCTCTTTGGAAAGACCTAAGATTATTTATAAAGGAGATTCTTAATTGTAATGACAATTAATATAAGCTACAACTAATTATGTAAATTCTAAATTTAAATAATACTTTATGTGTACTTTTAGAGCTTATATATACCGACAGCAGGGATTTTTGCTAGAACAAAGAAATTATTGTTAAAACTTAATCTTACTTTTGGTAACCAGTAAAAGCTAGCCAGAGTTTGACTCACGATTCCGAAGTTGTTATACACGGCATGAAGATTCCTGTGTAAGTCCTCCGATTTGGTCTCTTGAGGTTATCTTTTTCGTTTTTCATCCATATTTGGTTTTTATAAATACGTAGTACAGAAACGTTTCCATCAATGCGGACCCTAGTCCCTTATATTTTGTTAGTTTGTCGATAATGGAATGTAACTTCGCTATGGAGAACCAAACCCATAAAATCTGAAGGGTATTCGTCCCATGGACGGGGAACCCAGCAAAGATGTTTGTCTGACATAGCCTATCGATATTTGACAACACTTTTGGATAGATATTTCGATAAGGCAATTCTCTTCTGCGATAGCAAATGTTCTTTGAACGCATTTCAATTAGCATCTCCATATAAATATCCCCAGGATACTTGAGATGATCATTCTCAATTGCCTACCGTAGACTACCCTGATTGAGTGGAGTAAAAACGTTCGCTTGTCGTAACTAGGTGCCATTCTTCATCGGTATCGAGGCTAGAACGTTAGTACTGGAGCAAAGTCGTTCGTCGTAATCATTATTTCAGTCAACGTGCTGTTACAAGTGAGTCGCCGAGCTTCGAAGTGCTAAATAGGTAAGTTGAAGTGACATCCACTAAAATAACCCCATTTTCTTGTAAGTGTGTGGCCCGACCGACTTGTTTCAAAAGTGTCAATATTAATGAAGGATTTTAGTTGCAGATACGAGGCTTGAGGAAACAATCGGGATGGCTGATCGCAAGCAATCGACGTACAAAAAGCCGTCTGAGCAAGACATGTCCAGCTTGGTCAGAGCTTTTCGAAAGTTGAGTCCTACGAAACGTCAATACTTCGAGCTGACTAAATCGGATTCGACATCGTCAGTGTCATCTGCAAGCAGCTTCGCTTCCAATTCTTCCGTATCGATGACCCCGCTGCAAAAATCATCAAGTTCTTCGAAATGTCAAAGTGCAGGTCCACAACCCGGAACGTCTGGGATGAAGGACAAGGATACAAAAAAAGAGAAGGAGCTTCTACAAAAGTTGGAGAAAAACGTCAAGGATACTTCTAAAACCTTGAATGAGTACGTTGCTATTCATAACCGTAAGAAGTAAGCAATGCACGTCCGTAATTGATGTCACTTTTGATTCAGTAGATCCTAACCTGTAGACGTTTAATAAATCAACTAATTACAATATTTTGTTGTTTTCTTTATACATAAACCCACTCAAGCATAGAGACAACTGTTTTCTACAAACTCTGACAGGTCCATATGTTTTTAATCTAGTCAAAAACATTTATAAAAGTAAACTACTCAAAAACAAACATTTCAGAACCATAAATCAGTCAGATACCTAAAGGTATAACATCTTTGGTCTAAAAGGTAGGTACTAAGTGTTAGTTTCCCAGTTCTTAACATATCAATAAGGTGGACGACGGTGGTGACGGTTAAGGGCTAGCCGAAGTACCTAGAACAACAACTTGGTAAAAAAACTGATAAATTGATATTTTTTTAGCTGAAACTAAAACACTATCTACCTTTCTCACATATAAGCCCTATAGTTTGCTAAAATTGAAGCTTATTAAGTCAAGCTCTCTTGTACCAATAATCTAAGTGAGCAAGTCGTAAATAACACATTGAATGAAGTCATTACTCATGCTGACGTTTATTTGAAAGGTGCAGTTCAATTAAATTAATTACTCTATTTATCTCAGTTATTTGTCTACCGAGATGATTAACGATTTTTTAACAAGGCAGCTCAACCACAATCGGTTGGTCACATGGTTCAAATAGTTGGTAGCACATATTCAATTGCTGACGTTTAATAGAGGACATAGCTTATTTATTGGTCAATGTATTAAATAGAACATAAAAACAATTTCTAATTTGTCACTTATACTTGCTCCAATTGGCGTCGATTGATAATTTATCACTGAGAAACGACCCATAGATAATTCATGGGCTGGCACCTCAATATGTACTCATATTTGTATGACCTCACTGCGTATTTTTGTATGGCATATGATGAATGGTGTTGTTTCAATCGAACTATGTTCGTTTGCTAATTAATTTATTTTTATGTAGATATAAAGTAAATTCATGGAATTACTCTGTGACCTGCTTGTCTCAGTTAAGTGTTAAGGGCAAGACAAGTCTAATAGCTTAAGTCTGTTTTCTGATACGTCTATTTAGACTAAATCATTAGAAGGTTAAAAAATGCAACGAAAGTGATATGCATAGTTTATTATTGCTATAAATTCTATTCACAAAAAATCTAAAGTCTAATTTAAAACTATACTGCAAAACTACGATTTGCATTCTTTCTACTCTAATCGTAGACCACTGAAAGCTACAACGCAGTGAAGATTTAAGTAATTACGTCGTGTCGACTCAAGCTCTGAAACAAACAGAAAGAAAGTTATTATTTTATTAAATGGAACAGCAAGTTCGGTTAGACTTCGTACTGAGTCTCTAATAAGAGATGTAACCGATATTAAGTGATATTTTCCTCCTTGCGGTGGGTTACTTTAGTAAATATGGAATAGTACCTTTAGATGGTATGTAATTAGAGGGTAATCCGCTGGTAAAACAAAAAATTTCACTTACATTTTGATTCAGGCAAGTGGGTCAACATCGGAAAATAAGATTCGGAGTTCGGTCTTGCAGATATATCATCAGTTTTCTTGAACCTGAGCTTCAGGTCGTGATATTCCAGTTTGGTAGATACCGAAGAAATTTGGGTGTTGGCTCCGTGAATGTAGGTAATCTTTTTTCGATGTCGAGCATCATTTTTTCAAGGCTCTCTGTTTTATGTATGGCCCATTCTTTTCGCGCGACGCAGATGTGGTGATATTTGCCGTCAATGAACATTGTAGTTAATTTTATTGCAGCACGCTATCACTGGTAAGACAGTAGGCTGTGATTCAACTACAAGCTACATCGCGGGGTTTCATAACACTATATCAATTGATTGTCAATCAGAGCATCTATTCACTTTAATTGTTCTATAATTCAGGGATACTAATGCCGAAAAAAACCATTAACCAGAAGCAATGAAGTATCGGTAATTATAAGTAGTACTTACCCATTTTTGCGGCTAATTAACACTTATTATGAAATTCTTATCACTGTAAAATTCGTCTGTGGTAAGAAAATTATTTCTTGGACGATAAAGAACCAACCCTAGCTTGAGCTCAGAGTCAATCGACGAGGGCAAAACAATCAATTGAAGTGGGTGTCGGGCGAGGGTCATGATAAAGATTGTTGGCACAATTTATTACAAACAGTATGACGGATTGCTATTATAAATATGGCCATGATTCGAGTGGACTAATTACCATTAATTGGTAAAGATCTGGTCAGAACCGGTCATGATGTTATTTCTGAGAAACTATACGAAGTATTGTGAATTTTCAGACGATTTTAATTGGTAATTTATTAGCCGTTACTTTTTAGTAAATAAGGTATGAGTTTAAAAATATAATAGCTTTCAGAATTGTCAATAAGTAGCGATATGAGAAAATGATCCAACAGATTATGGGCCTGATAGTCGTAAGTTCTTGAAATCGTCCATCAAATGTGAATGAAGGTAATCAATCATTCAAATAAACAATTAGAAAAGCTATACAAATATTAAACTTATTACCGCAGTATCCATACTTTGTTTGCTCCCAAGCCGCAATTTGATCGTGATTTAAAATCATAACCGGAGCGGTCAGTAAAAAACGTAATAAGTGTGACTTTATCTATAAAATATAAAGTATGAGATCGATTTGTCAACGTAGGATGTGGTGACAAGCAACACTTATGACTTCTGGAGATTATTCAATATTTTTAAATGTCAAATTTTTAACTTCCCGCTAAGAAAATTGAAGATTTTCAAAAATCGGGAAGTTATTGTTTTCACCCCGTTTTGCAAAAATCGAGTTTTCATCAGATCTCGACATTTTAAGGTCATAGGAAGCTTCCCTGACTACCCCCGCGATGTTGTCACTGTGTGTGTGTGTGTGTGTGTGTGTGTGTGTGTGTGTGTGTGTGTGTGTGTGTGTGTGTGTGTGTGTGTGTGTGTGTGTGTGTGTGTGTGTATGTGTGTGTGTGTGTGTGACTATGTGACTCGCTTACAACTTTTGAACGATTAAACCGGTTGTACCACGAAATCTCCCCGGACAAAATCTCCCCGGACAAAATCTCCCCGACAAAATCTCCCCAAGACAAAATCTCCCCGACATAATCTCCCAACGACAAAATCTCACTAAGAAAATCTCTTTTAACTTATTTTAAAAATTTATTATAATTTAAATATTTTATGATTATTTTATTACCTTTGCTTGTGACCGTGTTGCGCACTTTTAACATGGTTTTTGTGTATGTTTATTCGACATTAGGACCACACAAACGCGGATAATCGTGTTGCGCCCTTTTCACATGGTTTTTGTGTATGTTCATTCGACATTAGGACAACACAAACGCGGATAATCGTGTTGCGCCCTTTTAACATGGTTTTTGTGTATGTTTATTCGACATCAGACCAACACAAACGCGGATAATCGTGTTGCGCCCTCTTAACATGGTTTTTGTGTATGTTTATTCGACATTAGACTAACTCAAACGCGGATAATAATATTATAATTATTTTATTGCATGACTCATGATGAGAAACATCAGAGAGTGCTTTACGATCGAAAAATTTTTTTCACCTCATTTTGGCAACTATTTTCATCATTATAGTCTTGTTAGTTCACGGATTCAAGATATTTTGCATACTATTGTCAAGATAATTTAATAGAGATTAATTTGACACTTTTCAAAAATTGATTTAGTGCACTAGAAACGAAAAAAAACATCAAAATAGGTCAAAAAATTTTCCTGTCCGTCATTTATGGAACCCTGAAAACTCTCTAACACTTTAACTCTCTAAAACACTCTAACTTTCGAAACAAATGCATCAATTTAATTAAATTTTTTTTTTTTAAATTCTTGCAGAGAATTGTAAGTCGCTAAATGCGAATGGTTAGGTAATTCAGTGTCGTTCATATACAATTAATAAAATAAAAAAGCCACAAGACTGTATATATATATATATATATATATATATAATATAATATACACTGATTGTACTAATTACAATCGCCGGATAGTTGCATTTATCATCTTAACTTTGTAAAAGTTAATAACCATCCTGGATAGTAGAATCTACAAAATAGAGATGGTTGATGTTAATATAAAATTCTCTCCGTGTAGAAATATTATTTCTTAGAACTCAGCGAGCTCAAAATAACACATAAATTATATTTTGAGCTTAAAAATCTCAAAAATGTCATAAGTACAATTTTAAGCGCCCAGGAATGGAATTAGCGGGAAGTTGCAGAGTGAATCATTTTTCTAATTTTTTTTTCCACATCGTTGATGAAAAAAAAAAAAAGTTTACATTCTATGTTTTGCTCCAAAAGCCATCGAGACTGTTTAAATCTTTACCTCTTCAATGTCGATAAGCTTTAGCTGTTTATATAAGCCAATAGATTATTTCTCATCCTAACAAATCCAAAATACCATTTTGTAATGCACTGCATGTTTCTGAGTTGTGTATCAACATATTAATTAATAATATTAAATCAAAGAAGCTTGCTGATTTTTGAAGGTTAATCTTCCAAAGTTCTCCGTCAAGTGTTGTTGTCTGAATATCCTCGAACTCTGGCCTTCAGCTCGTTTTGCGAATTGGGATTGTCGACATCATGTCAATTGAACTGAGAACATAGCAACGCAAATTTTATCAGCTATGCGTTTTATTACTAGTAAGTGGATGTAGCAATTTATCATTTTGACCTACAGTAAGAGGTCTCACAAATGCTCGCTTATCAATTTAACCTAATATAAATATTTCTTAGAAAATCTCAAGGACGGGCCTATGGTGAACTTAAATATCGTACGCCCCCACGACCTAACTTTAAGACCAGCGTAAATTGAGAATGAGTTACATTCTCCTAGGTACATACATACATATAAAACATACAAATGTATCCTAAAATTAGCTTTTTAGGTCGTTACCCAGAATAATTTTAGACCTAGATAATAAATTCTTGAGCTGGGCTGGCCAGTATATAAAGATCGCCGATCTAGACTCTAGCTTTCAATTTTAGTCTGACTTTACAGTGCTAAGTTTGATTTCATTAGGATACGTAAGTATTTTTTAGTCTGTCTTTATTTTGCGATTTTTAAGGTTTTACCGACTTGAATTCCAAAGAGAAATACTTTTTTTCTTTTTTTTTCAAATGTAAAATATTTTAAGTTTCATGAAGCGGTTTTTCAGTAATTTCCAAAAAATTGTGTCTGAGCTTTTGTCTGAATTAAAAAATAGTTTAACTTGCCATACTTTTCGGTTAAATCTTTATTTTCAAGAAAAAGTGAATTTTTCATCTAAGCTCCAATCCGGCTTTACCCTCATTTATTTCTCTTTTAGTATGAGTTAGCGTAAAAAAAATCCAAGTCGGTAACGCAACAATATTGAAATATATTTTGGGTATTCTACGTTAAATTGTGTGGTTTAAAAATTTTCAAATAGAAGATGTTTGATACTCAAAATATCGATAAATCGATAATTTCAGAAATCAAAACTTTCCAAACCGTCTGATTTTGCGTAGAATACTCTATTTATATCCTGAATTTTATTTATGAATATTTCAAATAAAATAAAACAGTGAAACGTTTTTAATTAACAGATATTACATACAAAATGGCGAGCGCTCTACTGATGTTAAGTCGTCTAGTCTGCATGCTAGTTGTGGTGGCAGTCAATGCAAGGCTGGATTATGATTGGGTAAGTTAAAGGACATTCGATACATCTATAAAGAACCTGTTACATACTTCTAACAACACTTATGTCTCTATGAAATTTTTCAGCTATTCAGTGTTTTTTCGTAGTATTGTCATCGTATGATTCAAGTTTCATAATTTTCAAATTGGATTCCATTCTTCCAAGGTATTGACTAATCTACAACAGCTCTTTTCTTAGCTCACTCTCAAAGTAACTCCGATTTTAAATTTTAAAATTCCGTAAATATTTATTTTCAGAGTCCCCTCAGTTTTGAGACCCATTACTCGAGAGATTCTCGTGACGGCGGTTGGGGTAGCGGCTTATTCAAAATGGTCCTAAGTGGATGGAATGATGATTAAAATGAAGATTATTACTGAGTTTATTTTAGATTAAATACTACATCGTAAGTCCATAATGAGGTGCGGACTTGATCAATGTGCTGTGATCAGAGAAACTTATGATCTGCATTATTTTTAAGTTCAACGGATACTCATTCTATATAATTTTTGATATAATAAAATAAACTTATCTTTTTACCACGTATTTATCATTTTAACACCCAAAATCATAGTGTACCTATGCCTCAATCGGCAGAATCATGCCAATACGTCTGTTTACCTACATTAGGCGTCTTAACACATGACACCAATAACTTGATCATCTGGCTTCAGTTATCATCTTGCTTCGCCAAAACTATCGTAATTAGTTCCACAATGAAAAACTCGTCCGTACACTTCAGAGTCATGGAGCGAAATGACAGATCAATATGGCGTTCGTTGGTGTGACGTCAGCCCACAGATGCCCTATCTGCAATCTCATTAGCTCTTGTCTTCATCGTTCAATATAGTTCGCCGAAAACGACCAATGAACCTTGTCCAAGTGGAACATTTGTCAATTTAGGTTTCCAATGAGGATAGCCTAGCTATTTTGAAAATGATGAAAAATTCCTAGATGCGAATCTGCTATGTCGTCATAAGCTGTTTCAGCTTCTTGTCCGGGCATGAACTATTTTTACCAGCAAGTGGTACGGTGCCACGACTAGTCAACCGACGACATTTCAACTGGACAATTCAACCAATGACAGTGTTGGCCTATTTTTAAATAAACACAAGATTCATGATAAAGGGCACAACACGACCTTATGATCCTATAATCATAAGGTCAAACTGTCTTTCAGTTGAACTGTCTTTCGGTTTCAATGTCGTTCAGTTGAAAGGTTATCGGTTGAAATGCTGTGGTTGAAGTATCCGCGGTTGAAATGTTACAGAACCAATATTGTGTTATACTTATTTACAAATATCTAAGTTCATTTTATTGTAAGCATTCGAGTTACGTCACATTTGTTTAATTATACGCGCTAAAGCTTCTAACGCAATAAAACGGAAAGAAGACATACGACTATCGACTCTGAATCGTACTTGCTGGTTGTTGCGTTAGAAGCTTTAGCGCATATAATTAAAGAAATATGCACATATATCATATAATAGTATGATAATCTATATTTCCGTAACTTAAAAGCTTACAATCAGATGAACGTAGGTATTTGTAAATAAGTATGACGCAATATTATATAAAACGTTTTTATATTCAACGGGAGTCTTTAATGTTACCAATTTAATCATATTTAACAATCTCACATATGCTGACAAATAATGATAAGAATGTCGATTGCCTGTTATGTTCGTAAACTACAAGCTAGTGATAATGTTAATTATCTAAACATGGTTAATTATATCTTGCCATATTCATAATTTCTTGCTGGTGACGTTGATATGTACATTCTGTCCATAAAAGATTTCAAAACTATAGACGCTTTTCAATTTTCATCAAAAAGTATACATATTTACCACAGTAAACATTAAATTTAGTCATTTGTTAATGTTTTTATTAGCAAAACATTTTTGTAGCGATAAACATGATCTGCTTGATGCAAAATCTCTTTCCCAAGTAATCACACTGACCACTGGTAAGTGGAAAAAGTGTATGAATTCCTTGCGTAATTGAAGTAAAGGATAAAAATAGGAAATTACTCTGTGCATTTGTGTCATATCATTCCGTGCGCAAGGATGAAATTATACTTAGTCAATGAGTTATTTTTTCCTTTACGCAATGTACCGAATAACAACAACGCGTGTCTACTTATTTTTGAAACTGATTTAATTAATTTTATTAAGCATAAATTTATAAATTTCTTCATCGCAAACCCTGCAAGTCTGATGCTCGTAGATTTTTATACTAATTGGGTAGGATTTATGACTATAACGGTACTCGTAAGCTTTGCGTGCTGAAACATAACGAACTTAGTAATTTTGCTCCATGAATTCTTCTGGAACATTGTTCTGAAACCGGTTGCGGAATTATTTTTTGTTATCGATTGTGTGACCACAATAAAAAGTAAACAACATTGTTACAGAAAAGACTTATTTTATTTCATACCTTTAAGGTCTAAATATAGAATTTTTATACAATATTTAATTTGATAGACTTCTTTGATGACATTAATGATAAAATACCTACTTACTTAAAGCATGGAGGCACTATACCAACAGACGATGTCTGTCTTAGTTGAGGCCCTTTTTTAGCGTCAACTACCGCAATTCATTGCAGCTTTGGTTTCCGCTTGCAAAGTTTATCTTAACAGAGTAGAGATCTTTGGGCAATGCGGTGTCACAACGGAAAGCGTCTGCGAGCTCTCTGAAATGGAAAACAAATAGAGTTTTATCCTCTTCCTGATTATCGTTAACAGTTACAACTATACTATATAATATCTTACTTGTGAGATACTTTCTGGAAAACATTGATAAAGCCAGTTCGTGTTGAATTTCGTACAAGTTTTGCAGGAATGTTCTGGACCTGTAGAAAGTACGTCACAGGATCCGGTTTCATTATCATCTTTTTTGTTAAAGAAAGCACAATACTTGCAATTCCGCGAATTGGTCATTCCAAGGGAATAAGAATATCGCGCTCCAATTCTACATGAGTAACAGTAGCGTAGTTTTCCTCCATTTGTTTATTTAGCCGAACCTAGTGAACGAACGTGTGACACAAATTTCCGAACAGACTGATGTCGTCTAATGCGATCAGAGCGGTATATAACACAACATTTCTGACTAAAATAACACAGTGGAGGTAGTTAGTAAAATAGACTGATCTGCACATAAATTAGCATGTTTATACTAGGTTTCAACGAATCTAACTAATTTGAATTAAACGATAATAAAGTTACTATAATATGGTAATAGTAAAATGCTTACAGTCATTGGCAGTGCTACTATCTTACTTGTAGTTACCTTGACATCCTAAGAGCTTGATTATATTTAGAGTAGATATTTCGCTCCCAGATAAAGTAGTCGAGCAAAAACAGCCATTGAATTTGACATCGTAACCTTTAGTGTCTGATAGCCTCTTTAGAGTTCCAACAATAACTAAGCCAATTAAATTTTATTGCTCAAAACAATCATGTTCACGCTGGCGCCTTATGTTCAGTGCTTACTGGATTTCATCTGTGGCACTTCGATTAGAATGTGATTGAAAGCCTGACTTTAGATTCTTATACAGAATCAAACTTTCGAATCCCTTTAGCGCAATCGCTACTTATGGAAGAATCTGAATCTTCAACGTTCTAAATACGAAATATAAAGATGATGTAAGTTCAAACCTGCTTATGGCAATCTTATAGATGATGAAATCTCTGAATACAGTTCGTGAAGCTTTAGTTGATAGAAGCAAGATCCGTCTATGCTTGACCATCATTATCTCTGATATCGCTTTTTAATGACCAACAATTAAGTTGATAAGCGCTGACTTTTGATTCTAGAAGTTAAAGATAGATACTATATGTAACGTACTTAAATAGTCCCCAATCTTTTGCACGACCAGTCGTACAAAAGTTGGTTCGCGCCTGTAAGCTTCGTCTGCTACGGTGCATTATTGTCTCTGCACGATGGGTTGGTCCGGCAACTGCGTGTTTTTCGACAATTTCGACCATGAAAACATTTTCCACTGTCTTTGTTGCGACGAAAGTAATGACAGCTTGCAGACAATGCAGATGCTTGTCAACAACGTCAACAGTTACTTGTTGCGGCAGTATAATTCCTGTGGACAACAATGTGTGCATATCGTAGCCAGTCGAGACACTCCTGAAGCCCAAAGAAAATTCGAATTTCTAATTCGATGGGGTGCTGATGTCAACAGCAAAAACAAGTGTTGTGGTGTTACTCCTTTGCACATCGCAGCTCTCACCAAGAATTACAGACTGGCCAATTTGATTTGCCAGCAACCAGGCAGAGCACTCGACATCTGCAACGTCGATCAGAAAATTCCGTGGCGTATCGCTTATAAACTGGAGGATCGGAACATGATGTGGCTGCTACGAGTGCATGGTGCTCAATGTGAAGTGTCTGATGTGGAAGTTGATGATAAAATCTGAGAAGCACGGTATGAAGTTCCTTGAGTGGTGTTAGCTTGCTTATCTAGTTGACATCTATTAGGTTAAGATTCATTGTTAATTATATGTAAGTTGGTGTTATTGTTATCTCTGTTATACTTGTTGTGTCACTTAGAAATAATATTATGTAATTAGCTTTTAAACATACTTAGTAGTTAAGTATACTTTATAAGCAAAATTCAGAGTCACCTAGACCATTTACAAATTCTCTTTTGTAACCTTTTTAGTTAGTTCTAATTAATTAAAATAATTAGCGATGCAGTCTCAGCGTCATTAGAAATATTATAATGTAATTAGGTCTTAAGCACACTTAGTAAATAAATATACTTTGTATGTAAAATTTTGAGTCACCTGGACGATTCAAAAATTTTTTTTTGTAACCTTTGAAACTAGTTCTAGATAAGTTAGTGACGTGGTTATGATGTATTAGTTAAGTAATTTAGAATGATAATTCTAGTTTTAGAAAAATCAGTTGTATTAGGATGTATACTATTAAATATAACAAAATTTAATTCTGTATCTTATTTTAAATTCTAAAATCCCTTAGTAGTTCTTTTTTCTCTTCTATCGTCGTAAAATTGGTATGCCACGATCTTTTAAGTTTTTCCAAGCGTCGAGGTACGTTGAAATTGAATAGGTCAGAGGCGTTCAGGCACTTAACCTATAGGGCCTTTCAGTCTTTGGAATTGGAAACATTTGTTCAAAATTAGAAAATAAATAATAATCATTTTTTCAACGTCCTGAAGAACAGTTACTGAAATAATAATGAAACAATACTGAAACATTACTGAAACAATACTGAACAACAGTTATAGATTATTAGATGGCAGGATAAATTATTGTTCATAGAGAAAGAAGTCAGACTATCTCGTTACGTTATTAATAGTATGCCGCAACGTCATAACTTGTAGGCAACGAGATAAGTTCCCCGCTTGCTTGACGACGATTAATGAATCCAAACTGATAATGGTTTGAATGAGGTTCCTGGTGAACGACGATGTTGATTACACTTATGATGACCTAAAAGCTTATTTACTGGATTTTGTTCAGTATTTTTGTTCAACATTTAATAAGCTGTAAACTTTTTCATGCTTAAATTGAGTTATCGTCGATGGCTTGATTTTTTTTTTAAAGTTATGCTTTCATTAGTTGTTACGTGAGAGTATAAATAATAATTATATAATTAAAGAATACTAAGAACAAATTATTAGAATTTTATTTAGTATTTTCATTCGAAAATTCGTGTGTGTGTGTGTGTGTGTGTGTGTGTGTGTGTGTGTGTGTGTGTGTGTGTGTGTGTGTGTGTGTGTGTGTGTGTGTGTGTGTGTGTGTGTGTGTGTGTGTGTGTGTGTGTGTGTGCTAAGATTCTATAGCTTTTTGAATGAAGAACAAAAATACTGAATTAAGTCTCAGGATATTCTCACTTACAGCTTTTTATATTTTCGCTTAATAAGTGTATAGTGAGACAATCTATCGAGTGGCATGAAAGTCCCTCAAATTTCAAGTTTGAAACCATCACTAGTAAGATATGAGAAAATCCCATACAATTTGTATAAAAATCTGTGAGGAATTGACATGGATGATTCCTGATGTCAAAATTTAGAAATTGATTGCTTTAATGTCCGCGTTTGTAAAACCTAACGCTAAACAAGCGTGAAAATTTGTTTTGAGCGCAAGTCAATTTTGTGCCAAGAAATCAGCCATTCAATCAAAGCTGCGCGAGCTTGATTTATCCATCGACGCTAGTTATAAGATTGCGTGCCAACTGCAGTGTAATCGGTCAAATAAACTAAATCTTTTTGTAATAAGATAATGTGCTCATAAAAAGCATTAAAATAAACGTTAAAAACTATTTAATAGTCTGCGAACATCGCGATTTATAGCCTGCGGTAAAATAAAATGTCTTTCTAATAAAATCATGACACCAAGAATTCGTAATGACGCTGTATATATAACCTCATGTGCAGTGGAAAGTCGTCGCCATTCCATCCTAGGACGCCCGCATAAAAGTAAGTACCTAGACTATCTTCACATTTTCTCTTTCGCGAACATTAAACATCTGTAACGTGTTTAAATTAATTGTCAGTGGTCGATTGAAGTCAAGATAGTTTTTATAAACATTCCGACCACTACCTCGTTGCTATGCTCAGTACAATGCTATTAGTCTTATCTCCATCGAGCAGTCTGTTTGGAACATCAGTGGAGCGCGTTCATTAAAATATAAAAGTTTGTTGTTGCGATGAAACCTTGAATATCCACAGATTCGGTAGAATCTGGCGCCAAGTTCCGTTCAAATCCGTTGTAAACGGAGCGCCAGACTACCGAGTGTGTTTACTGTAAGCAGAACGGTATTTCGAGGTTGCAAAATTTTATTTAATTCTACGGTAATTTTTTTTCCTAAATTTTATATTATAACAGTAATTCATACTTTATTTTACTGATATTAATTAATTATATTTAATTATAACAATTAATCTACTTGAAATTATTAAATTTAATCAGCACAAACTATAGCAACGCAAAAATTTCGATCCTGACTTTTTTTCGATGGACAAAGTGATCTGCCACAGACTACATAATTCGATAGTGCATGGTAATCCTCCAATAGATGGGAAACTACAGTTAGAAAAATACATTTCACAGCTTGCACCTACACCCGCCAGGGTGCGCTGGAAATATTTTTACATAAACTGTAGCTTCAAAGGAATAGTTTGCTATAAAAATGCAGCCAAAGCGAGATTTGAATTTGTACGAATTGTAAATTTTTATTATAATTACAAAAAATACTAAAATCCGAACAAAAACAGTTTCACTGTAAAAAAAAATCGCGCCAAGTCCACGTTCATAAAACTATTAAGAAAAAAAAATTAGTTTTTTCTTTACAAAAAGATAAAAAATATGAAACTGTTTTTGTTCGGATTGATATACAACCGGCTGCTGATTTCGGATTATAATTTATTGTTGAATACGTCATTTTAACAGAACAGACGTCACTGTTCGTGAACTAGTCATCGCAAAACTCGCATGACTTTCAAAAAAAGGGTCTCTTAAAATAATTCTTGTTGAAAAAAAGAACATTTTTTTTTTTTTTTTTTTTCATTAGGTCTTTCGCGCTTCAGCCTATTGGCCTGGAAGCGGGGGACTACGTCCCATCCGATTTTCCTATTCATCCCCACTTCAGTGGTCCTCTCGTCTCCTACTGGTTTTTGCGGCTGTGGCCCGACTTGTGCTTTCTGTACCGTATTCACCCTGAACCTTACCTTCTCAGGCTTGGAACAGAATCATGGGGAAACCACAAAGAAAACCCATGATAGTACAGTCGGAGCTGGGCTAATTCTACAGTGATTGATAAAGAACTCTTCTTTATTGACCACTGGAGCATTAGGTCCTTCTTCTAGTGTACAGAGATCCCTCGGGCTAGCCAACGCTGACTAGAGTGGTCATTCAGTTAAGTTGTAGCTTAACTGAGCGATCGCTCAAGTCAGACGTGTGCCGCCAGGCTATCTCTGCCACTTGCAGAGGCAGGCAATGTACCGCACATATTTAACTGAAAAATAGTGGTGCGTGCCGGAATCGAACCCGGGTCTCACTCTTTCGAAAAGTGACCACCGAGCCGACTAGGCTATTGCCTGCCTGTTAAAAAATAATTCCGTGTCACCGAGGAATCGAACCCGGTATTTTCTCCGCTACAGGCCCAAGGCTTACCCCCTTATGCCATCAGAAGGAACGAAAAAAAGAACGACATTTTAAAAAACTAGTTACAATTTCAGATCAGTAGCTTCCGTTCTACTGGCAATACGTATATCAAGTTCAGGGTTAGAAACGCTCATTTCCTTCGGCGTCTAATTGATTCTAACAGTTAGTGTAAATAGTAATTTATCGATTTATAAATGTCTGAGTAAATTGGTGTTATAAGTGGTGACGTTTTCAGTCTCAGAATGAGTGGCATGAGGCAACGGACAAACACGTTGACGTCTACTCAGTCCAATATAATGTAAGTATCAAAGCTATTCAGTTCCTGTTTCAGACATTTTCTGTTGAGCCTTTAATTTTAGCGTAGTTAAATGAATTTATATTCGCAAATTACGTCGATACTCTCCCTATGACGTTGCACTGTCTTCATCTGAAAAGTCCCAGAAGTTACTATCTTTTCTATGCAGACTATCCGCTCCGACTGCACAATAGAAAACATTAGTTTCTGTTGACATTAAAAACTGCGCTCACTAACTCTCTCCATTAAAAAGTCGTCACCGTTTGAAAATTTTGACGTCTTAACCTACTGTTGTTCTCTTCTCTCTGCAGACATGACCGGTGGAAGTGCAAATCGGCTGAAGAGAAAATCGAAGAGGCAATTCACATGATAAAAAATGCCACTATCAGCAAGTCACAGGCGATCGTCTCTCCAGTTTCAAAGGAACCTAGTTATTTTTATAAGCCTAGATTGTAGTTTCGTTGATAAGGTATTTGTGATTTTTATTTCTAATTACCTGGGAAAAAATGAATTTGCCTAATCATATATGGTTATATATAATCTCACTTATATATAATTAGACCTGAAAATTGGCCAGATCTAATCATATATAATCATATATAATTAGATATAATTAGATATAATTATTTCTATAAAAATAAAAAATATTCACCGCGAGCGGGGATCGAACCGGGGACCTGACGCTTCAAAGACCAACACACTACCTGTTTACCTATACGAGACTTACTGGAAGAGCTAAGCTTGAAATACCTACAACTAATGCAAATCGCATACATAATCGATTTTTATAAGTTAAATTAATTAATACAGTTCCATTATTTCATCCACAAAAACTATAGTTTAAAAGATTATTAATCATTTGAGTAGCAGACTCTGAGATGAAAACAGAAAATGTTTTATAGTAATCACAAAATTCATATATAATTATATATGATTCATATATAATTAGATATGATTCATATACAATTATATATGATTTATATATAGTCATATATGATTTATATATAGTTATAAATGATTCATATATAATTATATATGATTTCCGTTTAGTTACACTGATATTGATAGAAGGATTTGTTTATATTTATTGAGCTTTATTGACTGATAATAAGTGATTTTTTTAACATCATGGGATTTAATATACATTTATTACCAGTTAATAAATTATTTATTAAATACGATTTATTAAATGTTAACAAATATTTGTTAACAGTTAACAAATATTTATTTAAAATCAAAAGCAAAAATAGCAATTTTCTTTTGACATTTTTTATAACCCGACAGCTAGAATACATAACTGTAACACATGATAATAATTCAAATAATTCAAATTAGATATAATTATGTGCATAGCTTTACGTTTAATTATATACATGGTCCTATATAAATTAGATCTGATCAGATATAATCATATATAGATTTATATATAATCATATATAGCCATAGATAACTCAGGTCTAATCAGATCTAATTATATATAGACTTATATAAAATATACATACAATATATTAGTCTATATATGATTATATATATTTTATATAAAAATTTAGATATAATCATACATAATTCTATATAATTCTATATATTCAATATATAATCATATATAAATATATATGATTAGGCAAATTCATTTTTTCCCGGGTAGTATAAATATATAACAGATCTCATTATAAATCGTTGTTTTATTAGCCTGTTTTTGAGTAAATATTTGTATAGTTTGACGCTAATTAGGAGATAAAATTTGCATTAGCAGTAATAATAGGAATGTAATACAATAAATAATCAACTATATAGTTTTGACATTTTCTCATCAATCCTAATAAATATTCAAAGTTTTGAAAGGTCAAAAGTGCACACCTCGTAACGCTCATATAACTCTTACGAAAAAAATAAGTCGTATTACTGACTTATTTAAATTATATGGACTATTCAACTAATCTACAGATTCGGTAGAATCTGGCGCCAAGTTCCGTTCAAAAATCCCGTTGCAAACGGAGCGCCAGACTACCGATTGCAAACGGAGCGCCAGACTACCGAATTTGCAAACGGAGCGCCAGACTACCGAATGCATTTACAGTAAGCAGAACGGTTTTTTGAGGTTGTATAATTTTATTTAATTATACGGTACTTTTTTTCACTAATTTATATATTATAACAGTGGGTCATAATTAATTTTACCGTATTAATTCATTTATATTCACTTATAACAATTTATTTACTTGAAATTATTAAATTTTATCAGCACATACTATAGCGCGCTCACATTTTTCGATCCTGACTTTTTTTCGATGGAGAAAAGTCAGCGCCACAGACTAGATAAAATAAAAATGTGTAGTATTCCTCCTATAGATACGCAACTACAGTTAAAAAAAATATTCACAGCTTACATTTACGGCCGCCAGAGTGCACTGTAATTATATCTACATAAACTGTAGCTTCAAGGGGATAGTATGCGCCGCAGACTAGGGTAGTTTTCCAACTACAGCACTAGAGCGCATAATGCGGCATTGTGCGCAGCTTAGAGTGTTCCAATAACAGCAACGCTTCGCACAGTTGGACACTCAAAAAACCTTTGCTCAGGGATGTTATGCGTGAGAGTTACCAACGAGTCTACATAAAATTAAAAGTATTTTTTTTGTATTGAGTTGGTATAATTAATGTTTATTTTATTATCTATCAAAGTTATTATTTTTGACAATTGTAAGTGTATTTTATTATTGTTGATAAATAATTATTATTGCAATAAAATTAAATATATACAATAACACAAATTATATTTAACTATCATATTTTATATCTAATATTTAATTATTGATGACTAACTTAAGCGAATTTATATTCTTTCTATTCTTTTATCTTTATAAAATGAAATCATTTTTTAGATTTTTATATTTGTAAGCATTATCATGATATGATTTTGAATTAGCTGTTTAACATGAATGTTTTCAAAGATTTTAAAGATTTAAATATACAGGTAAACAAATATTTAGATTTTTAGATTGCCAAACTTTCGAATTTTTGTTCAAAACGAAGCAATACCAACGCGATCTACTGCTGCATTTCTTAACTAATCTGTTTCAATTAAACTTGTGCTAATGCGGCACCGTGCGGCACTGAGTCGCATTGTGCTCTCGTAATTGGAAAACTACCTAGATATCTAGGGGCGAACCACGAGTTAACTATGTGATGCTTTGGATTGCGTCCAGCAGGTGACACTACTTGTCGCGAAGCGCGAATTCAAACATTTTTTCCGGGTTAATAGTGTAATTCTAGTTCTACGCGCCTTATAGAAATAGTAGAGAAAAAATTAAACTATTATTGTTAAGAAAAAATAAAATTATTGTAAGAAACCGAAAAAAAATTGATACAACCTATAAAAAACCGAGTGTGTATTTACCGTAAGCAGAACGGTATTTTGAGGTTGTAAATTTTTTTTCAAATTTATTTGGATTTCTTATTTATATGTTTTATACAATGGTAATAGTAGTAAATACTCTTTATTACACGTATTAATAAATTACTGCAGTTAATATGCGACCACCCAGATTTATGAATTATGAATAAAAAATTTTAGCTGAATGATTTTTTTTATATTTGAAATCACACTGGACATAAAATTGGGTACTTTATAAATAAATTATTAATTATAACAGTGCTATCACTAGATTAATTACAAATAATTCAATGGACAAATGTGACCGACCAAATTTATCAAATTAGAAAACTATTAAACACTCTTCCGAAAATTTGACATAAAAAATTTACCGTAAAAAATTGTAAAACCAAAAGTCATTCATTCTTATCAAGACCTTTATGATAATACCAAACTAAACCATAAATATTCTTTTAAAAGAAATAATATGCTTGTCACAAAAATTTCCTTTCTCTCTTAATTGTTTAAGTCATAAATAACTATCGCTAAAAAATATATACATTTACATACATAAAACACAGTAGGGGGGAACCAAATAACCAAATTATAGCTTTGCCTGAAAAAATTCATTTATTTATGAATTTTTAATATTACACGGGAAAAGTTCAAATTTTAAGTTAAAAATGTACAAGTATTTTATGAATACAACAAATTTTATAGAACAAATTATCATACAATCTTCCATGTGCATGTTTGAAAAATATTTTTTTAATTAATTTTCTTTATTAACCAGTCTAAATACACAACAGACTGAACATTGTTTGAGTCCTACTTTCTTCGGATAAATCAGCTGTTTAGTGTCCGGGGAATTCTCATTGAAAATAATGTACATACTATAATCTCATGGTTGTTACCTGTAGATGGCACTATCGTCAATTGAGCGGGATTCAAATAACAGCAATAATAATACTTATCATTATCATTATTATTACTAAAATAATTGTTATGTTTATTAAATTCATGTGTATTGTAGTATTAAATCTAAATTGAAAAATTTTGTTTATTACAAAAATGTTAAAATTTTCTTTGTAAATGTAAGAAATGTATAATTTTCATCGATAATTTAGTCTACCAATTTAAAACGGAGGCGTTTACGCGGATTAGTAACTTTAAATTTTTTTAATGCTACTAGCTACACGGAGAGAAAAGAATAGTAATTATTACCATTCTACATGGTAACCAGGCTCATTTTCAGTAAAATGGTAAATGATGCTATGTAGAATAGGATACATTACCATTTTTCTGGTAATGATTACTATGCTACATTGAAACGAGTGAAATGGTAAATATCGCTAGTCTGCACGGGAATCAGAGCTATGTAGACTGGTAATGAGTTCCATGCTAGAATAGCTGTCCCTACAGTTTAATAAATATACATGCTATAGTATGCGCGAAAGTTTGCGCAGTAACATGCGTGTATGTGTTTATGTATGTGCGAAAGTTGGCGTCATCTCCTTTGTTCATGATTTTATTATTTTGTGTAAAAAATTTATTAAATCTACAAACTAAATTAAGAAATTGATTTTAATAAAAAGTAAATGATGGTTGATCGAAGTGTAAGTATTTGAACATTTAAATAATAATTGGCCAAAATGTAATTCTAATAAATAAATTATTGATTGTTTATTACAAAGCATTTTAATTAATTTAATTATTATTAATTTATAATTAGAAAATTATATAATAATTGTAATTTTATTGTTAAAAGTTAATGATTATTAAAAAAATATGTTTTATGTTCTGATTTGCTTTTAATCTAAGTTATTGAGCAAGTTGAAATTCCAATAAATTACATTTTGATTGTTTATTACAAAGCATTTTAATTAATTGAATTATTATTAATTTTCAATCAGGAAATTATATTTCATTATAAGTGCTCATTTAATTATTTCAATGAATTAATTTAATTTATGTATGTGTATTTTAAATAACCTGATTTACGGATTCTATCATAACCTTATTCACTGAATGTTACATAAATAACATAGCAAATATTGCTAGGTAAAATTGTAATCTCGTCCATTTAATTGTTTTTTTTTTTTTAATTTCATTTTTTAACAAATATCCAGGAGGTGCAAAAATCGAGGCTTCAAAAATAGATATTTATGTCATAAGGCCGTGAAGTGGCGGTTTTCTGACAGCGACGATATTTCGATATGAGCTTAAGGTTTGTGGCGGGAAGGTTCGAAACGGGCGTAATTTTAACGTCCGAGGCGTAGCCGAGGACGGAAATTTACGCTCGTTTTCGAACATTCGCGTCACAAACATTAAAACGAATATCGAAAAAAAGTCGTTGTCAAAATCGCCACTAAACGGCCGAATGACATACAATATTTTTTGTTATTATCGCTCCATAAGTTTAACTTTTGAGGGATAGGAGGCAAATAATGACATATTTAAATTTTAGGAAGTTTTACAAGGCCAAAAAAAATTAATTTTATATTAATTATCTTTTTATTAATCTTAAAATCTTGCTCACGTCCAGAAAATGTAGATAATTTTTTATTAGTATTTATTTATGGCGTTGTTGTTATTTTATTAACATTAGGTCCGCTTCGTAATAAACTGCCAGCAGAGAAATAATAAGCGCCACTTAATAATAACTAAGACTAAAAATTATCGGTCGGTACGCTAGAATGTGGCTTTTTTTTTTGCAATACCTCTCAAGTTCGTCTGGGTGTACATGAAAAGTTCGTAAAAAAAAGGAGGGGGTAAAACTTCACGGCCTAAGCCGTGAAAAAGAGACGGTATGGTAGAGTCTCTAGAAAAGAGTCCCTTTACGGACGCCACCCCAACCCAGCGCTCAGAAGTTGAACTTCTGGAGCGAGTATAACAAAAAATACGATTCCTAGACGGACAGTTAATCTCAGGACCGGTGAATATAAAAAATACTAAAGGACACAGCATCGTCAGAAGAAAGGTCTCTTCCGAAGAATCTATTAAAATTTGCTAAAAAAAAGAAATGGTGGATGTTTGAAAAAAAAGTTAAATAAACTTTGTTTTTCACTATTCTCTGCTATAAAAATAAATTATAATTAACTTTTTTTTGCAAAGTTTGGTAAATTAGCATACAAATGATCTCAACATATGAAACAAGACTAAAACATTGAAAAGGGTTAGGTAGTTTTGGAGATTAGACTGCGCGTACACTTCCACGAATTTTATTATGTCAGGATTGAAATTAAAAAAAAAAAATTTTAAGGGTGATTTTTAAAAGTATAAAGATTAAAAACATCGAGTTTTTTTCAATTTATAAGTTGTTCTACTACTTTTACTAGTAAACCTACCTTAATATAAAAAGTAACTTATTTTTATTTTAATAACTAGATTTAATTATTAAAAAATATTGCTTAATTCCCAAAATATCATTTAGAAAAATTTAAAAGAATCAATTTATAAATTCCAAACATTCTTCGATTAGTCTCGTAACTGAACTACGCTCTAACCTTGAATTGAAAGCGATAGATGAAATTGAAAGCTTAACTTTAAAGAAGTGTAGTGAACCTAAGTCTAAAAATACCTACGGCAAGCATTCAATTATATGAATACCAAAAATTATAGCACGTGGCGCTATCAGGACAATAGCCAACAAAGGAAAAAAAATTACCAGAAAATAACATCTTAATACTCACGGTCCTTTACCACAACAGGAACAGAAGGCTGCAGCTCGCGGTCGCATTTTCTCCATTTTTTAAAATGAATAAAAAATAGAAATAAAAATTTTTTTTAAAAAATAATGCACTACTTTATCTCTGCTCGTCCCGAACTCTTATTAGGAACTGAACGATCGTTATGCACCATTCGGCTGGATGAAGTATTTTTGATAAGGAAAAGAAACTCAGGTACAGTCGGGCGCAGTGATAGCATTTAAGTTATATATATTTACTGGAACGGACCCAAAAAATTATTATTTTTTATAATAATATTCATATCCAGAAGCTGTATGTAAAAATTACTTATTTTTTATTCAAATAACATGGAGAAAATACATTTTGACTTGGGAGTTATATATATATATAGTCGTATAAGTAAATGTATAACTATCACGATACATATTCATGTGGAAAATTAAACGTTTTACAAAATAACTCTCTTAGCATTTTTTAGTAAATTTATTTATTTAAAAAGTATAGTCAATCATATGCTAAATTAGCAATTTTTATTTTATTTTCGGCTTAATTATTACTATTCAAAAGAAAGCTCTTTATTTATCTTTAAAACGAAATTTATCAGGTCAATTTATTCGATAAACTCTAATATTTTCATAACAACGTGACAATTAAAGAGAGGTATGCAAAACTGCGCGAAGAAATAAAAAAAACAGCACTGATTAATATTTCTACAGTACTTAATAATATTTTGGCAAAAAATGAGGTTAAAATGCTTAGGACAGTACAGGGCGCTATGTAAATATTACTGGCAGGCTGCAAATGACGTGCGCTAGTACAAACACGTCGTGTATCACACATCACTGTAGCCTATGAACATTTTTTTAAAACACTACTTAGTAATGTACAAAATAACTTATCCTATAAATTCCCCCTAATTGGGAATTTATGCTCAACTGTACTTGTACTTAAATATTTAAAAATAATTAACAATGCGCGGGTTGTCTCAGCATAATATAACAAAAATTTCCTATTGCCTTATCGCTTATTAGTTCATTTGGTAACAGTCGATATTATTACTTTGAGCCACATAATGAATCTAATAAGATTCACGTTGGAAAATCTAACTCTTTTTGTGTTATATTCTTACAAAATATGTAAAGAATTTTGTAGTTTCTAGCCAATGCTATAAGTCGCTTAAGACGAGTAGAATGCGTGTTATAACATAATAAATCTTTTCGAAAACCGCACAATAATTTCTGCAACATGCTCTACAGAAGCGTGAAATTGATATTATGTAGCGATCATGTTTCTCCGGTAGTCTGCTCATGACGTAGAGAGAGTGTCTATTTGCTTGTCGCTGGCCTACTGTCTAATTATCCATTCTTGTTAAATTCAGGTCCAGTGCTATTTTAATTAATTAATAGATATCAGGTTAATCAGACCACAAACGCAATGTTGACAATTACTTCACACTTTATTGCAACGTTTCGTCGAAAATCTCGACTTCTTCAGGCAATCTACAAAAACATACACACAAAACATACACATAAACATATACACAATTACAAATTGTCAAAACATATCAGTCATAAATATTATTCTTTTATATGAAATAGATATAAAATATAAATTACAATTCAAATTTCAAAATTACATAAATGTTATTATAAAATTTTTTCCTATATACTTAGATAAAATAAATAAAACAAATGGGTATGGGTAACCCTGCTAGCCCCTCAATTGCTAACCTTGTTATGCAACATGTATTGAAGAATGTTGTGAAGGATCTTCCGTTCGCAGTTCCATTGTTGGGTCTTTACGTGGATGACACGATTCTAGCAGTACCTGTGTCAGAGAAAAATAATCTCCTAGGCTACTTCAACAGCTATCATCGAGATATTCAGTTCACATTGGAGGTAGAGGAGGGAGGCAGAATTGCGTTTCTAGATGTTTTGGTGATAAGACAGCCTGATGGTAGTCTAATCACTGACTGGTACCAAAAGCCAACAAGCGCAGGTAGAATGCTTAATTATAATTCACATCACCCAGTAGCTCAAAAATCCAGTGTAGTTTTTGGTCTGTTGCATAGGGCATTAGGACTAAGCCATAAGAAATTTCATGATGTCAACAGAAAAAGAGTTGAGGATTTGCTGAAACGTAATAATTATCCGGTATTTTTCATTAAGTTATGTATGGAGAAATTCAATAGTTTATATAGCAGAGAGATGGGTAATGGTGAGGATGATAATTTAGAGGTGGTCGTAGATCTGGATCAGAATGTAAAGAAAAATGAAAATCGGTTTCGGTTTCCATATATTAGAGGTTTATCATCTTCCATTACGCATTGTTTTGCAGGTACGGATTGGAAGCCGGCATTCTATAATATCAAAACTGTTGGACAGACTTATACTAGACTTAAGGATACTGATAAATTATTGAATCGTTCGAATGTAATTTATAAAATTCCGTGTGTTTGTAATAAATCGTACATTGGTCAAACGAAACAGTATTTAGGTAAAAGGCTCTATCAGCATAAGTATAGCTGTAGAAATAATGTGAATAATAATAATAGCAATAATAACATAAATAATTTGACAGCTTTGTCTTTACATCATCGGGATACAAGTCATCAGTTTTGTTTTGATGACGTAAAAATTGTAGACATAGAAAAGAATAGATTTAAACGCAACATCTTAGAAATGATTCACATTAGTTTGAGAGATACTGTTAATTTGAAAACTGACACGGAAGGGTTAAATTGCATTTACAACAATTTAATTTTGAGGTATAAAAATAAAAATAGAGAGTATGAATAATTATTTGTAGATTGTAAATAAGCGGTTAAAGCCGGCAGATCTGCGCATGCGTGTGAGTGTGTTCAGTCGTGTCAACTTACTGAGAGTGTACAGCTGTTTATAATTTTGTTGTTTAAAATTGTACAATATTATTGTTATTAATTGGTATTTTTTCACATATTAATTGAGTAATAATAATTAAGAAGGAATTATATAAGTACAATAATAAGAAAATCAAATGACTCTGAATGAGTACGAAAGTAGCAAGATACATCAGAAGCATGATTATGCTTAACCTGATTCCAACAGGGCCTTTTTATAATAACAACGTGTTGATATTCTTGTCTCATGGTATGTTAATGATCTTGTTATGTAATTATAATTTGTTTTATTTATTTTATCTAAGTATATAGGAAAAAATTTTATAATAACATTTATGTAATTTTGAAATTTGAATTGTAATTTATATTTTATATCTATTTCATATAAAAGAATAATATTTATGACTGATATGTTTTGACAATTTGTAATTGTGACGGAAAAAAATTATTAATGTATTGTATGTTTTTGTAGATTGCCTGAAGAAGTCGAGATTTTCGACGAAACGTTGCAATAAAGTGTGAAGTAATTGTCAACATTGCGTTTGTGGTCTGATTAACCTGATATCTATTAATTAACTACTGTCTAATTTTAACATAATTTTTAATGTTATTCCATGGCTCAATTGCGTCAGCTTGTTCGTATGGTATTCCTAACAGAAACTCAAGCCACCATGTTGTGGGAACAATCTTTGCGTGTATTATTGGACGGACATTATTACGGAATTTAATTAGGTGCGTATTGTTATTTTTATGGTCTCGTAACAGTGAAGCGTTCTACATTCAGTGGGAGTTATAGAATATGTGAGAAAAAATTTTGACGGGGATTCGAACCCAGAATCTTCCGAAGACATGTCGGCTGTTTTATTATTTGAGCCACCTGGTACAAAAGTGTTCTACTTTATCTGTCTCGTATTTAAGTTTCGCACGTCGAGTCTTCTTATGTACAGATTAACTTTCGTAATGAATACTAAAACGTAGATCGGACATGTCAATTGATTTATCGGACATGACTTTGATATATTATTATATTGATATTTGAGAAATCGTAAGATCAAAAAAACAATTGAAGATTGTTTATTATTTCGCGACGTTTCGAGTTTTTATTAATTAAATTATACAATAAGTTGCAATTTTATGGTAAAACAAATTCATCATTTTGGACAACAGTATTTAACAATATTGTGTACGTCTTTGATATGTTCGTTTGTTCAAGCTAATTAAAATTTCAGTTGGCTCAGAATTATTCTGCAAAAATTTTACGATTTACGTTACGCTTACTTAAGTTTTACTTACAAACATACTTTTATAAAAAACATCGTTAAGATGTTATTTATATAATTATAATTTCAATTATATGAGGTTATCGCTTCAATTTAATTTGTGGTGGAGGATTCAATTTGTTGGAAGATAAATTAAATTAAAATACATATATGCGTGCCAAGTAAACATACAGATAAATAATTCCACTCGCAAAGACGAACATCACGCGATAAGGTCAAGCTCAACTGATAACGGGTCAACTAATGACATCATAGAACTTTTTCTCATGGAATTTAAGGTTTGCCGTTTCTTCACTTTTCATTGGTCAGAAATTCACGCCATGATTTCCACACGGCATAAAAAATTCCTTGAGCTCTATAAAAACTGCATATTTATCGAATCTTGTTATTTAGCGAGCTACAATTAGACTTTTAAATGTTTCTTATTATCGCATGGTTCAGCTAACGCGCTGACAATTCTATTAATAGCTGAGTTTTTGGTCTATGTTAATAAAAAACAAGTTGTAGTAGGTTAGTTCAGAATTTCGATCGGTATGCCAGGTGGGTGTCTGCTTATCTACACCTTCACCTTCATTTTTATTCAATGTTACTGCGCAGTAGAGAAGAGATGTAAAAAATGTGACAATCAACAAGAAAAATCACTAACAATAGGATTTAAATTATTATTATTTTCTTGTAATTTATTTAACTCAACTTAAGTAAGAGAAAGTTTCATTTTTTAATATTTTAATATTTACAATTCTTTGTAATACGCAAAAAAAAACTTTTTTTTTCCATATCTAACAATTGGCTTAAATCAATACTTTGATAGATACATTGAGAATAATTAAATTTTGATTTATAAGTAAGCAAGATGTTTGTGGCGCAAATTTACAAAAAAAAAAAAGTAAATTTGAAGCCTGAAGCGAAGCAGAATAAAAACATAATTTTTATGTTCCAACTGCAGCACATCCCCTTCATGGCATTCGGTGAATGAACTCCAAGCGCAATGACAAGTCAAGGATATGAGTTTAGTCACTGATTGGCGCAGTAACCATGGTTAACTGGATAAACTGCATGTGGATAAACTGCAGTTTATCA